CGTCGTCGCTTAAAGTCTTGCGCGACCAAATTTTGTGCGACGAAAAAAAATTCGTCACTCAAAGTAACTTTGCGCGACGAAAAAAAATTCGTCGCTCTAAGTAACTTTGCGCGACGAAAAACAATTCGTCACGCAAAGCTACTTTGCGCGACGAAACAATTAACTTCGTCTCGCAAAGTCCTTATAAAAATAAATAAAATATTTTTTAAAATATTTGTTAGAAAAATATATTATTGTTTTTTGGATTGGGTTTTTATTAGAAAATATATTTTTTAAATTGACGATCGAATTAGTTCATTGTATTCATATAGGGTCAAAGAGTGTAGCTATAAAAAAATCATCAAAATCGGAGTTAAAATAACCGTTAAATCGTGATTTTTCATTTATAACCGTCGAAAAGTTTTGTCCCATTACTTGATCTCTGAATGTTTATTTCTTCCGATTTTTAGCGTATATGATCTCGAAGTATAAACAAACAAGTTTGACGGTTGGATCGTTCAAACTAGTTTCATAGAATGCGTATGCCATCAAAACAATATATTCACTAACAATTAAGAGTTTATTTATACTTTTGTTAAATATAACATAAGATTTTGTGGTATCCACTAGTGTAAATATTTTAAATTGAAGATCAAATTTAGTCATTGTATTCATATAGGGTAAAGGAGTGTAGCGGTAAAAAATCATCAAAATCGGAGTTAAAATAACCGTTGAATCATGATTTTTCATTTATAACCGTCGAAAAGTTTTGTCCCGTTACTTGATCTCTGAATGTTTATTTTTTGCGATTTTTGGCGTATATGATCTCGAAGTATAAACAAACAAGTTTGACGGTTGGATCGTTCAAACTAGTTTCATAGAATGTGTATGCCATCAAAACAATATATTCACTAACAATTAAAAGTTTATTTATACTTTTGTTAAATATAACATAAGATTTTGTGGTATCCACTAGTGTAAATATTTTAAATGGAAGATCAAATTCAGTCATTGTATTCATATAGGGTAAAGGAGTGTAGCGGTAAAAAATCATCAAAATCGGAGTTAAAATAACCGTTGAATCAAGATTTTTCATTTATAACCGTCGAAAAGTTTTGTCCCGTTACTTGATCTCTGAATGTTTATTTTTTGCGATTTTTGGCGTATATGATCTCGAAGTATAAACAAATAAGTTTGACGGTTGGATCGTTGAAACTTGTTTTTTTGAATGCGTATGCCATCAAAACAATATATTCACTAACAATTAAGAGTTTATTTATACTTTTGTTAAATATAACATAAGATTTTGTGGTATCCACTAGTGTAAATATTTTAAATTGAAGATCAAATTAGTTCATTGTATTCATATAGGGTAAAGGAGTGTAGCGGTAAAAAATCATCAAAATCGGAGTTAAAATAACCGTTGAATCAAGATTTTTCATTTATAACCGTCGAAAAGTTTTGTCCCGTTACTTGATCTCTGAATGTTTATTTTTTGCGATTTTTGGCGTATATGATCTCGAAGTATAAACAAATAAGTTTGACGGTTGGATCGTTGAAACTTGTTTTTTTGAATGCGTATGCCATCAAAACAATATATTCACTAACAATTAAGAGTTTATTTATACTTTTGTTAAATATAACATAAGATTTTGTGGTATCCACTAGTGTAAATATTTTAAATTGACGATCGAATTAGTTCATTGTATTCATATAGGGTCAAGGAGTGTAGCTGTAAAAAATCATCAAAATCGGAGTTAAAATAACCGTTAAATCGTGATTTTTCATTAAGAACCGTTGAAATTTTTTGTCCCGTTACTAGGTCTCCGAATGTTTGTTTTTTACAATTTTTGGGGTATACGATCTTGAAGTATATACAAACAAGTCTGACGGTTGGATCGTTGAATGGTGTGTGTATATATATATATTTACTTATTAAGTAGCTTTAAATTTATTTATTTTGTACGTATAACACTTAAGAAATTGGTATATACATTTATTAAGTAGCTTTAACCTTATTTATATTTTAAATCGTAAAAAAAAATTTTTATTATTCATAACAATTATTTTTATAAATATCGTGCTATGAACCAATTTTTCGTCTCTCAAAAGTTTGCGCGACCAACAATTCGTCGCGCAAAACTTTAAAAATTTGGGCGGGTACCAAAAATGGGAAGCGGGATGAAAAAAAATTTTTTTTTAGACTTTGCGCTACCAATATATATTTTCGTCGCGCAAAAATTTGGCGGGTACCAAAAATGGGACGCGGGAATTTTTTTATTTAATTTTTTTAGACTTTGCGCGACCAATATGTATTTTTCGTCGCGCAAAAATTTCAAAATTTGGGCGGGTACCAAAAATGGGACGCGGGATTTTTTTTTTTTGACTTTGCGAGACCAATATACTAATATTCGTCGCGCAAAATTTGCGCGACCAATACTCCAATATTTTTCGTCGCGCAAAGCTTTGCGCGACCAACAATGTCGTTCGTCGCGCAAAGTGATACGGTTTTTAAAATAAAATAACTCCTCCACCATTTTCTCAATGTCTTTCTCTACTCTTTCCTCTCCTCTCTCTTTCCCTCTCCCCAAATCCCACCATTTCTCTCACTCTCACTCCTCTCACTTAATCTCTCATCATCTCTCTCTTCACTATCTCTTACTCTCACTCACTCTCTCATCTCTCTTTTCACTATCTCTCACTCTCACTCACTCTCTCATCTCTCTATCACTATCTTCTCTAATTCTCTCACACTCATTTCTCTCTCTCATTCTCACTCACTCTCAATCTTGCCAAAAGGTAGATTCTCTCCAAATTTTAATTTTTTTTTCATTAATATGTGTTTTTGGAGTTAGTTTTGAGTTTGTGTGGGGTTTGGGGTTGAGTAAAGGGGAGGGATTGGAGTTTGGGTTGGATTTGTGGTATAACAATTTTAGGGGAGATTATCCCTTTTTTTTATTATTGTACTTTGTTAATTTATGTGTACATTTTGAATATTATATATATATTTATTGGATAATTTGATCACTATTTTTCATATGTAATTTTATTTTGAATATGTCAATTTAAATTAAAGTAATTAAATTAAATTTAAAAAGTAAACATTTGAATAAATTAATATAATTAAATTAATATCAATTTAAATTAAAGTAAAGAAAAAAATCATACAATTAAATTTAATTTAAAAATTAAAAATTCGAAATAATTAATATAATTAAATTAATATTAAAGAAATAATAAAACAAAAAGTCAAAAACCAAAATATTTTGTCGCGCAAAACTCTAAAAATTTGGGCGGGTACCAAAAATGGGACGAGGGAATTTTTTTTAAAAAAAATTTTAAAATTTTTTCGTCGCGCAAAGTTTTGCGCGACTAATATTTTTCGTCGTGCAAAGTCGCTTTGCGGGACAAATATTTTTTCGTCGCGCAAAGTCGCTTTGCGCGACCAATATTTTCGTCTCGCAAAGTTACTTTGCGCGACCAATATGTTTCGTCGCGCAAAGTCACTTTGAGCGACCAATATTTTTTCGTCGCGCAAAGAGACTTTGCGCGACGAATGAAAAAATTTCGTCGCGCAAAGTCTTTCTCCACGATCTTTGCGCGACGGAATCTGCGCGACGAAGTTTCTGTCGCGCTAAAATTTGTGCGACTATAATGTATTTTGCGCAACGAAATTTTCTTCGTCGCGCAAAGTGAAAAATATAGTAGTGGAACAAGGGATGCGTAATTAGAGCATTCAACTCAAAATCAATTAGAGCATCAGTAAACAGATAAATAGGCAATTATCTAATATATATTGTAAGATAAGGTTTTATATTTCTGATATTAGAATTATACTCTCAAACCCACCAAGCATCGCGCGGGCTACCACATAGCATGTGCAAATTTATTAAAAAAGGGTGGAGAAAATAGAAATTGGAGGTGGGCCAATCAAGACCAATTGAAAATAAATTCAGCAATACCGAAAACTAGATTTCTATTAGCATCAGCTATGTTAAGAAAAATCATTACAAGTGTTTTGCTTGCTAATTCACATTTTCGTAAGCTCGACTTTGATGGATGAACTAAAATTTTAAAACTTCTGTAGGATTTCAAGTTGCCCATAAAAAAATTGGGTTAGAGTTAAATATCAATTGAGGAGACAAAATCGAATATAAGGACCGACCTTGAGCACTTTTAACCATTATTAATTCAAAAGAATTTAATTTTAAAATACCTTATACATGTTTTTTTTTAATACAATGCGGAGCGGGTGGATGTGAATCAAACCTAAGACCTCGAGTGCATGAGTAAATGCTCTTATTAATCACTTGAAAGCTCCTTACTTTTGCTTACCCTCTATATATGTTTATGTTTCTTTGATGTAATAGAACTTCATCTTTAGAACATTTCTAGGATTATACACAAGTATAATCAGTCAACAATTAAACTAGGTCCTTATTCATATTGTAGCTAGCTAAGCTTGCATTTTGACCATATATGTAACTCATTCTCACACTAAACCTTTATTTTATTCGACTTCATTGGATATCCTACCAACTATCTATGGCTTCTCAACTTTGTTGGAAGATGTGCCTCCATATTTGAATCTTCCCTCTCTTCAAGAGAAAAAAAAACACACACAAAAAAAAAAAAAAAAAAAAAAAAAAATAAAATTATATTATAGTTACTGCTGGAGAAAAGTTCAACCATGTCTTCCCACACGCTTTTACATTTTAACAACCCAGCCGTACGACACTTTCCTAGAAGCCATGCAACTTGACCTGTTCATATATATAATGACTGGTTGAAATAGTAGACTTTAATTGATTATCATTTTATAATCCACAAGTAACATCTGGAAGAAAATTAAAAGCATAAACATCCAGCCTGCTATCCTGAATAAAGAAACATGGCTCTCTCAAAGATGATTGCAGAGATTGCTATAAAAGGGCTAGCTCTCTCACACTTTTAAAGCAACCCACTTACAAACAAGTTCTAAGAAGTACAATTTCTGGCAATCAGAGCTGAATTGCCAGAAAATGACGAAATCCTCGGAGCAGCCGAGGCATCAGCCTTTAATGTTTTATGCTGTGGCATTGTGCCTCTTAGCCACAAGTGTTCTTGCCAATGACCCTTACACTTATTCTTCACCTCCACCACCTCAACATGCGCAACATTACTACAATTACCCCCCACCAAAGCACTCTGTTCACCCACCATACAGTTACAAGTCACCCCCACCACCAAAGTATGTGAAATCCCCACCATACCACTACAAGTCACCACCACCTCCACACTATCACCATAAGTCTCCACCTCCATACCACTACAAGTCACCACCTCCACCATCCCCTTCACCTCCTCCTCCTTATGTCTACAAGTCTCCACCACCTCCGTCACCATCACCTCCTCCTCCATACGTCTATAAATCTCCACCACCACCATCTCCATCCCCACCTCCTCCTTATGTGTACAAATCTCCACCACCACCATCTCCATCACCGCCACCTCCATATGTGTACAAATCTCCACCTCCACCATCCCCATCACCTCCTCCTCCTTATGTTTACAAGTCTCCACCACCACCATCCCCGTCACCACCGCCACCTTACGTATACAAATCCCCACCACCCCCATCTCCATCACCTCCTCCTCCATATGTTTATAAATCCCCCCCACCACCATCTCCATCCCCTCCACCTCCATATGTTTACAAATCTCCACCACCACCTTCTCCCTCACCACCTCCACCATACATCTACAAGTCCCCACCTCCTCCTTCTCCATCACCACCTCCTCCTTATGTCTACAAATCGCCACCACCTCCATCACCTTCACCTCCTCCTCCTTATGTCTACAAGTCACCACCACCTCCATCACCTTCACCTCCTCCTCCCTATGTCTACAAGTCCCCACCACCTCCATCTCCATCACCTCCTCCTCCCTACATTTATAAATCACCACCACCTCCATCACCTTCACCTCCTCCTCCTTACGTCTACAAGTCACCACCACCTCCATCACCTTCACCTCCTCCTCCTTATGTCTACAAGTCACCACCACCTCCATCACCTTCACCTCCTCCTCCTTACGTCTACAAGTCCCCACCACCTCCATCACCTTCACCTCCTCCTCCCTATGTCTACAAGTCCCCACCACCTCCATCTCCATCACCACCTCCACCTTACATCTATAAATCACCACCACCTCCATCACCTTCACCTCCTCCTCCTTATGTTTACAAGTCCCCACCACCTCCATCTCCATCACCACCTCCACCTTACATCTATAAATCACCACCACCTCCATCACCTTCACCTCCTCCTCCTTATGTTTACAAGTCCCCACCTCCTCCTTCACCTTCACCTCCTCCTCCTTATGTCTACAAGTCACCACCTCCACCATCACCTTCCCCTCCACCTCCTTACCACTACAAATCACCTCCACCACCATCAAAGTCTCCACCACCTCCATACCATTATAAATCTCCACCTCCACCTTCACCATCACCACCACCTCCTTACCACTACAAGTCTCCACCACCACCATCCCCATCACCTCCCCCTCCATACATCTACAGCTCACCTCCTCCTCCATTGAAGTCTCCACCACCTCCTGCATATTACTACAGGTCACCTCCACCTCCACAGCACAACTAAGCTTACGGTTACAGCCACTTCAATCATTCAGAATAAGTACCCGCCTTTGGATTTTAATTCGATACCATTTTTTTAGCTTTGTTCTTTTCACAAACATGAGTGCTGGTGAATAATAAGGGTCTAGCAGAACCCTTCTTGTAATCTGTTGTAAGCACTTATTGTATTACTTCTTTAAAGAGATTAATTGAATCAAATGAAAGTGAAGAACATTAATTTCATGTACTTGTTAATCTAGTATATGCCCCTATGACTTTTGGGTTAATTAGTTCTGTGCTTCTTTGTTGAAAAGTTAATGCATGATAATGCATATCACTTTATCATCGTTATTAAATAGTGAACATGCATGCATTTTATAATAGATTTGGTACCTGGATGTTTCAAGTTTAACCAAAGCCCAATTGGCCAGATACGAAATCAAATTTAAGAAATGTTTAATCTGATAGTTGACGTGACTTAATGTTTATGTTCATATGTTTGGGAAACATTACTGCACTTGAGTGGACAGAGATATGTTTATGTCCACTTGGCCTACTCTCGGAACTTAGCTGGCATGAACAAATAGTTGACTGCTGGCCACTTAAACATACCCAATTTTTTTTTTCTAGAGGCTATTTATTCTGAGTAGGAATCCCCGTTGGGTCCAGTCCCAGCCTTAATCGGGAAGATTTCGAGGTAAAATTGGAGGCGGGTATGTGGATTTCTGAATTTTTAAAATTCCCTGTCAAGGATGATATATTGTTATTCCCTTCTCCAAACCTGGTCTAATAAGGGATATATTTATTTGGGTAAAAATCACTTTTGGCCACTAGGGTTATAGTTCAAAACGATTTTGGGCGTGGATCCGTTGTCCCATCTTTCATGTCCCTCCATGTCCCTTTTCTAATTTCTTGACAAGTGTCCACCTACTTAACCCAAAACTAACACTTTTAATTTGTAATAAAATATTTAAAAAACATAAAAACTAAGATAGAAAAACAAAAACCAAGCAGCCACCACAACCCCGCCCCACCTCAGCGGCCCCTGACATCTTCACCATTGGTGAAGCATCCCCTCTTATTTGTCTCTCTATCTTTCTTCTATCTTACTGCCTCTCCTGAATTTGTTCCTCGTTCCCTCCTCTTTCGTGGTGTGGGTGTGACGACAAATAGTGTTTCTAAGCAATAATAGTCTTAATCTCAAGGTTTAAGTCATAGTGTTCCTAAGAAATAATAGTCTTAATATCAAGGTTTAAGTCACCATTGAATTCTACTTGGGTTTAGATCAAATCGGCATATCAACAAAAATTAACAAATAATATTTCAAGGGTTGTGTGACTTGCAACACTTGGTAGAAAAATATGGGACCAAATTCACACAGATATATATATATATATATATAGTCCCCTTCCATTGAGGGACACCTTTTAGGGTACTTTACAATTTTTTTTATCAACAATCCAAATTGTCTACTTTTCAAGTCCTTATTCATAGATCTTCCTTGCAAAAAATCAGACAAATTGAAAATCATTAAGGTATCTAATTGTTGAGGCCCAAAAATCCAAGGATTAGGCCCAAGTTTATTCTTAGCCCAACACGAATAAATTGATCGTGAAAGAAACATAAGAAAAATTGTGGGACGCACCCACATAAGCCATGGGCCATGCGACATGCCAAGCAAGCATGCGCAAAAGAATCAAAATGCACGCTCACCAACCCAATCCGATGCTATTTGGCCCGATCATAACTTATTGTGACATGATAAAATTCAAGGACAAGCAGGCTAAATAAACATGCAAGGCCATGTGGAAAACTGCTATTTTAATACCCAGCTATGCTACAAGCTTAAGTGGGGCCAAGCCACGTAATTACCCGGGGCTTGCTGAGAAGGTTGTGGTATGGAAGGAAACAAGCAATCACAGGGCCCATTGAGGGTTCAAGGAATGAAAAGTTTTAAGCTACTTGGGAGCATTAAAACTCAAGCCCGTTCCTCGGGCCCAAACACATGGGTTAGCATAAGAGAAAAGGAAAAATGATCCAATGCCTTAGGAGAATGCCTAGTAATCTGCTATAACACTTAGACAAGCCCACACCAATAAAATGCCTAGAATTAAATAAGTTGTTTCCAGCAGCTTGATGAAAACCCATTAAACGCAAGAAATAACATGCTAATAACCCAATATTGTGCTCACGAGCCCAGCCCAACGACTTGTGAAAAATCTAGTGTCGTGCTTCATCCTTGTCAGAGTTCCAAGGTGGTCAACAAAGAGCCATGGCAGGGACCAAAGGAAATCCATGAACATAGGAAGAATACCTAGCGGACAAAAGACTCCACCCATCTCCCTTTCCTACTGTAAGCACCATTTTAAAAAACCAAGAGGGAAAGCAAGTGGCGCCTCACCCTCATAGGGAGGTCCAGCCACACAAAATCCTTGGAGCCCTTTGAGCCTTGGATAGGAGAATTTCACCAAATTAGATCAAGTAGGAAGAAACAACAAAAAATGGAGAGAAAAGTTAGATGAAATTAGGGTTCTTTCAGCCTATAAAAGGGAGCTTTTCCTACCCAGTGAAATCTTCATCCAGAGCCTGACCAAGCTTTGTCAAGCGACTGAGAATTTACTCAAGCCACCCAATCTTCTTCTCTCATTATTTTCTTCTTTCCCTACGATAGAAATCCTCCTAATTTTCTTCTGCCCCATTTTAATTATACAAGAAACTCATGCTTTCTCTCTCTCAAATTGCTAAACTTGTGAAAGCTTAGCTCCCATGCCACAAGCTCCTTAAGCCAAGCCATTCATCGATTTGTTGTGTTTGTTTGGTTATTAGTGAAAAGAACCTGAAAGCGGTTTTTCTAAAGTTTTAGCAAACTTTTCAAAAACCTTTTTGGGAGCTTGGTTCTTGAACTCAGACACCGAGGGAATTTTGTTTGTTTTCTTCTCACAGCAACCCAAGCCCATTCGTCAGGCTGCTGGAACAAAAAGACCCCTACATAAATTGGCGACTCTGCTGGGGACCAGGCTGCCATTTCCACTGATGCCTCTAAGAAAGAAGGCTAGGAGCAATACCATGGCTTCCCAAGATGGGCCAGACCATGGTGATTCTGAATCAAGGCAAAATGCATCTTCTAGAGAGCAAGAAGTGCAAGTGAGGGAGCTTTCACCCTCATAGATCTCGTTATAGCTATACAGGCTATGGGGGAAACCCAGAGGGAGATGATGGAAACTATCAAAGAATTGAACAGTTCTGTCACTAAGCCAAGTGAAGAAAATAACAGGCACCCACAGAAGGAGTCTGCTGCTACTGGAAAGGGGTCTAAACAAAAGGGACCGTCTTTTGTTACCCAAGAGGATGTCGTTGCCATGCTGGAAAAGGAACTTAGCCGAAGCCAGGAGGATTGGAAATACATTCCTCAGCCACCATATCCATCAAGCTTACTCCAGCAACCATATCCTAAAGGCTACGAGTGATTTTATTTTATTTTTTATTTTTTTGTAAAGATGATCTTTGAATGAATATCTATAAAATAAATGGTTTGGATTAGTGAACATATAATGCGAAGTGGGCCTACAAGGGTGTCTCTCAAATAAGCTTATTTCACGGATCCCTCAATAAAAGCTTATATATATATATATACACACACACACACACTAGTTGACCTAGGAATTCTTTAGGGAAGGGGCAATCTGGAAAAGACTAAAAGCTCTAAAAGAAATAAATTAGACAACCAAATACCCTTATAATTTAAACAATACTAAAGTCATTCATAATTTGTGGAAAAAATAATATTACAATCAAACTACAATTGTTGCTGACAAGGTTTTGTATCATGAAATACAAGGAAAAACATCTTTATCAATGTAAACTACACAATTAGTCTACCAAAATTCATGTCAAATCATCAATTAAGCTAACCAAAATGCATATCAAATATCAATTAAACAAATCAATAATAACTTATCCTACCTCGGACTCAAGTTGTTTGCACAACCTCTTCCTCATACCAATAGTGTGCACAATGTAGCCTCTTCCTCATCGAGTTTGAGAGCCAAATCAGAAGAAGAAAAATTGAGAAGAATAAAAAAGAAAAATATGCCAATTTCCAGTACTGACACAACATCATATCAATTATCAACTATTCTCTCAAAGATAAAATAAATTATCAATTATCAAATTTTTTTTAAGAAGACAAATCAATTAACTTAACCTAAAAGAACTTTGATAATATTGTAGACAAAAAGAAAAGATGATGTACACCTTTGAAAAAACAAATCCAACCAAAATAAATAATTAAAAAAAAAAGGAAAAAAGGAAAAGTGAAGATGATTTTTGTTTTTTTTTTTTTTTTGGTAACAGAGGAAGCTAATGCCCAAGAACACAAGCCAGCTAACTAGAAGCAGAGAAGACGAGGCCTGGAGTCACCCCTTGAATCAGCAACTAGGATGTCAACAATGCAAGCTGGCATCTCATCAAAGATATGCAGACCTGGACTAAAATCAAAACTAATAGCAGCCAAAGCATCAGCTGCATAATTTTGTTCACGAAGGATGTGTCTAACTGAGCAAAACCAATTAGCACTTCGGGGTGGGTAGAAATAGTGAGAGAATTAAGAAGAGTCACTGCAACCTTGGAATCGCTTTCCACTTCCACAGTTCAAAACCCAGAGTCCCAAGCTAGGGAGAGTCCCCAAAAAATACCCCACAATTCAGCCTCAAGGACAGAGCCAATACCCAAATTCACATAATAGCCCTTAAGCCAAGCACTAGTTGCATCTCTTAACACACCAGCAACGCCAATTTGACCAGTAGTGTTATTCCGACTACCATCAAAGTTAATCTTACAGCCTCCAAGATTGGGACAATTCCAGGACAGCTGCGTCAAAGTTTGATTAGAGATTCCTATAATTGGTTTGTTGGCCGAATACCACTCTTCAGCATACTGGCAGATAATTTGTCTTGGTTCAACATGCATAGTAAAGTTTTGGTCAAACACCCCTTTGCATCTCCATTTCCACATAAACCAAAGAGATAATGTAAAAATTAGGTGCCAAGGCAAAGTATGATTTGCCTTCCTTTTACTCTTCAAATTTCGTAGAATCCAATCATCAAAGTCAAGAGAGCCAAGGTCCCTAAAATCAACACCAATGCCATTCCATGCAACAATAAAATAGGGCAGTCTTTGAACATGTGCTCAATTGTTTCCATAGAAGTAGCACATCTAGGACAGTTAGGGATTTGAGTGAGGCCTCTTCTCTGTCTTTGCACATTAGTAAGTAACTTCTTATGACAGAAAATCCAGAGGAAGGTTTTAGTCTTGGGAGGGAGGTGCAGCTGCCAAATAAACTCCTAAGCCCACTTAAACGTGGGTTCATCAAGAAAGAACGTGATGTAAGCAGTTTTTACAGAAAAGTCACCATTAGGAGTGAGCCGCCAAATACTTTTGTCTACTCCACTGCCAGGGAAACCAACATGGATGCTAAGAATAATCTAGATAATACTATCAAGGAGACATTCCCTTAAGCAATTTAGATCCCAGTTTCCATTTCCTAAAAAGTCACTTACATTCAACTGGAGCATATCTTCAGTCAGCTCAGTGAGAGCATGCTGCTGGAGAGGGCCACAACTAAGCCAGTTATCTGTCCAGAACCTCACGTTCTCCCCAGAACCCACTCTCCACTTGATGCCTTTAGAAAGAGTTGAAGTCCCATATAAGACTCCCCTCCAAGCACTTGAACAACAAGGGAATAGAGAAGCCTTAGCAGTTAAGATGTCATTCTATTTGAAATATTTCGCTTTAAAGACCTCAGCCCATAGCCCTTGCTCTTGTTGAAGGAGTCTCTAACCAAATTTAGCCAAAAGCGCTTGGTTCATCCAAGCCATTTTCTTAATGCCCAAGCCACCAGCAACCTTGGGTTTGCAGGAGGTTTTCCAGTTCACTAAATGAATAGTAGCTTTATCAGCAGTGTGCCCCCAAAGAAAATTTCTAGTCAACTAATCAAGCCTATCACAGACAGATATAGGCAACTTGACAGTTTGATGGTATACAAAGGAATAGCAGCAATCACAGATTGAAGAAGGGTGATCCTACCAGCCATAGATAGGGTGTGGTGTTTCCAAGAAGCTAACATTTTCTGAACTTTAGCAATGACCTCTTGATAAGTTGTTTTGTCAACTCTAGTGTGGATAAGAGGAACACCAAGGTACTTCCCAAGGTTTAAGCTGTGAGGGGAACCACTTATGGTAGCAATAGAGTTAGCCAAGTCGGAGCAAATTTTTGGGGAGACACAGATCTTAGATTTATCAAAGCTAACTTTTTGGCCAGAAAGATGACAGAATTCATCCAAACAAAGCTTCATTAGGTGGGCTTGATGAATGGAGGCTTCCCCAAAAAGGATAAGGTCATCTGCAAAAAGAGGTGGGAAATGTTTGGACCTCCTTGACAAATTTGAACCGGTTTCCAGATCCCATCATGGATTTTTTGTTGGATGAGGTGAGAAAGTTTTTCCATACAAAGAACAAATATGTAGGGCGAGAGAGGGTCCCCTTGCCTTATACACAATAAGGAGAGAAAACTGCAATTAACTCACCATTGAGGATGGCCTTATATTGAACAGTGGAAATACAATGCATTAATAATTCCAGGATTCGCCCCCTAATTCCCACCTCCCACAGAACCTCCCGAACAAAATGCCAATGCAGCTGATCATAAGCTTTAGATAAATAAATTTTCCAAGCAATAAAACCCTTTTTTCCTTTAGCAGTTTTGAATTTATGTAGCACCTCTTGAGAAACAACAATATTATCCGTAATCTGCCTTTCGAGGACGAAGCTTACTTGGTTCGGACTGACAAGCTTGGCCATTCAAGGACGAAGCCTAGCTACAAGGATTTTAGAGACCACTTTATAGAGCGTATTGCAGAGGCTAATAGGCCTAAGTTGTGTCATGGAGATAGGTCTCTCCACTTTGGGGACCAAAGTAATAAGAGTCTCATTGATGTGCTCAAGAAGGGTGGCAGTTTGAAAGCACTCTTTGGTAAATGAAATGATATCATTAGAGCAAACCTCCCAAAACTTCTGATAAAAAATAGCAGGGAAGCCATCAGGACCAGGGGTCTTTAAACCACCAATGTTGAAAAGGCTCTCTTTAATCTCTTCATTAGACACATCACAGCTCAACCCCGTAAGATCAGCCTCCTTAAGATGAGGAAATAATTGAGGGAGTATGGAATAATCACCGACTCATAAGTACAAAAAAGACCCTGAAAGTAGTCAACAATAATCTGCTTCATGCTCGTTTTGTCTGTAATCCAGTCCCCATTATCATTATTTAGACCTTCCAGTTTATTTCTCCTCCTGCTGATAATTGTAGATAGATGGAAAAACCGAGAATTTTTGTCACCTTCTTTAAGCCATGTATTTCTTGATTTCTGCAACCAGAAAAGCTCTTCTTGCTCAAGGAGCAGATTATAGTTGTTGGTTAATTAATCTTCAAGGTCACAAAGGTAGGGATTGTGCCCCAAACAAAGCTTCCTTTGGATACCTGCAAGCGGAGCCAGGAGCCTTCTTTTTTTTTTAGAATAAGCAACCAAAAACTTGGCAGTTCCAGGAAATAAGAGAGGATTTAAGGCGAGCAGATTTTTTACTAGCATGGCCATCTCCAATACTCCAATTCGCATGAATAAACTTAGGGAAATCAGGGTGAGACATCCACATTTCTTGGAATCTAAAATGAGTACAATCTCTCGCAGGATAGTGGTTGGAATCTAAAGAGACCAGAACAGGATAGTGGTCAAAGTTCACTCTAGGCAGATGAGATAGATGAGCCTCCGGGAATAAAAGCCGCCAATTTATGTTGCATAGACCCCTATCAAGCCTTTTCCAGATAATACCTTCAACATTCCTCTTATTGCACCAAGTAAATTTAGCACTAGAGAAACCCAAGTCCACAAGTTGATTTCGATCAATCCATTCAATAAAGCTTCCACCACCCTGGTCTAAGCTGCCTCCACATTTTTCATCCGCACTCGCAATGTCATTAAAATCGCCTAGGACCAGCCATGGCAGGTGGGAGGCACAGGCAAGGCCATCAAAGTATTTCCATAGGGATTCTCTAATTCCCGGGTAGGGATTAACATACACCATAGTGAGGAGACACCACTGATTCCCCAAAGTCACTAAAACAGTAATCGATTGACTAGAATGAGCAACAACCTGGAGAGACACAGAGCTAGCATTCCACAGTAACCAAACACCCCCAGAAAAACCAGTAGCATCAACAATGTGATAGTGAGAGAAACCCAAGTTTTGAGCAACAGTAAGGGCCCTAGACCCACTTATTCTAGGCTCCAAGACAGCAAGAATATCAATGTCAAAAGCTTTCTTTAAATCCTTAATAGTGCTTGCACAACTATTTTTACCAACACCTCGTACATTCTAAGCAACAATATTCATTATAATTGGATATGGAGGGATAGTGACCTTAGGGAGACCCTAATTCTGTAAATGCACAGCCTCAAAGGCTGCAGGCGCATCATGATAAGAAGGCATACCAGCCTCAAGTCCAATGACCAACTTACGCTAGTCCAAACATTCACTTTGTTGCTCCATATCCTCAGACGTATCCCTCATCTCTGAAATCACCCCTACAATAGGCTCCATGTTGTAATCATCAGGAGGTTCAGGTTCAGGAAAAGTGCTATCTTTAGCCAGGGAAGGATCATGGAAGAAAGGTCCATCAACATTGAAGGAAAAAGTTCCACGAACATCATCCTACATATCAGATCCACTTACTTGCATGCCAAAGGTTTCCACAACTAGGAAATTAAGGGGTTTAGCTCCAACTCTATTTTTCCAATCCTTCTTCGAACTGCTACCAACCTTATTCGTATCCGTATTGCTTCCCCCAACCATTACAGTTGAGTTTGTAATATCCTTGAGAGGCTTTTTGAAGACCCAGGGAGAATAGCTATAAGAGGTTAGGCTTTTGTTCCCAGTGGGTTTAGCTTTGGCATCAAGGTTCATTGCAGACTTAGCCACAGTTTTGCTAGTCATATTTGAGCTAGGAGCAGTTGCTTTGGCAGGGGGGAATCTTCCAAAATTATTCCATTACTAATTTTTCCTTCCTCATTCAGGAGATTAAACCAAGAGCCATTGTAATAATTTGAGTTCTTTGGGTTCCTCTTGCTAATTTCAGCACCCTTTCCTGAGTCATTCAGGATCTTCTTCTTAAAATTCCTTGTCTTCATCAGCATCCACTCTCCATGTATCTTAGCTAGATTTTCAACCGCTAGTGTAGCAGGGCTATCAACTTGTAGTTCATCAATTTTGTTCGTAGTATTCATTTCCATAACTTCAGTGTCAACAGAATCAGCTGCCTGTTGTTTAGCTTGCACAATAATAGGACAGGTATCCTTTCCATGGCCATAACACCCACATTCAAAGCAGACCAGGTTAATGATACAACTCCATAAGTACGACCTTCAACCTCAATAAATGGGGTGAGGGGTTTAGCTAAATCAAGTTCAATGAAATTCTAGCAAACTTACCTCGAGCTTGGCTCATCGTATTGGCATCAACCTTGATTGTAGTCCCTATCAAATTCCCAATTTTCTCCATCACGTCATAGCGGAAGTATTCAACATTCAATCCATTGATACGCACCCAAGCAGTCATATGAGAAATTTTTTCCTCCTGGGCATTAAATCCAGGTTTCCACTTTTGGGTCACCATGTATTGACCAGCAATTTGCCAAGGACCGCTGGTAAGAACATATCTCATATCTTCTTCATATACAAATTTAACGATGATGTAGTTGTTCTCTAAATCAATAAGGCTCATCGGGCCCTTAAGCTCCCACTTCTAGAGAAGACGAGCTCTCAAGAAAGTGAAGGCTAGAGGGCGACCCATGAGCTTGATGATCACCGCCGTACGCCAGGGCCGATACAACGCGTTCTTGATTTTGTCAAAGAATTGGATTGAGGGAATCGTCCCTGATTTGATAATAACGTCGTCTTCTCCAATCTCCATTTGTTCCTCGGCCATACCAAAGCCTCCAGCAACTTTGTCTTTAAAACTCATAGGAATTGGGGGCAGTGGGGGAGGAGGTGCATCAGGCTCCAAATCATCAGCATCCAAAATTTCCAGGGTGCGGACGCGTTTTCCGCCAGCAAATGGACCATCCTTTGTAGGGCCTTCAACATGGAACACAAACTCAGTCATAATCGCAGTGGGCGACGATGACATTTACTAGGGTTTGAAGATGAACAGCGAAAAGCAGGGGAAGCAGACAAAGCAGGGTTTGAAGATGAACAACGACGATGACATTCACTAGGATTATGTCGCTTTTTCAGTTATGGATGTGGTTGTCCAACCCAAAAAACAAAAAAGTGGAAGAAAGTCACGCTTAGCAGCAAGACAACAAAGTAACGTTTAAACAAAGTTAAGTTTGATTACCATACGACTTCGTTTCCTCTTTGGTTCAAAATGATGTCGTTTTGGTCAGAAGATTTTGTTTTTTTTTGAAAAAAAAAAGAAAGAAAAAGAGGCGCAAGCTGCGTGCAGTATAGCAAACAAAGCACCCATTTCAAGCGTTTCGTCGAACATGATCTATGCAGTAGCATAAGGGCACCATTCCGGCATCTCTATGTCATTTTCCAACGAGGGGAGGTGCAGCTGCACATCCTTGCTCCTCCGTGGGCACACCAGTGTACATATATATATATATATATATATATATAAGAGGAAGGACTCAGGGTGATGAGGTGGGGATTGTGGTGGCCGCTTACTTCACTGGCGGTGAAGAGAGGAGAACTCAAGGGCAATGAGGTGGGGTTAGGTGAGTTGTGGTGTCTGTTATATTTATTTTTTTAATTTTTAATTTTTAATTTATTTTATTTTTATTAAATCTTAAGAGTGTTAGTTTGGGGTTAAGTAGATGGACACTTTTCAAGAAAGTAAAGAGGGGACATAGACGAACATGAAAAATAGGGATAGCAAATGCAGACCCAACGATTTTGGTCACCGTGATTCCAATTTTCCCAATTTCGTCACCGAACTTGTAATAATTATAACAAAACAAGTCAAATTCCTTAATTTCGTCAGTTTTCGTGCACGTGTTGCACGCGTGCATGGGCTTTATTCCGCTCGTCCATCTCCCTTACACTCGTTTTGGGCTTGAGGGCCCAAGAATAAGACAATGAGGTGCGCTGCACTGAGAAGATGTCGTGTAGGGTTAGGGTGAGATCAGGGTGAAGAGGTTGAGGAGGAGTGGTTGGGGTTGGAATTATGGTAGGATGGTGGGTGGTGAGGGTTAGTGGCTGTGTGGGTTGTGGTTTAGGTTGATTTGGATTAGAATGGTCATGGCGAGGATGGGAAGATGGTTTTGTGTGTGTGTGTGTGTGTGAAATTGGAAGATGGGTTTCATAATGGTGAGAACTAAAAATAAAATAAAAAGACCATTTTACCCCTAGATTTTACAGAAAAGATAACTGAAGTGACGTCACGACCTCTGATGTCATTGTAAATAAAGTTAAGGGAGTAGAATAGCTATTTTTAACACTGCTAATTGTGGTACGCTGGCAATTCCCACATTCTCAAAGCCTATTGTAGGGCTTTGACTTTTTCAGGGTAAACATATACTGAGCATGGGGAAGGCAAATCAAGAGTACAAGTACATTTGGGCTCAAACTAAGCAGGAATAGTCTGTAGTTGAAGTTAAGGCTAAGGATAAGGTGGTCTCTGATACCGAGCTGGCGTGTAGTGATTTCGCTCGTCATCCAAGACAACACGATTTGAGTAATCATGGCCATACTCAACAGCCCAGCAGATGCGATGAAGCTACCGTCGACATCGGAGGAGGCAAAGAAAGTACCATGAAGCTTCCATTGTCTTTCTTCTTCCCAAGACCACTAATAGTCATTTGGACAGTGAATTCTGGCTGGCATCGGAGATGGCGATGGGGTGTAGGGGTGTTGCATTGGATGCTAGGTACTTTCGGAGGTGGGGTGATGGAAGGGACGGGAAGAGATTAGGTTTTTTTATATTCTGAAATATTAAATTTTATATTGAAGAAAATTATTTTTAGCTTAATATTAAATTATTTTTAACAAAGCAAATTGACATAATTAAAGCATTGGACTTGATTTGTTAACTGTTGCAAATGCAGTGACCAAATTCAGAAAATTGGAATCATAGTGACCAAAATTATTTTCAACCCTAACCCTAGTGACCAAAATTATTTTTTACTCTTTTCAAAATTGAAAGAGAAAAATGTGAATCGGGCACAAGTTTAGGGACCCTTTTTTTATTTTGTTTTCTCGTTTAGATTTTTTTTTTGGTCAATTCCAATTTGGGTACCCTTTGGTTTCACTTGTAATGCATGTTTGCCCTTCTTATCTCAATTTTAACAATTAGGTACCCTCACACTATTAAATTTTTTTACAATGTGATTCTCTCGTTAGAATGACCATAAAAAATTTGTTAAGTGCTTACATGCCACACGTGGGACCCACTTCTGCTACTTAATTGAAATAAAACATTATTAAAAAAATGTAGAATGCAATTTAATATACCATTAAAATATTTATAAAAAACAGGAAAAAAAAAGAAGAAAAAAATACTTCAACTCTCGTTCACCTTTCCCAACCTCTACACCTTGCTCAAAATTTAGACCCGACAGCTCCAACCACCACTGCCCACTGAGAAATCCATCCCTCTCCCTAGAAATTCCTTCTCTCTTCCCACTTAATTTTGTTTGAAACAACAACAAGAAGAAACCAAAACAATTTCAAATTCTAAAATCAATCCCACAATTTTGAACCAAAATAAAAATAAAAATTTAATTCAAACCTAGAAGCCCCATGAACCCGAGAACTGCCTGCTAAAATATAAATATGGTTTGAATACTTTAGGTTAATTGTATTCTTCTCCATAAAGAGATATATAGGAGTTTACAAGAGTGCTTTACAAGGAAATAGATACAGTAATCAATTAGGAGAATATCTTCTAATTATATAAGGATATGTCAACTATATAAAATAAAGAAGTAAATCACCTAATTAATCAAGGAAATAAATCTGCTTGATTAATTAGGATATCTCACATTAACACTCCTCCTCAAGTTGGTGCATACACGTCACCAATGCCTAACTTGGTAAGTGAGTCATAAAACACTCGTCCACAAATAGCTTTTGTTAAGACATACGCTAATTGATCTTCTGATTTTATAAAAGGTAGACATATGATCTTGTTCTCAATTTTTTCTTTGATTAAATGTGTATCCACTTCAACATGTTTAGTTCGATCATGTTGAACTGGATTATGAGCAATATCGATAGCTTACTTGTTATCATAATGTAACTCCATTGGCTTCTCTGGTTTAAAACCCAATTCTGTCAAAAGTCCTCTGATTCATAATAATTCACACACTCCTTGAGCTATTCCTCTATACTTTGCTTTTGCACTAGACCAGGAAACCACATTTTATTTTTTACTCTGCCAAGTGACAAGGTTACCTCCAATGAATATTAAGTAACCTAATGTAGAGCATCTATCTGTAATGCAACCAGCCCAGTTAACATCTGTATATCCAACAACTTCAAGATTTCCATTCTTGGAGAACATTAGTCCCTTTCCAGGAGCTGACTTTAAGTATCTTAAAATTATATCAACTGCATTCATATGAGAAACACTGGGAGAATGCATAAACTAACTAACCACACTCACAACATATGTAATATCTGGTTTTGCCTGTGCCAAATATATCAACCTTCCAACAAGGGCTGGTATTGTTCCTTATTGGTAGGCACACGGTCCATATCTTCACACAGTTTGTGATTCATCTCAATAGATGTGTCAACAGGCTTACATCCAAGCATTCCTATTTCAGTGAGTAGATCCATCACATACTTCCTTTGAGACAGAAATATACTAGTTTTTGACCATGCTACTTCAATTCCGAGGAAGTATTTTAGAGCACCTAAATCCTTCATCTCAAATTCCCGAGACAAATACTTTTGTAGCTTCTGTTGTTCCCCTATCATTCCCAGTTATGACCATGTCATCCACATACACAATTAATGTAGTGATTTTTCCGCCATTGCACTTTAAGAACAAGGTATGGTTTGAATTACTTTGAGTGTACCCAAAATTCTTCACGAACTTAGTAAATCTACCAAACCCTGCCCTGGGAGACTGCTTTAACCTATATAATGATTTCCTGAGCTTGCATACTTTATTTTTCTTGTTATGAGCTATATTACATCTTGGTGGTAAATCCACGTAGACCTCTTCCTCCAAGTCTCCATGTACAAAAGCCTTCTTTAACATTGAACTGATGTATTGGCTAATCTAGATTTGCTGTGAGAGACAATATAACTCTGATAGTGTTGATCTTGGCTACTGGGGCAAAGGTCTTCTAGTAGCCCACACCATATCTCTGTGTGTACTCCTTTGCCACTAGTCTAGCTTTGTATCTTTCAATGGATCCATCTATTTTGAGTTTCACAGTATAGATCCACCTGCATCCTACCATCTTCTTTCGTGAGGTAAAGGCACGAGTTCCCATGTGGAATTCTTCTGGAGCATTCACATTTATTTATTTATTTTACATTTGAAAGTTTTTAAAAAAATAAAATTTAGAGAATATTTGATTATAAAAAACTCAATTTGTTTTTGAAGCCCATTTTATAGGCAAAAGGGAGTGGATGTGGACTTTGGGCAAATCACCATGGGGATGATACGTGTCTTGATATTAGGTTCTGCGTGCTTAATCTTTAGTAAGGCCTTCGGCACGCTGTCGTTTAATCGGAGAAAGGTGTCCCTTTGGTACCTTTGGTCATGATGACGTCATCAGGAGTCTGAACCAGCAGTTTTAGTATTTCCTCTTCAATAGTGGGTGGGCTATGCCTGTGTACCTGTCCTTCAATGTCAACTGTGTTAGGTTGATTATGGAACAAATAGATAGGACAGGGGCAAATTGAAATTGACCTTTTTTTTTTTTTTTTTTTTTTCTCTTGGGAAGGATACTCTTTAAATTGTACGCATATGTGTACAAAATGAGTTGTTTTTGTATTGTCTAAATTTTTTGTGTTTTCTTATTTGTTGAGGATAATCTAAGGGCTGTGTTAGATGAGCATCGATCCACGACAATGTCAACTTAGGCGGTGACCTCTTAGTTGGAATCGAGAGTCCCTTTTTTGTTTTGGTTAGAATGAAAACAAAGTCTGCAGTCGATATATACGTTTAGCTAAGTTTCCCTTGTTTTTCTTTCTTTGCATTTGTTTTTCTTCCTCACCGACTAATACGTACAAACATGCATAAGACTTTCAAATCTAAATTTCAAACTTTTCTAGAAGTATATATATATATTTATTGAGCTACCACTTGCCAAGTCTAATGACACACACAGTGGGACTCATACATTAAATGCAAGCTTGACCTTAAATTTTTCTTCCCTCTTACACACAAGGGGCGATTGAGTGAAAATAAAAATAACAAATTAATTTAGAGAGACCAAAATATTAAAGAAAATTTGATATTTCTCAAAATTTTCAATGTCTAATATATTTTTTTATTAAATATATGTAATATAGTTGATGTAATTAACTGACTATAAATTTATATAAATAAACTTTTGATGTTGTGAAACCTGTTTTATTTATTTATTTATTTATTTATTTATTTTGGAGAATTATATTCATAAATTAGGCGTAAAAAAACCATAATGTGTAGGGCCAGTACAAATATCCACAAATAGTTAATACAAAGATGGAAGCATAATAAGCACGCAGGGTTAATCCAGATGCATAGAAACACACAGTACTGATAACATCAACTGCACAAGGTGTATCTCCACTAATTAATGGTCACATAATGCCAAAAAAAATTATGCATAAAAGGTGCAAGGCTGCATAAGACAGACATGAATCGCTATGTGTAAAACTACCAACACAACTACAACTTTTAAATTCTCACAAGTAGAAATTACAAGTAAAACCTAGACTACAAACAAACACCCAACTTACAAGAGTTGATGAAATTATTACAACTCAAGAATATATAAACACACAAGAAGTGAGTAAAAGTTGCTAAGCCACTAAGCCACCTTGTATGTCTCTAAATTCGGCAACGAAACCACCAGCGCATTGCTACTTCATCGTCACCAAAGATTCCAACTGAGTGGGAGAAAAACTTAGGTTGGTTACTAGAGAATTCGAATGGTACAATTGCCTTTCAGGTTCTCAATCTTAATTTGGAATAGAAGTAACACATTTTCAAAAGATTTATTTTTCTAGCTCTCATAAATATGGATGAGGTGAAACCAGCCAAAAGTTCCTCAGTCACACACTAAACTGAATATCTTTAAACCTTATTACACTAGGTTAGTAAAAGAATTTTCTCTTTTTAATTCTTTGGTGCAACTCGACCTCTTCTTTATAGTTTTTGAATTGATGTAATAATCTACATTATTATTTAAGAGTCGATCACTTTTGACAAAGTGCCAACTATGCTCCTATTTACATTACATTGAATAAAGAAAAAGATAATATAGTGACGGTAAAATAGTTATTAACAGTTATTCTAAAATAAAATAAAATAAAACAAACTAAACTTATCCATATGTTTCTCCCACTATTTTTTGTCACTATTTCTTATTATTACATTTCGTAATAGTAATATAAGGACTAATGAACTAATGCAAAAACATTAAGGGCCCTTAATCGAGTTCGGCAATTCAAATCCAAAAATTCAATTGGCAAAGTACAATGTGTGTTTATTTATTTGGGTTAAATACCTTTTTGGTCACTGGATTTTATACGAAAATTTAATTTGGTTACTGAGAAAAAAATTGAGCCAAATTGATCACTGTGTTTCCTGAAGCTTATAATTTATAGACATTTCGTTATCTTTCATTAAATGCAGTTTTTATTTTTATTTTTATTTTTATAGGAATCACCTTCAGTCTTCTTCCTTTAACTCAATGAGTTATGATATATTGTGCTATTAGAGTTTAGCAAATTGGGGGAAATCTTGGGTTGAAATCAAAATTGTGAAGTATAAGGAAAATCAAAAGGCCAAACCAAATTAAAATGAAATCAACAACTTACCAATATATTTTGGTGCTCTATCACCTTGATTGTGTCTCATTGTCATCCGAAGTCACAATACGGTTCTCACTCAATTGATTTAGGCTTCAATATAATACCCAATTCATGACCTTATACCTCATCATTTCGATTTCAACCCAAGATTTCCCCTCATTTTTAAACTCTTATAGCACAATGACCTAACTAGTTGAGCTAGCGAGTTAGAGGAAGAAGACTTGAACGTGCTTCCTGGAAATATAAAAATAAAAACTGCACTTAATAGAAGTTAACGGTAGATAACGAAATATCTATAAAATAATATTGTAAACTTTTGAAAACACAGTGACTAATTTGGCTAAATAAATTTCTCAGTGGCCAAATTGAATTTATGTGTAAAACCCAATGACCAAAAAGGTATTTAACCCTTTTTATTTTTATGAAGCAAAACTCTAATGTTAATGGATGAAAAGCTTTACACCTTTTAATTAGCACTTTTGATAATCCAGCCAATTATTTTTCATAATGGGTCAACGTGTTCAGTTACATGCACCCTCTTCATTTTCACTTTCCAGCCGTACAAACTTACCTACCACACGATTTGACTTGTCCATGGCCTTCATGAAAGATCGAAGTTGAAAATCTTTGTGGGAACCCAAAATCACTGGTTGAAGCAAGCGAGTTCAACTGATTGGCATTTCAAAATTTCAAAGTCACATTTGGTAGAAAACTTAAAGCATCAATCCAGCCAATTATGCTGAATAAGCAAACACGTCTTATTCAAAGATGATGTCAAAGATTGCTATAAAAGGGATAGCTTTCTCACCATTTCCAACCACCTCACTCACAAAACAAGTTCTAAGAACTATAATTTCTGGCAGAAATGAGAACCTCAGGACAGCTGAGGCATTGCCCTACGATGTTTTATGCCTTGGCATTGTGCCTCTTGGCCACAAGTGCGCTTGCCACTACGCCTTATACTTATTCTTCACCACCTCCACCACCAAAGCACTTAGAGACCCCTCCAACCCATTACAAGTCCCCCCCACCACAAAAGTACGTAAAACATCCACCACCTCCATCACCATCACCCCCGCCACCCTATTATAAGTCTCCACCACCGCCTTCTCATTCGCCGCCTCCTCCTTATGTGCACAAATCTCCTCCACCACCCACTCACTCACCACCTCCACCATATGCTTACAAGTCACCACCTCCCCCTTCTAAATCACCACCTCCTCCTTATGTCCACAAATCTCCTCCTTATGTCCATAAGTCACCACCTCCACCATCATATTCTCCTCCACCTCCTTACCACTACAAGTCACCACCTCCACCATCATTCTCTCCTCCACCTCCTTACCACTACAAATCACCACCTCCACCATCACATTCGCCTCCACCTCCTTACCACTACAAGTCACCACCACCACCATCTCCATCACCTCCCCCTCCATACCACCACAACTCTCCTCCTCCAGTGAAGGCACCTCCACCTCCCAAATATTACTACAGATCACCACCACCTCCAAAACACTACTAAGCTTTATGGCTTTTTAGCGACTTGAACCAGTCCAAATAAGTTCTTCGTTTCCATGTTCCAGCGGTATCACTTCTTTTTCTAGCTTTGTTCTATTTGCAGACAAGTGTGTTTGGGAATAATAAAGGTCTGACAGAAACCTTCGTGTATCAATTAGTTTTTTTTTCCTTCCCCTTTTAAAGAAATGAAAGCAAAGAGTGTTTCACATACGTACTTGTTTTTATGTAGTTCCTATGCTATTACATAAGCCTTTTGGATCAATAAAATTATGTGTTTCTTCGTGGAAAAGTTAAAGTGCGATAATGTATCACTTCATCAAACATCATAGATAGTTTGGATCTACACGAAAATCCATGAGATTCTATTTTGGGTGACACTTTATAGAGTCCATTTCGCATTTTAGGTTGACAATCTGAATCGTGTATTTCTGAAATCCCATGAAAGGATCATCATTGCAAAAGATAGTCAAATTCGAAACTAGTAAAACATCTAACATTTAGCTAATATTTGTGGACAAAGAAGGGGAAAGGAAAGAAAAAAAAAAAAAAAAAAAAAAAAAAAAAAAAAAAAAAAAAAGAGTTTTAGTTTTAAAAAAAAAAGAAAAAAGAGAGAAATCTAATACACAGCCAATAACGCTAGAATAGTGAGTCCGTTCTCTTACTCTCAAGTTGGACCTCATTACCATAGATTAAATTAATTTAAAATAATTTAGACTATTCGCTTGTATAAAAAAAGATAAAGATGATTATTGGAGGTTTGAGGAAGACTTTTTTACTTGTACTATTGTAAAACAATCAAGGTTTTAAATAATTAAATAAAAGTGACCATTTTATAACAGATTTAATTAATGTTCTCATGTAGCAATTTGAGTCCTTCGAGCTAAAATATATTACAATCTTGTCCTTAATTTGTGCATGCTCATTTTGCTGCCGCGTGTACATACTTAACACGCGAGATTATTAAAGAGACCCTAGATAAGTTGTACTTTCAACTATCAGACTTCATTTATTTGTAAAGTTGAAAAGATGATTTGAATTATTGCTTGGTTCCGTGTCTTACATCGAAAAAGCCTAATTACTACACCTAATTAAAAATTGATGGGTAAAGAGTCGCATTAAAGTCGCCAGCCTCTTTGTTTTTCGGTAAAAGAGTGTCTTATATATCGATAATTTGTAGCTCAAGTGATTATCAATTATCTTATATGAAACCTGAAAAGGGCACGTACCCGCCTCAGTCCGAGACATTTTTTAGTTTAATTTTAGACCAAGCACATATACCACCTCCCGTACCCGCCTCAGTTAGAAATTGTATACTACATTTTCATGAAAGCGCAAGAATTATATAATGCAGAATGTAACTGGGGATGTAATAGACAGACTATCACGAGCTCAAAGTTTTGGATTTTTGGTTTGACTAGTCCAATAATGGGTATGAAAACGATTTCATTTTCTTCTCTGCACATAGCTGTAAAACATTAACTGTTTGTATTACGTATATATACTGACTATGGAAAATATTATTCTATTTATATAAATATGTTTATGTGTATTTATATATATTAAGGGATAAGCATCCCAATCCCATACACGACAATGCACGTCAACTTAGGCGGTGACCTCTCAAATAAAATCAAAGTCTATAGCTGTATAAGTTTATAAACTCCCTTTTTTCCTTTGGTTTCATTTTCTTCCTCACCTACTAAAACAAACACATGCATAAACCTTGAGTATATATTTAACTCATCTACAAGTATCTTTCAGGGCCACCACTTGCCTGACAAGTCAGTCGAGAGACAAATACATTTAGGGGGTGATTTAATCTCTCTGTAGAGTAAGAGTACGTAATTCTTTAGTTGAAAGGACAGATAAGTTGATAGCTTCTCAGTAAGTGTTAATTGAACTTTTAAACCCCTTTATTACACATTGCGCCATCAACTACAAAATCTTGCAATGTCAAATTTAATTTTTGCAAATGTATTCTTTTTGTCCGTTTCATCTAATAAATTTTTATAGCATTTTTTTTTTTAAAATCAAAATAGTAATAATAATTAGTTATAGTTAATCCAATGGGCCATGCACATGAATATGAATGCTTGGAAAATGCAAAAGTTTCTTGGTCAGAAAGTTATCATGGTTGAGATGCAAAGCCATGTTCTAAATGAACCAAATAAAGAGGATATATAGTAGAATAATATAAACCCTAATACATTTCTCTCTATCATCTCTTTCTAAGAGGCACTATGTGTTTCCGGAGGGAAGAGGAGGCCACTCATCCTCCTCTCTCTCTCTCTCTCTCTCTCTCTCTCTTCCTTTATCCCCTTCCTCATCTTCTGGACTTGAGATTTTAGTTGGGGGAGGTTATTTGTGCCTAGATCTATTTGGGATCTTGGTTTTTACCCAGATCTGCTTGGATATGTGGTTTAGTGGTTAGATTTGTTTGGGTTCTTTGTTGCAATCTCAATAAAGAGAGAGAAAACTCTAGAGATATGATTCATGAAATCTTTGGCCAAAGTATTGGATGAATTTGCAAAATGAAGTTTGCAATCTAGAAAAATGGTATTAGGGATTTGACACAAGTTATCTGTATCCCAATAGTATGACATAGAGTATTGTTTAAAGAAGGACCGAATTGCATTGTAATTTCAACTGAATAGGTTCTTCAATGAAATTCTATTTAGCTTCAGTAGCCATGACATACTGATAGGTGTCACTCATGACTTGTGAAACCCATGTAAGGTCTAATTACAATTAGCCTTCACCAATAAGGAGAATTGAATGATAAGATTCAATTCATGCTTGGTTTAGAAGAATCAGACTTATCCACTCTTGTTAGTGTTAGAACCTAAAAAATCGCACACCATAAAAGGAATGGATTGAGAAATAAAAGAGAGAAAGATTTTACGCCTTGCTGAAAGTCAAAGTCAAAGGTCAACTGTTGACCCGGCACTTGACATGGTCAACAAGGATTGACTAGGACCAATGCTTGTAACACAAGTGTAACACCCCCGACCCAATTTAATCATTTTATTCAATTTATCTATTTGTGAAATTATACTTTTGCCCTTGGGTGGTAGGGGCACTTTAGTCAATTTTTGCTATGGAAGAATTTTGGGGAAAAGAGTGGCACCATTGCGCGGAGCTCGTCGATACAAGTTCGTAGACAGCGGATGCTCAATTCCGAGTTGTAATGACTGTGTAAAGGTCTAGAAAAGAAAAGGATAAAAAGAGAATTTTGAAATTTGTTATTGTAGCAAACAGTACCGCTATAGTGCTGGTAACAGGGTTTGATACGGATTCCGAGGGGGAATTCAGGTCAAGTTCTACCACAAGGTTGTGACTTAATTGATTAAGTCTAATTAAATTGATTAGAATAGTTTAGGGAATTAAATGATTAAAGTTATAGAACTTAATTGGGTCCCACATGACTTAAAGAATAAAGTAATGAACCATGTGACTTTGGACTTGTGTGACACATTAAAGGTTAAATGTGTTGGACCCAAGAGGCCCAAATTTAGGACACCAAGGGGTAGGTGCGGCATACATTTGGGTTTTAAATTCCACATGGGTCAAATATGGGTCTATATATCGGGTTCGGCGGCTTTTTTTTCGGGCTTTTTTTTTTTTTTTTTTTTTTTTTTTTTTTTGGGGTCGGGGGTGACGTTTCAAAGGGTTCAAGGTGATGGATAAAAAATATTATACCTAAAAATGAATCTTATGAAAATGTGTTACTTGTATCCCTAACTAGGATTGACATCATGAAAATTAATGCAATTTATGCCATTAGAATTAATAAAACCAAAAGCTTTCAAATTCTTTATTGAACGATTAAATTTGAACTTGACAAAAAAAGTGTATATATTGCTTGTTTCTTACAAAATTTTAGACAATATAGAAACAATTAACTTAATTTATAACATGTATGAACAAAACAAGAAGTTTATTAGTTTATCATACATATTACATTATTTTTATCAAGCCTCTCTCTCAACACCTTCTTGTTTGGCCACTTGGGGGAGGATTTGCTAGCACTCTTGTGCTCTCTCAAGTTCTCTTCCTCTTCTCTCTATCCATCCTTGGTGAAGAGCTTTGGTGAGGTACATATCTTTGCATCTATTGGAGAATCATAGTGGAGACCAAGCAAAGAGAGATCAAAGGCTTTACTTGAACACCTTCCTAGGTTTCAAGATTCACTCCAAGGGTAACTTACCTTAAACTTCTCTCTTTATAGATGATTTAGAGGAGTTGTTCTATGGTAAGGGTGCCATATATAGAACATAGATGTGGACCTTCATATTAGCCACATGATTCATCTGAATTGGAACTTCACTTAAGTTTAATAAAATGATCTTGTGGCTAATATGAAGGTCCACATGAGGGGTCCATATATGGCATCCTCACTATAGAATTTCGCAAATTTAGAGAGTCATGGTGCAACATTTCATATGCCTAAAAGATACTTGGGGTTTTCTTAGTATTGTATGACTTCTAGTTTTAATCTTTCGCTTCCACTTCTTTATATTTAATAAAAATGCCCTATATTTCATTTGAGAAATGCCTAAGAGCAAGTTTTCCCTAAAGGAGGTGATGGATGTAGTTGTGGAGATGGAGGTGGAGGTGGGTAGTGGTGGTGGTAGTGGAGGAGGTTATGGTGGTGGTGGAGACGGTGGTGGTGGTGGTGGGAGAGAGTGGGTGAGAACTGCAAGGAAAAAGTAGAGAGGATGTCATGTTTAAAAATTAACAGGTACAAAATTCATTTAAGACTTGTTGTGAAAGCAGCTTTTGAAAAACAACTTAGAGGCTACTATCTGTTGTCAAGGGGGTATTGATCATGATGTTCTATTTTTACCGAACACTTTAAATTACTTAAGTTTACAGTGAAGTTGAATTTTAGTGAAAAAAACAACTCCAAACAAATTTTTAGATGGCTATGACATCGTGCTTAGTGTTACATGGGTAATTTTTCGCTCAATAAACACCCTTGTAATGGCACTATATGCACCACGCAAAGTCTCAGCCAATCCTCAAGCACACACAACCACAAGGCACAACAATCTGTACAAGGCAAAATCTTTTCTTACACAAAGACATGGAAAACTCGTGCAAAGACACTAGTAGATCTGCACACGCTTTGTTGTCCTACCTCTTTGCCTTGGCATGTCTACTCTAAGGCACTTAATAAAGAAAACTAATGTAGCTGACAACTCCAACTGCCGTGGTTGACATCCCCCCCATCTGCCAAGCATTGCCTTCGCCACATGGTGAACTCTATGCACGCCACACACTAAACTCAACACATGTAATCTGCCATGTGTCGTTGTCGAGACAAGTGCCTTGCACTCCAGGTGCAAGCTAAGTCCAATACACGCACACTAAGTGAAACTGCGCTGCCACACTTTTCCATGGCATTCGAGCAATGCCATGTCTATAAGGTTCGAGGGCCTTGCAAGGGTCTTACACTAGGTACCAGTTATGATCTTATAGCCACTCCTAACAAGTATAACACATGCCATATTGTGATAGGTAGTGGTGTTACACCATGAGTAAGAACGGAATGTGTAATTTGTCTTAAAAACTATCAAGTCATGGAAAGACGAACACGAGGAAGGTCACCGTTCCAAAGAGAAAGAAAAGGATACAGGAAGGAGCCAGCAACCAACTATCTAACTCCACCGTAGCGCGCGTCACCCTCCAGCTACTACGTCAATGAAGAACCCAAGACTTTATAGTTTGAACAAGCTAAATATGCTTAGGTAGAAATTGACTCCCTATTTAGATGCTTATCTACTGTTATCAAACACAAGGGTCTGGATCCCGCTCTACCATACCTGGAGCGGTATATTGATAACATTTCACCATTCATATCGACGTACATATTATACAACATGCGCGATTGATATGGAGAACATGGCGACATTCATATTGACAAAATATCAATAATATGGATGACACATATCGAGCATCCCACTCCAACTACAGTGGAGCGGCATACCCTTATGAAGGGCCATATAATATTTATATTTTATATGGTTCATTGGAAAAAAATTTGCAAGGTACCCTTAAAGGCATTCCTAAAAAAAATATTTGAAGAATCCCTCAATAGAGGACTATATATATACAATGGCGGACCTAATCAACGACAATTGTGGCCAGCTGCCCACACTTAACAAAAAGCTTCAACCCCAGCTTCCCACACTTACAAAAAAGCTTCAACCATATAATCCCACCCAAATTCACAATTTTTAATTATTTTTAGGTCCTTAAGTGGAGCCCCCACATGGCTCATTCAATACATACACTTTAAGCTCAAAGCTTATATTAAAAAGAAAATCCTAAACCCTATGTTAAAAAAAAATAAAAGGAATAGAGGTCCCACCAAATTCACTCTAATTCTGTGGAGAACTCAGCTGCCAAACTCGTTATTTGACAGAAGTCTACAACCCAACAAATCAAATTCGCTACTTCAATTGATTTTACAGGTTACTACTTAGTTGTTTTTTACAAACTAATTTCATTATATTCTTATTTATATGCATTTAATTTGTACTAATGATTGATTATATATATATATATATATATATATATATATCTTCATGAAAAATAATATAAACTATATTTATGACAATTATGGAAAAATATTTTAAAAGAAAATATGAGTTGGAGTTGTCAAGACCTATTGGGAGAAGTGATGATAGTTCAAAACAAAGTCGCATAAAAATCAATATGTCAAATCTTCATTCTGATCTTGGTTTACGAACTCGGATTTTAGATTATAATCCGAACATTTGTTTCAATGAGGCCAACACTGAGTCGTTACTTTGCTTGGCATGCTTTAGTCCAAATGATTCATTTTCTTCTTTTAACAAGCAAAAGCTCATTCGGCTTGCTCAACTTTACCCGAATTATTTTTCTACAGAAGAACTTAAGGTACTTAAAGATAGAGGTGTCAAACGGGACGGGCCGGTCCAACACGGCACTAGCCCAGCCCGTTTAAATGAGGCACGGCACGACACGAGCATGAATAGTAATGGACCGTGCTCAGCACGGTACGAAAACTTGGGCCGGGCCGAGATCAAAAATGAGGTCCAATGGACCGGGCCAGCCCACGGCCCGACATGGGCTAGGCTTGGCCCGAGCCCGCTTCAAGCACGACACGAGCCCAAACCCGCTTCAAACACGGCCCACTTAACTTTTTTTTTCTTTCTCAAATGTCAAAATGCAAAAATTTGACATCTAATATCATTGTTTATATTATTTTTTTATTTTTTATAATCATAAACATATATTTGATGTCTTTCATTTTAGGGAAATTTCTTGGATCCTTAATTAATTAAACATATCAACTAAAAATTAATTTAACAACATTGGACTTGATATCTAATCAGTACATATGACATATACGCTTCTCTTATAATCAAAGCAAGACATTTCTTCACATATAAAATAATAAGTTGTTTAAAGATGAAAAGTTGAAGTGGACTTTGTGGAGTTGTACACTTTTTGCCCTTTTATATTGTTTGGATGTTTGATTCATTCATGTTTTCAAATAATTCATCATTTCTTGCCTCTAATTATATTTTTAATATTTATAATTTGAATTATCAAGTGAAAAAAATTCAAATTAAATGGGTTGGTTCTTGGGCCCGAGTATGGCACGAGCATGGGCACGGTACGAGCATGGCCCGATCCGTTTCAATGTGGACATGGGCTTTGGGCCGGGCATGGATCAATGATTTTACTAAATGGGCCGGCACAGTACTTCCCGATAAATTAAATGGGCCGGCTCGGCACGGCCCGTTTGACACCTCTACTTAAAGATCAACTTCAAACTTCTATTGATGATATGCATTCAAACACCAACTTTTCAGGATTACAAGGTATTGCTACTCTTGCAAAAAAAAACTAGTTGAGACAAAAAAGGACAAGGCATATCCACTAGTTTATCTTCTCATAAAATTGGCATTAACACTTCCAATTGCAACAGCTTTAGTAGAAATGGAATTCTCTGCTATGAACATTGTGCAGAACAGGATGCGTAATCGAATGGGAGACCAATGGATGAATGATTGCTTGGTAGTATATCTTGAAAAAGACATATTTAATAATATTAATAATGATCTTATTATGCAACATTTTCAGAATATGAAAAGTCGTCGAGGACAATTGTAAATTTACTTATTAGACATTGCTATTAATATTCAAAGTTTGAAATATTTTTTGTTTGATTATGTATTGGTTGAATTTTTTTTAAGCCCCCAGATGAACGAAAGTTTGGATCCGCCACTATATATATATATATATATATATATAGAGAGAGAGAGAGAGAGAGAGAGAGAGAGAGAGCTGAAATGAACAGATGTTTATTCCATGCTCCAATTTATTAATTTCAGGATCTTCAAGGCTTTAATAAATTATACTGAATGAACAGATGTTTATTCAATTGATACAACAAATTTCAGCGTATGTAACCAAAAATGGCCCACATAAAGAAATCACAAGTAACATATCTCGTGTATGAGTATGACAACAAAATTAAATAATTATTAAACCATATAATAAGTTGCATGAAAGCTGCAAAGACAACGTCCATGCTAAGCCTCTTATTCTCAACGTCCATGATAAAACTCTCTCTTGCAGCAATGATTTCTTTTACCAATCTATAACCTGCAATGCGAAACAATATTCACAATTAAAAAAAAATGAACAGTTAAAAGTTCAATAAACATGATTTCTAGGAATAGGAGTTAGAGAAATGTATGCATAAACTTCTAATTAGGTCACACCCTTACATGAAGAGAAGAGAAATTCAACTTGTTTAGTAAGGAGTGGGTGGTGGAGGAGACGCGTAATCATAAGGTTTGGGAGGTGAAGGAGATGGTGGAGGCGGTGACTTGTAGACATAAGGAGGAGGTGGGGATGGGGATGGAGGTGGTGGCGACTTGTAAACATATGGAGGTGGTGGTGATGGAGATGGTGGTGGTGGTGACTTGTAAACATATGGAGGAGGTGGTGATGGAGATGGGGGTGGTGGTGACTTGTAAATGTATGGAGGTGGGGGGGGATGGAGATGGGGGTGGTGGTGACTTGTAAACGTATGCAGGTGGGGGTGATGGAGAAGGTGGGGGTGGTGATTTATATACGTACGGAGGAGGAGGTGATGGAGATGGTGGTGGTGGTGACTTGTAGATGTAAGGTGGAGGAGGTGATGGTGATGGAGGAGGAGGTGACTTGTACACATATGGTGGAGGAGGTGACGGTGAGGGAGGTGGTGGTGATTTATAAATGTAAGGAGGGGGTGGGGATGGGGAAGGAGGAGGAGGTGACTTGTAAATATATGGTGGGGGAGGTGATGGTGAGGGTGGTGGTGGTGATTTATAAATGTAAGGAGGAGGTGGGGATGGAGAAGGAGGAGGTGGTGACTTGTAAATATAAGGAGGGGGAGGTGATGGAGATGGAGGTGGTGGTGACTTGTAAACATATGGCGGAGGGGGAGATGGTGAAGGTGGTGGTGGTGACTTATAAATGTAAGGAGGAGGTGGGGATGGAGAAGGTGGTGGCGGTGACTTGTAGACATAAGGAGGGGGAGGTGATGGTGAGGGTGGTGGTGGTGATTTATAAATGTAAGGAGGAGGTGGGGATGGAGAAGGAGGAGGTGGTGACTTGTAAATATAAGGAGGGGGAGGTGATGGAGATGGAGGTGGTGGTGACTTGTAAACATATGGTGGAGGGGGAGATGGTGAAGGTGGTGGTGGTGACTTATAAATGTAAGGAGGAGGTGGGGATGGAGAAGGTGGTGGTGGTGACTTGTAGACATAAGGAGGGGGAGGTGATGGAGATGGGGGTGGTGGTGATTTGTAAACATAGGGAGGTGGGGGGTGATGGAGATGGAGGAGGTGGTGACTTGTAAATGTATGGTGGAGGAGGAGATGGTGAGGGTGGTGGTGGTGATTTGTAAACGTAAGGAGGAGGCGGAGATGGTGAAGGTGGTGGTGGTGACTTGTAGACATAAGGTGGAGGAGGTGAAGGAGATGGAGGTGGTGGTGACTTGTACATGTATGGTGGTGGAGGTGATGGTGAGGGTGGTGGTGGTGATTTATAAATGTAAGGAGGGGGTGGTGATGGAGAAGGAGGTGGCGGTGACTTGTAGACGTAAGGAGGGGGAGGTGATGGAGATGGTGGAGGAGGGGACTTATAAATGTAAGGAGGGGGTGGTGATGGAGAGGGAGGTGGAGGTGACTTGTAAACATATGGAGGAGGAGGTGATGGTGAAGGTGGTGGTGGTGATTTGTAGTGATACGGTGGAGTTTTTTGGTGGTGATACCATGGCGGGGATGACTTGTAGTAATCTGGTGGTGGAGGAGATGAATAAGCATAAGGCTTGTCATCACTAGCTGCTACATTGGTGGCTATGAAGCATATAGCCAAGGCAAAAACCAGGCTTGGCCAAAGATTGGCCATTTTGAGCAAACTCTAAATCACTGAGATCAAAGGGTTATTTGTGAATGATAACTGAGGAGGAGTTCGCAGCTTATATAGTGATCCCTTCAAAAACAGAAGCAGTTGTTTAATGTTGTTTGAAGTTTCCAACCTCTAGCGAACCAATAACACAAAATCCTGCAGATTTTCTCATTTCTTTGTCCAAATATTAAACAATGGGTAAATTACTCAAATGGTCCTCAAACTTGTACTCGATTTACATTTTGGTCCCTCAATTAAATTATTAGTCCAAATGGTACATAAACTCTATATTAATCGCTCTATTGGTCCTACCGTTACATTTTGTCAATGTTGCTATTAAATATGAGGGCAATTGGTCATTTCGTATGTTAAAATAAATAAATATTGAAAAATGAAATAAAAACTCTCTCTCTCTCTCTCTCTCTCTCTCTCTCTCTCTCTCTCGTTTTCCACAACCCATCAGAGTGGCACCAAGAACTGGAATTCCAACAACTGCACTTAAAACCAGATGCTCCAGAAGTGTTGCATTTCCAATTTTTGCACCTTCAATGAGCTTCAAGCCCACTACAACGTCCTCTCCTCCTTCAATCTCACCTGGTCTGACCTCGATTCCCACTTCACCTCCATCCAAGACTCCCTTAACCAAAAACTCCAGCTCCTCCAAACCCTCGAGTCCCAATCCTCAAATCCTTCTTCTTCTATACCCCAAGACCCCTATTCATCAAACCCTCCATCTCAGAAACCACAAGACCCTTCTTCTTTTTCATATCAGATACCAAAGGACCCGTCTTCTTCGTCGAATTTACCGACCCAGATAGCAAAAGACCCGTCTTTGTCATTGTTGACATTGGCCCAGATAACAGAAGACACCAAAACACCAACCCAAATAACAAAGGACCCACCTTCTTCATCAATTTCGTCGACCCAGATGGTAAAGGACCCTTCTTCATCAAACCCTCCGACCCGGAACACGGTTGAGCTTGGTACGAGTCTTCAGTCGAATTCAGTTCCTCCTCGGCCAGAGTTGGTGGCATTTTGTGAGCGAATGGATGCAATGGGGTTGAGAAAGTATATGAATGAGACCTTGGATAACCGAAATACCATCTGGGCCACGCTTCTGGGAGCTATACAGTACCCCAAGGTCTGTGGGAATGAGGGAGAAGAAATCGAAGGGGGGGTTGGGTCTCATTATTTTTTTTCTTTTTTTCTTCAATTATTTTCTAATTTTTTATTTGTTTTAACCCTATTTTATTTGTTAATTATGAAAAGTCGTATTTACCCTAAAATTTGGTTATGTTTAACAGAAAATTAGACGGTTGGATCAAATGAGCGATTAAAATAGAGTTTATGTACCATTTGGACTAATAATTTAATTGAGGAACCAAAATGTAAATCGCATACAAGTTTGAGGACCATTTGAGTAATTTACCCATTAAACAATTGGATAATGGTATACCACTTGCCTTCTAGCCTTGCACAATAGTCTTCGAGCATATGCACCTTGAAACGGTCTAGATCAAATAATGCAAAACGTGTTGCAGTACTGAGAAAACTTATAAAATACATAAAACAATCACACTGGTTGACAAATAAATCGTGAATATATAAATAATTATGAATTTGTATGAGGAAGTAGTTGAGATTAGGTTCATTTTAGGAACCTTCGGACGGAATTTAGAACGTATCAACATTCGTTGGTGTTAAAATATAAATCAGTCTCATCAGCAATCTGATTCTGAAGTAGTCTTGCAAATTTACTTATACATACCTGCACTGCATATTTTATAGCAAATCATTGTCACTGAAGTCTAACAGCCAATAAGCTCATTGGCAAAAAATAACAAATGCCTGCATATTTTCTCACCAGAATTTTCCAGCCAGCACTAATATGATGAAGGCTTCCCTGCAAATTGCCAATAAAGTTTCAGTTTAACGTTTTCCTGTTTGTTTAATGGTTTGTGTAGATTAACCGAGTATTAGGTTCAGCTTTCCCTGTCACAGATGTATAAAGTCAATTTGCTCCCTTTGTTTGTTTGTTTATTTTTCTTCTTTTTTTAATATGACTTGTGTTTTTTCTACAAGGAGGTCTTAGCAAATTAATCATGTTACAATGGCATCATATGAAATGCATTATTAGAAAAAAGTACTAACATGTAAGGAATTTGTACTAAACTATTAAAAAAAGCTTTCTTGAGTCATAATGTATAAACACATTACTCATGAAACTGTCCAACCTAAAATCCTATACAACCTACAAAAGGCCGAGTCCAAGCATTTTTATTGAGTTAAAATCCGATACAAATATTCTACAAAGCCTTCCCAAAATTTGAGACCACTACAAAGGTGTCATGGGGGATTGAATTTGAGACCACTCGTCCGTAAGTCAAGGCTCTTTTCCACTGTATTAGACCCCGTTAGCGAGCTTGCATCTTTTGGCACACTATCGAAGCTATGTGTTTCCAAATTATAAAACTAAATTTGTTATTTCTTTATTCAAGTTTATGGAATTTTTTTCCCCAGAAGTTTATGGATTGGGTAAACATGGTTTTACATTTGCATCTAGAAGGCAATATATGCAATATGAGGAAAACTCTTCATATGGATGAAAGCAAAAAAAGCATGAACTTTGGATTCAAACGAAAACAAATTTATGTTTTTCGAAGGACAAAAGAAAAATTACTACAATTCGGCCCTCTCCTAATATAGGGAGCTACAAGAATTAGTTAAAGAGAACAAAAATGAAAATAAGAGTAGGAAATTACTCAAAGTTTCTCAGAGAAAAGAAATAAACTAAAAAGGGTTGTAAATCGTTGTTTCACACATAAGTCTTCACAAACTGAATAATTTTTTTCTGTAGAACCATCGTGCCAAATTCACAAAGAATGAAATAAATTGGCAATACATCAAGATAAGGAAGTTTTGTTTTTGTTGGTGAAGAAGATAAGGTCATGTATTGGTTATATATTAAGGAAAGAATTAAAATATAAGTTCAACTGCAAATGTTATGTCATGCCATGTTCATTAGGAAATGTCACGCATGATATGACAACTTGGCTTATGATTATTGTTTTTAAATTACCCGCAGTTGCAGCCTGCACTGCATCTGGGACTTGTTCATCACCGCAGCTGTCTCTTGCTTGGTTGTGGCATGCATAGTGGAATGCACAAAGAGAAATGTGGAAGAAGCAAAGTTATGTGTTTTATGAACAAATATATGCTATGGTCAGTCGTCTATATGTACATGGAAACTGTTTATGCATGTAAAGTGTATGCACATGGAAACTGTTTATGCATGTAAAGTGTATGCACAAGCGAGCAATTTATAACTGTTAATGCATGGAAATCGATCTGATCAACAATAAAAGACCACCACGTGAGCAACTGACCCTAACAAAATTTTACACAAGATGAAAAGATTTTTCATTACATTCACACTCTAAAGATCCAAAAAGACAGAATTTCTCATTTCCTAATGCTTCAGAAGGAAAACAAAAACAAACAAAAGAACCGCCACTGGCGACTAATTTGAAAAATTCATGCATTCCAAATTATGTTACGTCAATTACCTACTAGATACTTGAATACTGTCTCCTCCTCATTCTCAAAAAAAATAAAATAAAAATATTGACTCCTTAGAAAAAAGAGAATGAAAACGACCAAGTCTATTGAAGAGATGGTGATGATAATAATAACAATGAGAGAAGGATAGTAAACTGAAGGTTTCCTGATACCAAATAATGTCACCATAATACAAAACTATTCACAATTATTGCTTTTTATTATAATCATTTAATCATGATAATACTTCTGATTTACACATATTACATGCATATCTTGTAATTGGTTGGTTAGAGAATATAGAGTCTGGTAGTCTGTACAGTGGTATATACCCATGGTGTATGCTAAATACAGGAAAACAGAAAAGTAGTCTATACCAGTGGTGTATGCTAAATACGGGAAAAGAGAAACTAACAATCAAATACTAAGCTTGGCGCGGAAGTCTGAGCTAAATATTCCTGCAGTAATTTCATCCAAACAAGCCATTCGTATTCGTTCAGGCGTTGCTGGATTATCTAGTGGAAACCACTCCTTAGACCCTACTTCCGCTCTCGCAGCTATGACTGCATCTTTGATGGCAAAAAAGACAGCCGAAGCCAAGAAAAATGGTGGCTCACCAACTGCTTTAGATGAGTGGATCGCCGTCACATTTGGATGTCCCTGTCAATTAGCAAAGAAAACGTCAAACAAGTCAAGACGGTTCCTTGCTTTAGGTTGAAATCAATCATTAAAGCCAAGTAAATTCAATTTCTATAATTACAAATGTAAATTAAAGAATTACAGCATAACTTAGCCCTCGAAAAAATGTTGGGTAACCTGTTTTTAAACTGTATGGCATAACGTAGCATCGAAAAAATAAAAACAGATAGGGAGGGGGAGGGAGGTTTGATGTTCTAATAAATGAAATCCTAAACAGCTTCCATCCAGGTTTGATAATTTTAAATTTTAAATTTTGGGATAGGATACACAATGGATATATTAAAATTGGGAAGTACAATCAAAGTGGATCGGGAGTCCTCACCCTGTAACTACAAGAAACATAATATCGAGAGCACAACAAATAACATAACAGCAGCTATCCTAACAGAAAACAGAAAAGTAATCAGCCAATCTAAATAGAAGCTTTTGAGAGAGCTAAATAATTTCCCTAAATTCATGTGTTCTCTTTTCTTTCTCCTTTATTTTCCTTTTTTTTTTGCCGCCCTGCACAATTATGCACTTCTATTTGGTTCAAGGATTTCTACATAATAATTAATCAACCAACCACATTAAGCCCCATTTTCTCACAATATATTTAATCAACCCCAAACCATTTTTTTACGGACACCACAGACAAAAATTCCCGACACCATCTTGCATCAAGCACATAGTCTGGTAAATTACAAAAATTCCCGACACCATCTTGCATAAAGAAGTTGTCAGATGACATGTTAAGACAGATATACTGAATCCCACCCATAACTTGATCAGACAAATTAACTTTCAGAAGAAATTTATAATTTATAAATGCCCTTACAGGGTAATGAGCATACCTTCAGAAGTGAAACGCTAAATTTGAAGGGGACATCATTTATGGAAGGAATTTTGTAATTTCCAGGTCCACATGTGTAGAGGCAACCTGGTGAGATCCACTTATGAGCAGAATCACCCCACTTAAGTTCTTCTAGAGCTACCCATCCCAAACCTGTATAAAGGCTCCTTCGATCTGCATTAGAAGCATAGCATAATTGATAAGAACATTAAACGGAACAACTACTCTAGATTATTAGTTATTGCAATCGAAATGAAATATACCACCTTATTCAACCATCCCTTCCCCAATTTTATAAAACAACACTGAACAACAGCAAGATTGACATTCACAAACTAGATCAGGAATTTGTTAGCATGTTCATTAGTTTAGATGACAACAGCAATATCATGAATAGTTTACCAACTAATACTTAACATCAGTAGCAGCTCATACAAGCATGTTGCATGGACATTTCATCATTCGGCCAGAAATAAAAATTAAATCTCCATTAGGTTCTTAAATTATCTCCATTTTCTCACAAGAAATGGGATCATTGTGGGCCCCACTAGAAGTTCTAACCCTATTTACGTCAATGCTTGAGTCTGTTTCTGTAGTATATCTTACTTTCTAGGAAAGTTATTCTTATAATCCTGTTGCAACAAACATTCCAAAAAATGGGCTTACTTAATGGTAACTTGAGAGTGAATGTAGTTTTCTTTTATAAAGATGATTCTGTTGCAAGTTGCAACAAAAAATCCTCAAGAATGAGGTTCACTGTAGCTTGAGATAGGGTTAAAATTCCCATATTTTTCACGGACGTTTATTGATAAGTAAAAGATTTTGACATTTTAACGAAACTGATAAGGAAAAGGGGAGAAAAGCACCTGCCCAACATCGATTGCTGGGTTGAGAGAGTGTCCAAGATCCAAGAATATGTTTGCCACCCTAGTGTGAAAATCTCCAGTCAATGTGTCAACTTCAACCTCAGCAAAAGCAGCCCCATAGGTGAAGTATCTGAACGGGTTCCCTTTACCAGTCGTCCAATCAAAGTCAATTTCAGGTGTAAAGTAAAACCCATGTGCAGAAAGATCTATCCGCGCCACATAGCATGCACTTGCAAGCTGACAATAATTGTGAAAAACGAAGGTAACATAAATTTCGTATCATCAAAAATTCTCAGTGCAAGATTGCTTGCACAAAAGATCCCATGCACTGTCCTTTGGAACTAACACATGAACAACAAATTTCAACAGACTATCTATAAGATTCAAAACTTCAAAAGCAGTTCTTTTATCACTTATTCACTTTTTCAATTCCCATGTGATACAACCATGTTAGCCACGCATCTTCGATGTTTGACGAAGAATTTAAAACAAATGAAAGAGAGAGGACACCATGTTTAAGCATTTGGTTGGTTTTATACAGTACATAATCAAGAAATCATCATACTGTGAATGATACTCTTAGGTAAAGCTTCAAAATTGATTCCAAAGCGAGACAAACAAAATCCAGCATTAAATGGTGAAATCAGAGATGTCAAATGGAGAATCAGATTACTCAACACCTGTCTCTTACACGAATGATATAGTTGGAATTTGGAGCAAGGTGTTTCCAGTATTCAGATTCAATATAAGTGCCTAAACATGTAAAAACTTGGTAGAACATGACAAAAGATAACAACAATAACAATTATCAACTACGCCATCAGAAATCACCTTTTTATAAAGTTAATCAAGACTTATGCAAATAACCCAAAAGGGAAGGAATGGTCACTGAAGTTTGTGGCTGATAAACTACTAAGATCAAAAATTCAGGTTTAACAATTGATAATCTCATACAACAAGAAATTTACGTTGGACATTTAAATCTTTCTAACCAACATTTTCAGTCTCTTTCATGGCATTAAATTGATTGCCAACATCACAACAATCTGAAAATGCTTATTTTACTATTCTCCTGACAGTTTTATATTTATTGAAATACTTATAATACATTAAAACTGTTTTCCTCTCCTCTTTTTAATTGTAATTATAAGTGACTTCTTTGTTTTGGGAACACTTCAGATAGTAACTTCTACACCATCCAAAATTGTTACAGTCACTACTCCTCAGGGGAAAGGACATGAACTCTGCTTTGAAAGAAAAGAATCACAAAATATACCATGCTGTATTATGTGAGCAGAAACTAGGACAACATGAGTACCTCAGCAAAAGATGTGAAATTTTGTTGTGAAGCAATAGGCTCCATGCGTGCCTTAATTTGCTCACATGCATCCAGAACTGCAGCTCCATACATGTCAGAACTCGCAGAAGCTGCTGTTGGTGATGAATTAGGAACCTAATTTGGCAGCAAACATGAAGACAACAAAATATGAGCATGGGCATCAGGTGTTTAGGCATACACAAATAATAAAGCAATAGAAATGGAAAGGGAATCTAAATCAGTTACTCCTACCAGAAAACCTTTCGAATATTAATTGAATGGCAATCTAGCCATAGCCACAGATAATTACAGGCTCAACTTTGTTAGATACATTCTCTTAAATTTTAATACTATCAAAAGTTATTCCAACATAATTGCAGCAACAACACTTCAGCAATACCCTGACATGCTCATGCAATAAACTTCTTGGAGAATCTAGAATCTCACATCGGGAAATCTAAGCCTCACAAAGTCATCTATAGATATTGGACCCCTTTGCTTGTTGCCAATTAGTTTTGGGTTGGATGCCCTAATTCTAAAATGGTATGGGAGCATGTTCCATTCACGTGTTGGGCCCGACTTGTGCCCAACTTATGTGTTGGGCCTATTGAATTGCGTGTTGGATAATGTAAAATCCCACATTAGGAATCTTAAGCCTTGCATAGCAATTATAAGAACTTGGGCCTCTCCACTCATTACCAATTGGTTTTAGGTTGGATCTCTAATTCTAACAAAGCTTAAGAATCACTTGAGAAAGGCTTCTCCCCTATTATCCCCATCTTACATGTTTAAAAATGTTTATACATCAAATCTTTTTACTTTAGCTTTAGCTGATTAGATGAACCCCCGTGCATTTTACTGTACTTCATCTCACATTAATCCATTGTGATTTCAAAATACATATCTGATGGTTGACCTTTCTAAGAATGAGAGAACTAGACCTTTCTAATATCTGATGAGTAGAAACAATATGCAAAATCAAGGCAATATACCAAAGTGGCCCTTTTTTACTTCAAGATAATGAAACACTGTCAGCTACCTTGTCAGTACTTGTCTCTGATATAAAGACAGAACTGAGAGGGATATTGAAGGCAGAAGCAGCGACCTGAGCAACTTTTGTATGCAAACCTTGCCCCATCTCAACACCTCCATGTGTGACTAAAACAGTTCCATCCGTGTAGACATGAACAAGAGCACCTGCCTAAGGCACATTTAGCATACCTGATCAGGATTCTGATTGCATGATTACGTGGTATATAAGAAATTAAAATAATGGAATCAATTTTGATAAAAGAAAATAGAAATGCCCATTAAAATGGAACACAAATTAACTTACTTATGTAGCAGCAGTTCGATTTCTATAATCACAATGAGAGAGGAAGGGGTAAATGCATCTCTTAAATTTCGAACACTGATAACATGATGTAAAATTATCCAAACTATAAATCTGACAAAGGCTTGTCACAATACTGAGGCTTCCAAATCTATAAGATCAACTTGGATGGCTTTTGCACCCAAGTGGAAACTCTCCAGTTTCAAATCGGATGGAGTTCATTGTTTTAGGTGAGAGAGTTACGGTGGAATATATATGTAGCATCCTATAGGCTATAGACAGTTGATATACTTGAAAAAGACAAAATACTGACATCATAGGAAGACATTTTAAGTAGGATGCCTATGACAGAAAGTTCATATCCTTTTCAGTAACGCAAAATTCAGAATCAAGAGGGAGTGTTATGTCCAGCAATACATCTTATACTAGAATAAACCATTAAAAAATCCTGTACTTGAAAACTCTATGTTCTTAGCGTGTTTTAGACAAAAGATGGTTAAGTCCGAATAAAATCCTGTATTTGTCAAAGCTCTAGTTTTCTAAGAGGTAAGAGGGAGAGAAATCAATTAAATCTGAAACCAAATAACATTTTGTGAATATTACCTGGTTCATAAGCTTTAATGTAAATGATATGCCAAACTTCGTTGGAACCATGGCAACACCACGCTTCCTCCACCGATTTTGAATATTAAATTGGTCAACTTCGTAGCGAGCTTTTGAAAATTCACAAGATAACTTTAGTTCACTCCATAGCGGACCCAGTGTACAGTGTTGAAGTTGTTGACCATAATGCAATATTGACCCTTCACCTTGAAAATTAATTTCCTGAAGGAAAATTACAGGCTTGTATCAGAAGGAATATGATGGTTACGGAGTAAAGGTGCAAGTGCAACATAAGAACGACAACCTGATAAGATTTCTTAACTTACTCTTATCTCTTCGGGGCTTTTTTTGAGTTCTGCAGCAATCCTTTGAATCCAATTTTCAGTAATAAGCATACCTTGAGGACCACCAAATCCTCGAAAAGCAGTGTTACTTGGAATGTTTGTGAAGCAAACCCTTCCCACAATCCTCACATTTGGAATCTCATAGACATTATCCGAGTGAAACATAGCACGTTCAAGCACAGAAAGGGACAAATCTAGTGAATTTCCACCATTATTGTAGATTTCAAGATCTAGTGCCAACACCTTTCCCTCATTTGTAAATCCAACCTATGTCAAATTACATATTCCATCAATACCTTACATCACATGTTATGTAAATTTAACAAAGCAAAAAAATTAAAAGCCACCAAAACAACAACAGCATAATTATTGACAATAAAATTCAATAAGAGGAAGTAAGGCCCTTCTCCTTCTCCATCTTCATCTCCATTTTTTCCTTTCAAAAAAATAAAATAAGGGAGCTTTTCATACTACTCCACAACCCCTCCAAAGAAATACTCTTTGAGCAAACAATAATAAAATCAGGTTACAGAAGTTCTGTTACTACAAGGTAAAGGAACCATAGAAGAACCCAAATTGTTACTAGATACCAAAGTCCCACTATACAGCATGAGAACTCTTTTCTTAATTTCTTTTATATAGCTTAGCTTTTATCTGAGAAAATAATGAATAAGAAAAAAAAAGTGCAAAAACAGAAAAAGTTTCTGCCAACATCAGATTGTAAAACATACAAGTAGGACATAAATGTTGATGTCCAACAGAAAAATCCAATTATAGCAAAATAAGTCAACCTTGTACTTTCCAAGAAAGCTATGGCGTTGCCCAGTTATCATCATGTCTGTATCACGGTCTAATGTAATTTTAACTGGACGATTTAACAGATATGATGGTACAGAGGCTGCAGCAGCAACAAAAGCTGATCTAGTCTCCTTGCCACCAAAACCACCACCAATCCGTTTAGTTTTACAAACTACTTTTGACATTGGAAGACCAAGAACATGAGAAACGTATTTCTGATGCTTCTGAGGGGCCTGCACATTGACGTAATCCCATTACATTTCTGTTAAAATAAACATCATAGACATTTGATTGACACTAGTCCCTAACAAACTTTTGGACAAAACACTCTGCAATCACATAAATACTTGTAATACATAAAACCAGTATTTAAGGTGCAAGAATTAACATGAAGAAAGGTTGAGGGAGAGAGAGAGATTACAGTGTCTATGCACAAATATTAGAAAGAAGTTGGAAAGCTATACAAAAGGCAAGCCCAAGCCGAAAAGGAAAGGGTGAGTGAACCCTAGGTGGTTAAGGTGGCTAGGTGTAAAAGCTTCTTCCACCAGGGTAGACTACTTAAAAGCTGAATCACACTAACATCTTTATGGTCTCCAAGGGTCTTGGCCTCAATGAATATGATGCAATTTCACCAAATATGTCGCTGCAGTGTTCCAAACAAAGTCATCTTCAACGTATTGACCAATACATTGAAAGGGACATCAGTGATAGGTTAGCTTCTTTGTGCATGTGGGCGTGCCAGTTTGCCAAGTAATAGATAATGTCATGATTGTCAGTGAGCTTCCACATGTGATGAGGGGGAAGGATGGTTTCTTATATGTTTAAGGGTGCATGAATTGTTTATTATATGTCATTTTCTTTACTGTCAAACTGACAGAGGGCAGAAATTGCAAAACAGAGCAACATTATGGTGGACATAGTAGAGTTTTGAAGATCAGGGTGCAAAGAAGAAAAACAACTCAAACCACAGGGGTGTAAAGTGTAACTAACCCTTTCATATTCCTATATATCCAATAAACACATGCTAGCTGCTTACAAGACCCGCTGGCTAACTATGGTTGTCTCAAAAACCAGACTCCTTCCTACACACGCTGCTTAAAGCAAATACTTCCCTAAGTGTTTCACTAATTGGACGATGGCTTCTGAATAGAGTAGAGTCTTACAAGCATGGCTTCATGTTACAGGGCACATATAAGGGTAAGAGATAACCCATGCTTATGTAAACCGCATAGGTTTTATTAGTTTCTATTACCAAGGAGGGAGGATGTCCAACATGTAGCTAATTTAGTTGATCATTAAATATTCATTGGAATACAAGGATATTTTTTAGCAATACTTTGGACCTAATGGACCCCAACCCATTTTAGAAGTGCCCTTGAGCAAACTGGAAGTCTCTTTTTTATTTAAAAAAAACTTATCAAGAAAGGAAAAAGGTACAACTAAATACGGGCACTTGGGTCATATCTAAACTGATTCAAGCAGTAATCTTTTGAGGGATTTATAAAAAACCTGAGTGGATGAGATCATATGAACTTCGTTGCCACCATCCATTGTCCATACCACACTGCTTTGTGGTTCCAAATAGAAGTGTTCCTGTCCTCCCACTCGAACTTCCCCCACTATGACATTCTCACATTGACGTGATTGAAAGCAAAGATCCACATCCCCTTTCCTAAAACACCTCTCTGTATTAGGATGGTAACTATTGGCATTGATGGCATCCAGTATTGATAAGATGGCTGGGAGCTCTTCATACTCAACAAGAACCTTCCTTGCTGCTAGTTTTGCATTTCATGTGTATCAGCAACTACCACTCCAATAACCTGCATAAAAAAACCATGGATAAAATCATAAAAGAGGAGAATCGGTTAACACAGCACTAAATATACCATACAAGGAATAATTTCCTCATGCCTATATAGCATTTGATAAATGCTCAATATATTTTCCATGTCATTTCTTGTGATAAGTCAACATTCTGAATTGTAGAAATATCTTTAGAATACTGCAAACCATCAAGTGATGTTTTTTTATGGGTCCATTTTACACCACACATCATTCTAAAAAGAGTTAAGGATTCCATTACATTGTGGGCTAGAAAGAGAAAGAGATTTATTAACCATCATACCTGACCAACACAAGAGACAAATTCTGAAGCAAACAGTTCCTCGTCGTAAACAATGGTCCAATTTTATTATCAGCTGGAACATCGTTAGCAAAAAAACATTCCTGCAAATCCAGGTGATAACTTTGCTCCAGAACCATCGATTGCAAGTATACGGGCATGAGGCTTTCTGCTGAGTATTAAAGCAGCATGCAAACCATTATGAGGCAATGGTGTGTCATCAGAATATTCTGCCTCTCCTGTAACCTGGTAGAAATTATCAAATCAGCACAAACTTCATAATGCTACTCTCTACAAGAAAAAAAAACTCATGCACTGTGCACAAAATTAAACTGATTGACAGGGCAAAAAACCCTTGATGCCATTTAGTATCACATTCAATATTAGCCTGGCAGTAGAGAAGATTTATCCTGTCCAAATCTCAAATGTCATTGTCAACGATCTTCATCCTTGTGCACTTTGATTTTCTTCCTCTGAGTTCAGGGACTGGTCTTTCATCTTATTTATTCCGATTGGAATGCTGTTGTCATGTAATTCTGTTTTGTTGTTTTGCTCTTAGTCATGTTTTTACTTGTTTTAGAAGTAGATTAAATGGATTTTTTTTCGGGAACACCCTGTTCCCTGTGTTGTGATTATTAATGAAAGCTGTGTTTCTCATATAAAGAAGAAAAAAAAATCATAATAGCCCATTCCTTAAGGCTGAAGGTTGACCTCACAATTTTTTTCATTGGTTGTCTCATTACAGTAGGAACTAAGAAGTAGACTTTAACAAGAAGACAACCACAGACATCATGTAACACTAGCTCACATTCAAATATAAATGAATGTGAGAGTGGTTCACGCCTGGAACCTGGAATTGCTTGAATTTTTTTATCTTTTTACAATTGTAATCTCACAAGAATGGTAAGTCTGACACTAGTTTTTGATAGGCATTGAAGGGTTACGGCAGTCTGTTCTCAAGGAAGAAAACTGTTAGATGTACCTAAGGCATAGCAGCGAGATAGAAGTTGTTTTCTTTTCCTTTTCATTCCTTATTTATTACTTCTGGAGAAAGTAAGGAGAGGTCTCAATAACATATTGCTCCGATACCATGTTGAAAAAGACGCTTTAGGAATGGAAAAGATCTTTGTATTTCATATTCAAATGAAATGAGAACCCTGAATTATATAGGATTTCAGGACATAAATTTTTGGTAATCAGCTCTGACTTGGACCTTAATTGAAGCTAACAACGGTGGACTAAGCTCGGCCTTATGCATATGACAGTAACTTTATTTGACCCGAGTTTGCTCCCTTTGCTCCTCCTTTGTTGATTGAAAAATGAAAATATTTTTCAAACCTTTTGGGAAAAATGGTTAACAAAAAAGGGACCTACGCCAACAGAGTTGCAAACTTGTTGCAAGCATTTACAAACCCATCAAACTTTATCTGCATAGACATGATCCAGTAAGTCTCTTCTTCTAGCCCATTATACAACATACTTGATAGCAAAAGAATTAGGTAAAAGAAAAAAAACGAAAAAGATAATGCATACAAATACCAAGGTTCTCAATATCAAATTCTGTTAATCTGGGCTCGAGATAAAAAATAAATAATTGGTATATCAGAAAAGATAAAGTATTATTTCCAGTACAACTAAGCACATACCTGAAGTCTTGCTGATAATGAACCTCAGGAGACCCAACAGCTGTCCCATGTTTTGTAATTTCATAGTCTTGAGTTCCAATAACAGGTGGCCGGTGAAATGATTGTACAGCAGAGAGATGGGGTAATGGTACACTCTCCTTAATGCAATGATCCCCTTCCATCTGATGAGAAACCCAAAGAAAAAATTTGAAGAAAAAGCTAAGGGTCAAAGATTTACGAAACTCCACCATCCCACCAGGAGCATCATCCTTGAGCAATACATCTTTTTGCAGGACTTTCAAAGCACCCTGCAACAGCTCCTTGTTCCAACTCTTTCCAATGAGAAAATCTTTTGTTCTAGTTGCAGAAAGAGAGAGTGGAGCAACTCCACCATAAACAATAGATGCATCAGACACAACCCTACTGTCACCTCTTTCCTCAAGATGAACACGAATTCCAGCATTCACTATCGCTATATCATCATCCCTTCTGTGAGCTTGCTTAAATTCTTTCACATACTCAAAAGGCCTAGTCCAAGGTAAAAATACAGAGAGCAAAATTTCACCACTTGCCAGATCCACCTTACGATAACCCAGGAAAAACTTTTCTGCCAGCGTCGTTCTAATGTTCCCTTTGCAATCAATAATTCGAAACTTTGCTCTAGAGGCCATCCAAAGAGGGTTCAAGTCTGATATTGGACTGGCCGTACATATATTTCCACCCACGCATGCAACATTTCTTATTTGCACCCCAGCAAACCATTTTAATTGTTCAACAAAGGCCTTACAAGATGAAGTTTCATGAACTGCACGTTCTGTTATGACCTTTCTTAAAACCTTAAGTAGTTCAGAAAGTCTTACTGCAGAACCTATCTCTATGCCATCATCCTTGACTTTCAATATACCGAGTTCAGATACATGAGTAACAGAAATCAATACCCGATACTCAATTTTCTTAAACCTCATTTCAATTCCTACCTCAGTATTACCTACCAATAATTTCGCATCTGGGAATTTTTGTTTCAACTCTAGCACTTGTTTAAGTCTCAAAGGTCTAAACCACTTTAACCCACTAAAACCAGTTAAACTTAAATATGTCGATTTTCTCAATAGTAGCTCAGGAGGAAAAATAAACTCCTTGTCTGTGTATGAGCTTCCATCAATTTCACTGTATGAGACAGGTTCATACCTCTCGTTGTCACAAGTACCACTTTCAAGAGTGGTGCATGAACTCTCACTTTTCAATCCACACGAACAGGGCTTTCCAGTTGAAGGGCACACAAACTCACCTCCTTCATGGCTTAGCGAAGATATATCAATGTATGGTGTATCATTTGTTTTGGCAAAGACACGAAAAGCCTCAACAATTGGTCTGTAACCTGTGCATCGACACAAATTTCCTGCAAGGCATTCTTCAATCTGCTCCTCACTAGGTGGTTTCTGACTTGACCTTAACAATGCATACATTGACATTATAAAACCAGGGGTGCAAAATCCACATTGTGAGCCATGAGATCTTGCCAATGATTCCTTGAGAACATGAAAGAAAATAGAAATAGGTGAGACTCTCAATAAGGCAAATTTGGAACTGCGTAATTTGGTTACTATATGATACCCCAAAAGAAAACAAAAATTCAGATATATTTTAGAAAAGCTCTCTTGTAATTTTCAAATAATATGATCAAACAAAACACTATTGCTGGGCTCATTCAACAACACTATTGATGAGAAGAGGATGAGAAAATGGTTCAGGTAACTCCGTCCCCCACTTTCTTTCCTCTCCATTTCTGAAAATACACGTTTAATTCCTAATTAAATCATGAACTAAATATTAATTTTGCATGCATTCTTACGGATATTCTTCACTTTGAGATATGTTCAAGTGAATTCTAGCCTAAATTTAACGCGAGAGAGAGAGAGAGAGAGAGAGAGAGAGTATGAATGAGAGTTCTAGCCTAAATTTAGAGGATTTTCAATTCTTGGAGCACAGCCACTCCCTAATATTCCATGAATGGAGATTCCATAATCGAGAATCCCCCTCCAGGACCTAACCCAATCTCAAAAAGCAATTCAGCATAAAGTGATTTGTCAGATATATTGTGTCGTAGGCTCATAGTCGCATATGATGTTTCTCCGATCAAGATATCCCTTCATTCACCCAAGATATCAACTGAATTATCATAATTGGAAGCATGAAGTGGCAAATCAACTTCTTTGTCTTATGGTATATCTCAGTATAAAGGATGCTACCAAAGATCTGTATTTGCAGTCAAAAAATTCCTTTCTTACGCAACGCAATTAGAGCTGGAACGCTTTAAGCGCATGTTGATACAACTGGAGCAGATTACCAGAATTATTTTCTTTTTTTCTGTTCTATAAATTTTTTCAAAATTGTACAGCACTCTAACTTCACATCTTTTGCGACTTTTACAAAGGTTGCAAACCATGGTGAGTGTGAGCTAAGTGATTTTTAATCCTGGAAATACCTTCACTGCATTGTAGATTACATAATATGCTAAGTGATGTTTAAGCCTACAAAAAACTGTCACCTAATTGTTGGTGAGTGTGAGCTAAGTGATGTCTTTCCCTCTTCAATTTCGTTTGAATACTTCCTATAAAAATCATTCCTACTCATGGTTGCTTACAGAAATACTCCCAAACAGAAGTTCTTAAGAGTTCTTTTACCAAAAAGAAAATGCTTAAGAGTTGTTGACCAAATAAACAAATGCACCTGACAGTGGAATGCACAAAGAAAAAAAAACTAGACAGATACAGAAAAAAGAAATGCAGGTCAATAGGGGAATGTACCTTACAGCTACTGGGTTGTGGGATGCACCTTGGAGCTACTGGGTTGTGGGATGTACCTTGGAGCTACTGGGTTGTGGGATGTACCTTGGAGCTACTGATGATCCCAGCTATGGGGGTTGTGGATTAGGGGCTACTGAAGAAAGGCTGGGAATTTGTTAGGTTTAGAGTAAATATCTGGAGGGATATAGACTTAACAGCAGCTGGGAATTTTGATTTTGTTAAAAGAAAAATCAAAAACCAAGGAGAAATGTTGTTGTTTGACCTAAGTGATTCAGAAATAAATCATGTGCCCAACAAGCATGCTTCAATTGTGCATAATTAGCAAGAGCCATACGCTTCTTTAAAGAGGCGTAATTCTCTTTGCATTTTACTTAAAAGGTAGACAGTAAAAGGTAGCTTTCTCTTCCTAAACTTATTTTTCTAAACTAGGTAATCCTTTACAATAGCATTAGTATAAGACAAAAAGTAATAATGGATACAAACAGAAAAGAAAAAAAAAGAAAAAGAAAGGCAGCATAGATTACTTGAATCGGATGCAAGCCCTGTTTGTGGCTCCCTAGTCCTTCCACCGTAATTACGTGCATCCCTTCTACAGAATACAAAGGAGCCAAGCATGCATTGACAGCATAGTGCCTGAAAGAAGATGTCAAAACAACAATAATTTCAGTGTGTATGGACTCCAATAACAAGTACGACACATGCACGCACTTGGGTGTACGTGTGCACATGTGCATGTGCATGTTTATTCTAGAGAAAGAGATACTCACAAACATTTCTTCCGTTCTTGGTCATAATGGGAAACCATAACAGTGCAAGCACCGCAACCACCTTCACCACAACCAAGCTTTGTCCCCGTCAAACCTATATCTTTATTGCCACAAAGGCAATAGAAATTCTAATTAGGTTTTTTCAACATAGAGAACCCAATGTTTGTATCACTTACATAAAGGACATTAAAAAAGAAAATGGACAATAAAATCTTGCAGTTATCAGCAATTAAGAATGTACAAGATAGATATGCAGAGCAAATATTAACCGTTCTGAAATTTATTGAGAACAATCAGCTCCATAGGTCAAGATTACTCTTGTTTATAAGAAACAAACATTTTCATTGAACACAGTGGACGAGGCGTTCCCTAAACTACACCCCACTAAATAACAACAAAACAGAAAACCAATGAAACAAAACAAAAGAATAAACTAATATAAAATAGCACTCCAATCAAAAAAATAATAATTAACATGAAAGGACCAACCCTTAAAATCTGAGCAAACTGAAGCTCATAAGTATGGGCCATAAACACATTCTGAACTACAAACGATCAGCATCCTCCCCCTCTAGCAACCTCAAAATTTCACTCATTTTTTGCCATCACGCCACATTTTCCTAGCACCATGCCCCTTTTTCTCCCTCCAAAAACATAGGCTTCTCACAAAATAATGCATTACAAGTATCTGGGATTGTCGAAGCCTCACCCAAGTATCTGGTATTTCACCTTCAAAATTGCATGATACGGACGGAAAAGAGAACCACAAGAATATCCATTAGTTTCCATAAATACGACGTGTAAGGAAAAAAAAACTCCTGAGGTTCCAGTTCCTAAATTCTCCTATCCTAGCTAGATGGGACCAGCATAACATTTTCTAGAACTTAAAGTATCTCAGTTAGCTCTCCCAACTCCAAGTCGTTTAAGTTTCTTTGAAACCCGAAACCCCAAGACAAAGGAAAAGACGAAAAGCTCGAACAAAAACTAGCAATAGAGGCATTATGAGATCTTGTAAGAACCAAACAAACTTGACAGAATACAAGTAAAGAAACCCGTCAAAAAAACTAAGCCTGAAAAACAAACCAAACTAATCTGAGCTCAAAATTGTCTCTTCCCATACTTCCTGAGCAGCCAAACAAACAAACTGGGCAAAACCAATTGCAATTCCAATTTTATAAATTTAAAAAAAAACAGAAAATAAAATAGAAACAATCAGAATCAAACCTCTGAGGTACTCAAGAAGGGTGAAGTGAGCCAACCCATCAGGCAAAACTTTACGAATTCCATTGACATACAATATGGCCTCTTTTGACTCCTCCCCGATTTGTTCCAGCTCCTCTTCGTTCTTCAACGATCCCATAATTTTATTTTCTGTCTTTTGCTTTATTCCTTGAAACCCAACAACTTAGAATTGTGATCAATATTAAGATTCAAAAGAAATCAAGTTTTTCTCTTCAGTATGTGGGAGAGAAGTGAGCGAGAAGAAGATGAAATGGAACAGTAGGGGACTGGGACACGGAAGATCCGTATTCAGATTTTCGGGGAAAAAGACAACAACAACCAAAAATAAGAAGATAGTTTTGCACGTGCGACTGTACTTTCTTCATTTCCCTTTGTACTTTTCTTTCAATTCAGTATTCGGATGCTTTCGCGCTGTTAGGCCATCTCCAATTATATCGGGGCTAAATTTAAATTTTCATCTTTCAAAATATAACTATTTATGTATTTTCAGAATTCAAATTTTTTTTTCCTCCAACCTTGCATATTCATAATTTGAGTCTGCAACTTTATTAAATTGTTTAAGATTGATTAATCATAAAAAAATTTCTCGTTAATTTTTCTTGATATTATTTTTGTTTCAACATTCGTGATTTAATTTTCTAAACATTTTAACCTAAAAAATTAAAATTCCAAAGCATAATACAATTTCACCTAAAAATAAAAACAAGTACAACAATATTTTAGTTCATGGACTTTGAAAGTAAAAATAAGTAGCACACGATTTTTATTAAAAACAATGAAACCACACGATTTTTTTGCAAGCGACATCAATTCTTGGAGCTGCTACTTTTGCGCATGCTCAGAATAATTCAAACCCTTCATTGAAGTCATTGCCATAATTGTCTTCTATTTTTACTTTTACTTTTACTTCACTGGATTCATTTATCCTCATTCAATAATGTTCTGAACTTTTGCCCACCTCCACTTGTGTTCTTCAATTATTTTATGAATCCTTTCCCATCTCTTATTGTCTTCTTTTAATCATGTTCTGAATCATTGCTCATCTTTGTTCATCTCACTTTATTGGATTCCCTTATCTTTCCCTATATTTTCCTATCTTCATTCAATTATTTTCTGAACCATTTCTCATCTCTTATTGTCCTGTTTCAGTCATGTTCTGAACCATTGCTCATCTTTGTTCATCTCACTTTATTGGATTCCTTTATCTTTCCCTATCGTTTTCTATCTTCATTCAATTATTTTCAAACATGTAGATCATCTCATTCTCTTGTCTATTTAAGAAGAGTTATTCTACCGAATTGACCACACAATCTCCTTCAATCTCATTCTCCTTCTTACAATGAATTCACGTGGGAAGGCTATACAAAATTTCTTCAATGATGATTATGATGATGATAACCTTCATCAACATAGGGTTGCAATGGCCGTTCAACACCACACGCTTTTGTTGGAGCAATATGCTCAACAATCCAAACATGGTGGTTTTATTGTAGGCTGTGAATACAAGAATCGGCAGAGAGAAAAACATCATAAGTCTCATGGAGGACTAATTCTATAAAAGACCAATTTATCCCCAAGTGGACTTTCGCAGGCTGTTCCACATGAGAAGATAGCTTTTTTATCGCATTTTGAATGAGTTGTTGCACATGAGCCATACTTTACCCAGAAGATAGACGCTTGTGAATGATAAAGTCTATCCCCAAAGCAGAAGCTAACGGCCATTTTTAAGATTTGTTAAGCATGATACAACTTGAAGGCCTATTTGGAGGTTTATTATCATTTAAGGAAAGTGTTTTTGCATTCATATCCTACCCACGAAATAAAATAAAAGTCAAGTTAATAATTGAAAAGAATTATAGTTATAAATTTAAACATTGAAAAAAATGGTTACTCACAACATCTTCAAGATTAGAGCCATTCACATGTCTTACATTGCCCTTTGTCATACATGCCTTCTATAGAGAACATTGTTGGTTGATGATCTTGAACTCAGAAGCAATAACTTGGGGTGATCGTACCCCAGCTTCGCTCATGCCCGGATCATTTTCCAGAAACTTTTGGTACACACACAACCAAAATGAGTCTTTCGATTGATTGGTGCCAATAGCCCCATCTTCAAAGATAGAAACCCACCTTTGCACAATGCCTCATCTTCTTGTGGTTACCAATTCACACCTCTTTGGGGTTTTAGGGCCATTCTCGACAAGAATGAAAAAATATAACAAAGGGAGAAAGGAAAAAAAAATAAAATTGGTGGATAATTTACCAAATGAATGGCTATTTATAAAGTTTAGAATAAGTTTTGGGGTTGGATCTGATTTCGATTAATTATTAATATTATTTTCACCGTTGGATGTGAAATTTTACCGTTTAGATTGCCTAAAATTAATCCTGATTGTTGATGTAAAATATAGCCGTTGCAATAAATAAAAAAATAAAAACAACATAGCTTTTGAATTCAGCCATTGCAATCCTCTTCACTGAAGCTGCCAGCTGTCGCGCAAAAAAGCTGATGGCCAGACAGCTTCGCTATCACGCGAGGCCCATCTCTTTTTCCTCTTCACATGGGCTTCCAAAGAAAGCTTTAAGCTCCACACAAAATACTAGTCCAGGCAAAACTTGAACTGAAATTCCACCCCAATTTAACATTTCTCAAATTTTTACCCTCCAAAAATACATGAGTTGGAGAAAGAATTTTGGACTCAAAATTGAAATTTTGGGTTTCCATATCAATGGTTGGAGATGGTCTTAAGTAACTCTTTCCTAAAGCATCCGTGTTTGACCCAAAAAGTAGCATGTGGATTATTAGGAAGGAAGAGAAGTAAGAATGGAGGAATTTAATTATTAGATCAAATGTTCAAAAAAGTTCTCAAAATACACTTCTATCCTGAACCAACTTGACTAAGCCTATATCTTCTAGTTTCTTAAAGATAAAATTAATTTAACATATGACACTTATATCCCCAAACAATAAGGAAGGGGGTTTTCACACACATTACCAAGGTGTCATGGGACTTCAAACATGAGACCATTAATCTGCAAATAAATGCCCTTTTTCCACGGGGCTAGACTAGATTGACGAATATTTTGTTCTTATGTGTGCATGTGAAGTGGTGTGTTGTGTGCGCATCATTAGGGTACTTGCCCCCATAAAGGAAGCATTCTAGCTGGACCACTGTTTACTTTCCCATCACATTGTCATAACCTTTAGGTTTAAATTTTTCTTCTTTGCTTACCATTTTCCACTTTGAAGATAGGTGTATTTCACTCTATCGACTAATTGCAATAATTACAGTGTATAAAAATAAGTGTGTTTCGACATAAAAATATTAACTACTAAATAATAATATATTAAGCTTGAGAATGCATTAGCCTACGAAAAGAGGCTTACAAAACCCCCGATTTATTATGAACTGTCTAGTTCACAAAATAAAGCACTTTAAAATTATCATCTCTCACAGTGAAAATGATTCAGTTGAATTTGAAGTCTGTAGCTTTGCCTCTTGTTGATTGAGTAGTTTGATTTGAACTCCTTTTTGTTTGGGCAACTTTGTGTATTCGATGAAAATATGCATGAGGAGCACAGTGGCGGCGAAGGAAGTTACTAAAACGCCCACCCCACTCCATGTGGATAGAAGGGAGAACTTTTGGCACAGTTTGACCATCGCAAGATAAATTAGATAGCAGCTGCTGCAATTAACCTGTGAGAGAGAGAGAGAGAGAGAGAGAGAGAGAGAGAATTTTTTAAGGAAATATGTATAAAATATATATTTATTTTGTTGGAAAGAAAAAGACTAGAATAACTTACAAGCAATGCCATAATAGATCGACCAGTGTCATGAATTTCTTGGTCACCGAAGGTACCCTCAGCTCGAAACTTGTCCAACATAGAATCCTTTGTGTATACATATAAGAGGAAGAATCGAAAATCACATAGGTTATTATTTTTAACAATGAGAAAAATGAAAATAAAAATATTCAGTCTCTCTTTCTATTGATAAAATGACAAAATATATGAACAAATTTTTTTTTCCAGGAAAATCACAGTTTGACGTGTGTGCATAGATTTTTCTTTTTGTATTTTTGATGAATTATTTTTGCATTTGTGTTTAGCTGTGATTTGCAGGAAAGAAGGAATGCCCTTTTCGGGAAGTATGAATTATTTTTTTTATGAATTATTACATTTTGTATGGATGGTTTCACTACTAATAATACATGAAACAAAGAAAGTACATCGAGAACTTGACCAAATAAAATGTATCATATAATAAATAGTTCTACTACTAATAGCACTAAGACCCTTTTGTGATATCGGTGTTCAAGGGTTCAAGCGTACCTTGGCCACAAACCTGTCTCTGCACCATTGAGCAATGGCCTCATCTGATTGTGGCAATTCCTTCATTGAGTATCGTTTTATATGTATTTTTACCTATCACAGGTCACAATTTGTATGCCATCAGAAAAGGGCTTAAATATTTAGTTTTTGAGTGATTTCTAATTTTTTTTTCATTTTTTTTTATGATTAGATTCATCAATTTGTAAATATGAGTATTGAGTTGCCACAATCAACTTAAATTTGCTCAACACTTGTATGGCAAACTATAAAGCAAATTGCTTGCTAATTATTTGTAATTGGAACTCGATGGTTTACCATAGTACTTTTCCTTTCCATTATGGTACGCAGGGAAGGAGTTGAATGACCTTCTGGAACGGCAAGAGTAACATCATACACTGCAGGGACAAATGATCTCAAATTCTTCACTGCTGTGACAAAACCCTGAGAGATTAACAAAATGATATGAATTTTCAAATTCAAAAATTCGTAAAAGCAAAAAATAATAATAATAATTTCTATTTTTAGTAGAAGTTTTAGCATAAAATTTGACCTTGGTACGAGGAATCAAGACATTCTTAGGGATAGGCAGTTTCCTAGAAGCAGCAAACTTTTGAGCTTCTAAAAGCTTGTCTGGGGTCATGCGTGTTCCTTCCGCATACATGGTAAGCCAAAATGGCATGGGAAAATCCTTTAACCCTTGTAAACTTCTCTGCACCATCACCCAATTAATATCAACACAAGGATGGACGCAAACAAATTAAACCAAAGTGGATGGTGAAACTGTTTTCAAGAACCTAATAATAATGTTACAACTTACAAGCACCATATCAGAATCACATTACTGATCATATCTCTCACATAAGTATGGTAAATCATACTACAATGTGACCAGAGAAATCGATTCGTGTCGTAAAAATAATTTCATCCGAAAGTTGTACCTTTAGGTTACTTTCGTCTTTTTCCCAGCTTCTGTTGAGGAAAACAAACCCTAGAAACCAAGATGTCCACCCAAAAATCTGCACCATGTATGTTTAATTAATCTTGATGGAGTTTGGTTTCAAAATTGACACTGCCGTACTAATTAAAGTGATTAAGAACTTAACTCCATTTTGGAAGTGATATTATGTAACTAATGCCATTGGATAAGATGATGATTATATAGTTTTTGCCCTAGAAACTCACAGGAAGGTATTTTGCAGATTTCTTCATAACCATAAGAGCACTACGAAGGCAACCCAATCGCTGCATAAAGCAACATATATATCCATATCCAATTAGATTCCATAGGAGAAAATTTTAGCATGTTATAATAGCTAGACATTCTGGCTATATATTTGCAGTTATTAAGGGTGCAATATTAGTACCTGAGCTAGAAGAAATCCAATAAGTACATCTGCATCACACATGTGGTTGGGCATGAGAAGCGCATGCTCCTTGCCTGTAAATTTCCCAAACATATTAATTCTTCTGGAGACGAAAATTATTCTTTTGAGGGGTCTTTCAAATATCCTTATGGGGCCACTCCGTGTGTGTATTTTAATAATCCGAACTGTCTATCTTTTAGGTATTTCTTCAAAGATAAAAATCACTTGAGTTCGAAACTGAGCGCTCAATTAATTTTAGTGTTTTTGTGAAGCACCATCTTCGTTTATTTTATTGGTCACAAACTAAATGTCTTAATACTTTTCAATTTCTCTAAATTTTTTACAAGGATATAAAGACTTGAAAAATAGACAGTTCGGATTGTTGAAATAAAATTCGTACTTGACCCCACAACGTGTCCCTCAATAAAATTGTGGAAGAACATCACGAAAAACAAAATTTATTTATAGTTACCCATTAGTCGATAAGTTTCCAAATCTGTGTATAGTTTAACCTGTAATCAAAAGTAAAGTAGTCAACTTCTGCAGATGAGTGGTGCTAATACATATTCATGTAGCATACTCTTTTGCTACATAATTAGGATTAGTAATCAATTGGGATGGTAAAGTGGAATCTTGTTTAAATGTTGTATTTGTTCCATTGTTAATCCGATAATTTATACATATGAGACTTTTTGACGAGAAAACATTACCTTTATTATCATAATCCATCAACACATAATTAAAGCGACGCTAAACTCATCATGGACTGAATTTTCTCTAATTAGTTGAACATATATAGAGGATCGGTCCGGTATTAATATGAAAGTAAAAAATATGATCCTACAACATTTCTTTTTTGCTACAAATTAATCCTACAACCTTTGCAATATATATATTTCGGATGCCTGGACGTTATTATCATGCGCAGTGAGGGAGCCACTCCTAGACCTGGAGTGGCCTCGGCCCCCCATATTTTTATCACTCCTCTATTATATTAAATATAATATATAGAATTTGTTATAAACAACTTAGAATTTAAGTTAAAATTTCCTTTAAAACAAATTAGACATGACTCAATTAGAAATATTTAGCTCTAAACATGTAAGTATTGAATACTTAGATGTTTTATGTACTTGTATTTTCTACTTTGGCCACCCTAACTTTATAATTCTAGCTCCACCCTTGATCATGCAGACACCATGTATTTTCTACCACCCCTCCATGTTTTCCTTTCTGTTTGCAATGACATCCGTATAATAATAATGTGCGGATTTCCGGATGAGAGAATAACTATATATATATATATATATATATATTGTATAAAACAAAATGACTATATAATGCAAATTAATTAGAGCACCTTAAGGCCTGCCCACCACTCCAAGAGGCAAATGTGAACCAACCATAAAAGTGATGCAACTGTTCCATTGATCTTTCTATATGCACTCTTGGACAAAGGTCGAATAGTAAGAAAGCAAATGGCCTACAAAAGTATAACCATTAGCTTTGCCACCTTCCATCACAAAGTCAAATCTACTCACATCATATATAATAGCTGCTGCTTAAGTATTTGAAAGTGAGTTTGGCCAACAAAAAAAGTATTTGAAAGAGAGAAATTTGAATTATTAATTTTTTTTGCAGTTAAATGTCAATAAACTCTTCAATATGAAGTTATCATGAGCTTATATGTGAAAAGCGCATATTATACCCACGAAGTTTATATGAAAATATAATTGCTATATTAAAATGTCATCCCCAAAAACCTTGCGGTGGGTGACTAATAGAAAATAGTCGCTAAATGCTATTTTAGGTGAGGAAGAACCAAAAAAAAATGAAAAAAGGGACTGGATCAACAATTTCAGGATATAGAAAGTACCTGGAGAAGATTGACGAAGAGACCAAGGACAACAAAGACTACACCGTAAGGAATTGAGAAAACTACAGCTTTAAGCTCCATGGCCAAAACACACAATCCCTACAATTACAGAGAGAGAGAGAGAGAGAGACAGATACTTGTAGTTATATATATATATATATATATATATATATATATATATATATATGAATGTGTTTGGAAATTTGGCAATGCACGTTAGACGGTTGGCGGGATAACTCATAGGCCCCATTCTATTGGCGTACCAACTTAATTAACTCAAATTGATGCAACGACAATTAGGGTTTATTTTCAGAGTTGGGCATTTTCATTGGCCGAACCAAACTGGTCTAGTCTATTGTCTTGAGTATTAAATTTAACGGTTTAACTAAGTCGAAATTAGCAATTTATAACCCTTAGCAATTTAGAACATTGACTTTTACACCCGTGGTCTTGTACTCTATTCTCCCTCCTCCTCTTTCTCTCTCGGGCTTGTAACCCAAGTAATATTGCTTTGTTTAAGAGAAACTTTGGTGACTATTTATTTTTGGGGAAGACTAGGTGAGCATTAATATGATGTCGTTGGATGAGTGTGATTTCATTTACCTATTATACGAATCTCAAAATTTCATCTCATTCAATGGCCATTAATATGATGGCGATGCTTATCACCCCTAATTCAAGGTGGTGAGCAAAAAAGTGTTGACTATCGCTTATATTTAAATATAAATACAAAAATCTTATTTTCCATCATTAAGCTTAATCAATCTAAAAAGAGTTAAAAACAAAACAAAATAATAGAAAAATCAGGGGAGTGAGGAGTGTCTTTGGAGTTGGGGTAAATGGGGCTGGTGTGGCGGAGCCATAAATTTAAGTAAGAGGGGGCATCTTTAATAATTCAATCACTTTCTTTTATGACAAATCAACCTAGTTTTTAAAAAATTCCTAATTTTATCATTTTTCTCTATTTTTTCTTCATTTTTTGTATGAATAACCTACCACTCTTTTATGATAACAAAATACATGCAATTCAAAAGAAATTTAGAAATGAGAATGAAAGAGAAGCAAAGAAAATAGTGGGCATTTAAGAATATTTGTGAGAAATTTTATAATACTTTTACAATATTTCTAACCTATAACAACAGTCGAGAGGGGGCCAATGCCCACCCTAGGGAGGAAGTGCTAGAGAGAGACGAGAGATTGGGGAAGAAAAGGGCAGAGAGAGATAGGTGATGGTCCCCACTTTCTACGTCCTACCATCATAGTAGCTCTACTGCCGTACACACAATCCTGTTAAAATACGGCGTATCATGTACACAGCAGCAAAAATTTAATCTTTGTATGCTGGCTTTACCTGTACATTAGGGAAGCATTTATAAGTGTAATTTTCAAACTTCCCATTGATTGTAAATTGTAATTGCTTGGGAACATGTTCATCTAATTCTTGGTCCGCTGAAATTTATCCCTATTCTATATTCTATATTTTAACGGGATTTTATTTCTGATGTCCTTTTTAAGGATTGTTTATTCCTTTGGGTCTTTGGCTATTGGCGGCATTGTAGCACACTGACGTCATCCCCAAAACTTGGGCTCCAATTCGAGCGCGCCTCCCCCTCGAGCCATCCCAGTCTGCTGGGGTCCACCTTCTGCCCGGGCCGGTCTTTGTTGTTGGAAACACTTTTTTGGCCCTAACCCCCACCAGCTCGAGCCCAACCTCCACTGCTGGAAGTGCTCTTAGGAGTTGTGGTTTCCTCTAATCGCCCTAGGTGGGATGAGGGTAGGCTACCCATTTAGCCCTTGATGACCAAACCCTTTTATGTTGATATGCTCACCTAATCTTCTTAACCATTATCGTATGAACTGCTTGTTTTGTTTCCCTTTGCATTAATATAATTCCACTCTTTTTTATAATGATAACCGAATCCCAAGTCATTGAATATTTCCTTCAAAAGTCCTTCCAATTGCTCAAGTGATGAGGATGAGTGGGGAAATGGATTAGGATTAGATTATATTCTCTCCATTGTAGAAAAGAAAAATATATAAGAATAATACTAGTCTTACCACATTTTTTATACCACATGATGTGGCAGTTGATGTGTACATACCACATCATGTAAAATACTAGTTTATGTTTTTCTAATTTTATTTATTAAAATACACTTTATTCATTTAATTGATATGTCATATGATATGGACATGCCACATCATGTGGTATAGAAATGTGGGATACTAATGTGGTAAGTGTAGCATTACTCAATATATAAATCAATGAATCAATAAATAAATAAATAAATACAGAGCTGTGCCGCTACAACAATACACAAGCATATTGCCTAAATTTTTGTTTGTGTGTGTGTGTGTGTACATTTCCAAGCTACAACAAGAGAACAATAAGCTTGGCAATTTCAAATGAAGAAACCTAAAAACAAAACAACAACAAAATTATAATCACATTTGAAGATCACTGTCATGCCTAATTGTTAGCACTAATAATTAAATAAGAAGATCATTTCTGAACGAGTCTCTCCTTGGTTTGGTCTTGTGGGGTTATATTGAGCGGTGTCGAACGCTCTGATTCAGATGAATGGATGAGGATTTGCATAACAATTACAATAAGGACCAAGAAAGTAGCTGAAAATGCAATGCCTTTCCATGAGGATAGGAGGGAAGACCATGGAACGAATTTGAAAATTCCATAGCCAAGTAGGCAGGACCAGAGTAACACAACCTATATATTGTGACAAGAAAATGGAATTAGAATGAGAAAAAGAGGTCAAAAGGATTAGATGGTCAATTGTGAAATCTTACAATTAAGGACTTCATAGGTCTGCCAATGTTTTGAAGTTTCTGGTCACTGAATGTGCCTTTAGCAAAGTACTTCTCCAGTAAAGCATCCTGGTAGTTGAAAAGTTGGAAAAAAGAAAGAAAAAAAGGCATCAAACATACAGTTACTAGGGGGCTATAAAGTGAGCAGTGTCAAATGATGATGAAGGTCTGTTTAGGTCTGCCGGTGTGATTGCAATTTACTGCGCCCTATGAGCCAATTAAAAAGGAAATGCATGAGCAAGTGGTTGTGGCCCAAGCAGTTAAGAGCATTCACCCTTGCACTCGAGGTCATGCATTTGATTTCCCCTTCCCCCAATATCACTTGTATTTTAAAAAAAAAGAGAGAAAAAAGAAGGGAAAGGAAATGCATGAGAACCAAAGCAAAAGCAGCTATACCCGGAAGGATAAGTACTTTAAACCCAAATATGAGAGATATGGGACTTCTATGTCTTGGCTGCACACAATTTTATTGATCTTTCTCAGATCAGCTGAGCTATATCAGTTCAGAAACCTCCAAATATTGATCATTCTTACTTATTGCTTTTTTCTTGGGCTAACCTGGGCTATGTGTCCGGTTACTTCTCCCTCCAGACAACCCCTTAAAAGTTTCAAGCATAAGAGAATTTCATCTAAAAATAGAAAAGAAAAGAAAGAATGTATTAATGAGTACACCTTGGTAACAAATACATCTTTACACCACTGTCCAATTCCGTCAGCCGTTTTGGGCAATTCCTGCATTGAATGTCTCCTGATTTGTAATTTTACCTGTAAGAATCAGAAACTCCTTATACTTAGTAACATATTTTCTGACCTTTTTCCCACGACTATTGGCCCCATTTCATTTTTCAAGACAAGTGTGCGCTCAGTTTTCTGAGAGAAGCCTCAGTCCCACACTGTAGAAGGATGCAAGGGCACATCCAGCTCATCTAGCACGAAATGTCCCCTTCTACAAAATGGCTGTCCTGTCTAGTTTTTCCATATATAATTTGAAATGATATTGCTTTGTTTTTATTTAGTATTCAAATGAGCATAAGTCTATCCAGAATGGACACTTAGACGGACACAGGACACCAAAGATAGAAACTTTAGTTAAGTAACAAAGGAACACTGCGGGAACAGCCCTTGCTCATAAGCACGTCCATGCTTTTCGTGCATAAAACTTTCTAGGTCTCAATTTGTCAGTTCATTATACAGAATCTCACGTAATTATTCATCCATGAGTACTTTGTATCTTCCTTTTAAAAAAAAATATTCTGGTAGCATCTTTGGTTATGATAGTTATATGCTAACGATCTATTTCCACATGTCATGTATGTGCACGGTTGGTATATCCCTGAACCTTGGCCTGGTAACATTTTCTATGGTCTCCACTATTTTATTCTTGGATTCAAACTTTCTGACTTAATGCTATCTTAAAAATTTGCACTATGTTTACAAACAGATTACCTCATTACTAGGACATTAGTAAAACAAAAGTAGTAAAGAAATACAAACCATATCTAAGAAACCCTGTTGATTCCATGCAAGATGATTTAAAGGTTACTAAGTAAAACAGTTCATTATTTAAGAGAAAAACAATCAAGCAATTCCACTGTACCCCACCAATTGAGATGTGCAGCTAAAAACTGATCAATGACAAGTAAGAATGTGTAATGTTCCCTACAAGAAACTAAGGATGCACTAAAAAAAATGTTAGTTAGCTAATAACAAGTAACTTTATCAGCATATGCAGAAAGAGTTTTGTTGTCCTACCACAGAAGATTGCCCTCGAAATATTCTCAACAATGTAGGCGGTGGCTGATTGTTGGGAACAGCTACTGTACAATCATAAATTGCTGGAACAAATGAGCGCATCTGACTTACTGATGAAACAAAACCCTGAAGAAGTACTACAATTTTAAAATAAAGGGGATACACAAAACTGTGGAAATTACGTTGATGAGTCGCATTATGAAATTATGGGAAAAAAGACATAATGGCAATGTACAAGGAATATCTAGTTTTAAAAAATTCAAATAGGATATAGCAGACACCAATTTGACTTAAAAAGAAGGAAAAATGGTATGAAAAAAATTGTAAATAGACTATTACCTTTGTACGTGGAAGCAAGACATTCCTAGGAATAGGCAACCCTCTTGAAGCAGCAAACTCTTGAGCTACCATTAGCTTTGCCTGCGTAAATCGTGTTCCTTCTACAAAGAGAGCCAACCAAAAAGGCATGGGGAAATCCTCTAGTTGTTGAAAACCTGACTGTAGTGGGAAACCCCATGAGTTATAAAATGACAAAGAAGAAGACTGTGTCAAACATATGCGTATAAACACATTTACAGATACCTTCAATGTAATTTCATCTTTAGTCCATCTTCTTTCCAAGAAGAAATATTCAGAAAACCACATTGACCAACCTATGACCTGCGTGCATGTACCACATTAACCCTTACTGAATGATTATCACAATACAAAACTAAATAAATGAGTAAATTAAAGGACAATACATAAGTTAAAACATACCCAAAAAAAACATCATTAATTTCAATAGGAATAGAAAGATACATGTTGAGTGAAAACTCACTGGAAGGAACTTTACTTCTTTCTTCATGATGGCTAGGGCACTACCAAGGCAACCTGAGCGCTGTTATTAATAGATTCATTTCAATCAGTTAATTAGAAAGAACAAAAATTAAAACATGATTTTCAAGAAACACAATGGTTAACAGGTATAATCAAATTGCTGACTCTGCCAACTCTACCTGTAATCCTATTTTCATGACATAGAGGTTGAGGGGTTTGAAATAAAGAATAAAGAAAAGATACAGTGGGCAGGATGGTTTTCTGGAACTCGGACGAGTTATTCAGAAAATATTGATGAGGTCAACGGATGAAAGACAACAAAGGAAGACGAGATGATGGTAACTTGTTTTTCATGAAGTCAGACAATTATATGGAAATTATATGCTTTTAAAACACAGACAACGATTAGTGTGCATGTTTAACATCATACAAGTGACACTGCTAGAAATAAATTCACAAAGATAAACACCTGAGCTATGAGCCATCCAACAAGCCAATCAATGTCACTTCTGTGATTGCAAATGACAAGTGCATGTTCTTTACCTGAAAATTCCACAAACAAGACAACAGCCAGTCAACACGAGAGATTTGTAAACGTAAAAAAAAATTCAATTTCTCTTCTTTCTTTTTTTTTCTTTTTTTTCCATCAAAATCTTAATTCCTCTCTATGACTGAAAGATTATGGAACACAACCCATTAATAATTGTCACCTCACCCATTAACTGAAAGGTGTCTGAATCTACATACAACTCAACCTGCAGCAGAAGTTCCAACAAGTTAGACCGTAATTAGGATCTAAAACCCAAGTACACCCATCCAAAACAGGAATGCCTATAAGTTCACAAGGTAAATATGGTGGTGACATAGCAACAGTTTTGTTTCCACTGCATATGTGGTAATCTAATGCAATTCAGAGTGTGTAAAATGAAAAATCATTCTATAAATTAGAGTATAGAACTTAATTGACATTGACATATTGACAAATTAGATGAGAAGAAGATTTTTTATCCTGAAGGTGCATGCCACTTTCCTCCTTTGCTACTCACTTTCAAGCTACAATGTTTCTTGAAAGATTTAGCTTTTGCAGAACCCCAAAGATTTAGCTTTTCATGTTTGCCGATATTTAATTTATTCTTACCATCAAACTCTCCCCAATAAGCCAACCCAAATTGCAAGCCTCCTAAAAGTTTGGGATTATCAATTTGGCTACAGATGTGTATATATTGGTTTCATCATATCTTACCCCGTGCATTTCTCTAGAAAAAGGTAACAAATACTATAAATGTGTGCTGTGGCAGATTTTCCATTGAAGACATAAAGGAATAAACAATTTTTTTTAGTACAAAGGAATAAACAATTTTAAGAAAGAATCACACCTTGATTCCTGCCCACCAATCAATAAGCCATATGGGTTCCAACCAGAGCAACTCTGCAACTACTTTGTTGATCTTTCTATACAACTTCTTTGATATAGGACGAAGAAGGATGAAAGAAACTACCTGAAAGTGCGTATATGAATAAACTCACGATATGTGCACTAAGTTAACCAAAACTAGAAAACTTGGGCAAGAAATGCTTTATGTAGGTAATTGACAGATTTGATAACATTCATTAGATGATAAAGAAAACCAGTGGCAGGTCCATTCTAATGTCGTAGCTTTACTAGAGAGAAAAATGGATTCCAATTTTTGGCATGCAAGTCCAGTTGTATGGAGAGTTGATGCATGTTTTTGTAAGGAAGTTATGTAATGTAAGTAAATGAGGAGTGTTAAGGCACATACACCATGTTCTAATATAACAATTGGTTAAAAGACAAAGGTTTAGAGGATATAAGTAAATGGCATATTTCTTATTAACCATTTGATACTCATCCAAGAACTTAGAACATGGTATATGTCTCTTATTAAATTACTTAACAGTATGTCCTTGAACATTCTTGTATGTGCAATATGGTGTCAAGGTTTGGTAGCGATATATGGAACAAGGATGCCATTTATTGAGCCAAAATTTATGTCATTCATCTTGGGAGTAAGCACCTATTAAAGGCATTACTTTACTGACGATTCAATTTTGCAGCTCTTCCCTGTTTCTCCCTTCAATTAAAACATTGTTAACAACTAATGAGGAGTCCTCTAAATATAACGTTGTACCGTTGTGTTTGAAATTTACTATTATGATTACATTACTCGAAGAAACAGAGGCATTGCAGAAAACCATGGCCCAAATTGTAGTCGATTTTTGAGACCGGCACCAATAAATCAGCATTGCTAATTTCCCTGCCTATAAGTTGTTATAAATTGTTATGAAACCACTCTAAAGAATAGGTTAGAAAAATCTCTACTTGCTGTTTAAAATGCAATTGGATCATTCAATTTACATGCAACAATCAAAATCACCGTCAGGAAAAGAAGCACATAACCACATAGCAAAGGGCCACAATTGGTAATAATATCAAATGGGATTTCTTCCGAAACACCAAATTGCAAAAATGGAAGCAAAAGGCATTGAGAGAGAGAGAGACACAGAGACAGAGAGAGACACAGAGAGAGAGAGATTAATCATTAATGCCAGACATACCTGCATGAGATTAACAATGAGGCCTGAGAGAATGAAAAGAACGCCAATGGGAACGATGGCGAGTACAGCTGGGATGGCCATGGCTGCTAATGCTATTCTGGCTTTGGGTTTGGAGAGGAAGAGGAGACAGAGATTCGATGGGAGACAGAGAGCGTTTGGGGATCATAACGAACGAACACTGTCTGCGTGCGTGTGTTTGTTTTTGCTGAGACGCGAACTGGAAGCCGCTTCAAACGCTTGAAGTCGTTACAAAATTTTATGGCCAAAAGTCACTTTTGGTCCCTGTAGTTTGACACTTCAACTACTTTTGACACTGTAGTTTCAATTTCGTCACTTTTAACCCTGTAGTTTCATATTTGAAGCAATTCAAGGACATGTTAAAATTTCTGTTAGCACCCCATTAATTGCTCTTTACACCCCATATTAATTTTAAATATAAATAACCTATTTTACCCTTGTACACAATTACCGTTAAGGACAAAAAAAATTAAAATTAAAATTAAAATTAAAATTGCTCACTACACCCCACATATGTTCCTGCAACCCTAGTTTGATTTTTTTTCTCAAACTATCATGTTCCTAAACCCTAAACCCAAGATTTATAAGTTTATACTGGTGAAAAAATATATTGTATTTATTCATGAAGGGTGAGATTGAAGTTAGAGACGCTTCGAATGAGGTACGAGTTTATTTTTGGCGTTTTGCAAGTTTTATATTTCATAACAGTCGCTGGTTGTGTTCAGCACATCAGTACAGAACGCGACAGATAATTTCGGTGGGATGCCACCAAAACTTTGCACCTTTTTCGGTTGGATTTCACCGCTGAGAAACTTAATATTCGGTGGGGATCCACCATAAGATGGAACGTAGTTCAGTGGTGTACTACCGAACTTTTACCCGCGTTTCAATGGCATCCAACCGAAATTTATTTATTTTTTCAGTAACTTATTGCCAACCACAAATTTAATCCAAGCTATTTTGATCTTACTCCCATTAAAGGAACAAAATATCCAAGCTATTTTGATCTTACTCCCATTGAAGGAACAAAATCAAGATGACGCCCCTACTGAAGGCAACAATGTGGAAACAGAATGTGTAATGGACTATAGTGATCAATTCACAACTTACAATGTGTTATTACCATATAACTAATATTTTGTTTTATTTTCAGCTCTATAAGCCTCGCGAAAACCAATCAGCATTCGATACATATATGCATATAGAGAAATTCCCTGAGGGTATTAGGAAATATATCACTCACCAGACTGAAGTTCTTCCGGATGGTAACTGTGGATATAGAGCCATAGCTATGGCAATGAGATTTGGTCATAATGAATGGCGTAGGGTACGCAAGGATTTGTTGCAACAACTACATGATATGTCTTTTGTTTTTAAGAAGTGTATTCGGGAACATAAACGATACAACGAGATTGAGCGAGCGCTAAATTATTTTGATGATGGATTTGCACCATTCTTTTGTTGGATGACCATGCCTGATATGGGACATATTATTGCCACACGTTATAATGTGGTTTTAATCCTTCTAAGCATGCGTCAATGCCTTACATTTCTTCCTTTCTCAGTTCAATCAAGCGAAACCAAGCTAAATGAGATTGCCATTGGTTTTGTTGACGATGATCACTATGTCCAGGTATGAATTTATTTGTTTACGCAACATTGGTTAATTTTATATGCTATGCGTATATGAATGGATTCTTGTTTTGTAGGTTCATTTGTCTCCAGATCATCCTATTCCACCAGTTTCTAGAATGTGGCATGAACAAAGTGACATATGCAATGTAACACATTTGTACTCGAGGTACCAAGCACGTGTGGATGCTTTTCAACAACTTCCGGGAGTGGAGAATGTAGCTACTACAGATACCGTCATCCTAATGACTGATGAAAATGCACCTGTTACATAATTGAGATTATAGATCTAATAATTTTATTTAATTTTTTTTCACATGTAACCTGAAAAATACATCTTTGTGTGCATAGTCATTTAGAGTTGAAGGAGAAAGTTGATAAAATAATGCAGGAGTTTAACCATAATCTGTCGCAGAACCTCCAGAGTTGAAGGAGAAAATAGAAAAGGTGAACACAGAGATTTATGAGGAAATTGAGAGAGTCTGTGGTGGCCACAGAGATTTCTTATCACTGGCCGAATACATGATGTACTCCTCTGAATTTGTGTCTGAAACATTGGAGAATCGCACCCGTAACCATGACAAACTCACATACTCATCATTGTATTTGTGCAATTGTTCAGTAGCCTCTTCATCAGTCACTCCTAAGTACTTAACTAACAACTCAAAATTTGTGTCGTCATCATCTCCAAGAGGAGCAACCGCTGCACCAGACACAGGAATGCCTAAAATAGATGACACATCATCCAATGTGATGGTCATCTCACCAAAAGGCATGTGAAAGGTGTTCGTTTCGGGATGCCACCTCTCAACAAATGTAGACACCACAATCTTATCAGCATTCCGATAAGAACACCTAATAAGGTGCTCTAATCCAGACCTCTGAATGTACCCTTTGAATATACTATTATTTGGATTACCCCACCAATTCCACTCACGAAGGGTAGATGTTTTCGACATGCACCTAAGGGGCTCACGTTCCTAGTTAAACAAAAAAAAACAAAATTAAGGTTAGTTACCATGAACCAGATTTATATTCTACCTTCTATTGTCACAGTAAAACGACTTACCTGGTTATTCCAAATTGTAGCTGCTATGTGAGTTTTAAAACTCGTAAGTAAAGATGGATCAATGGGACCTACTCGAGATGGCTTAGTAGGCTCGGCATGTACCTCAACATTACTATCCTGAGCAGTAGCTACATCTTCAACCTCTGCGTCAACATTACTATAATCAGTAGGAACTACATCTTCAACCTCTGTAGTATCCTCAATGTGATCTTGGGGAGCCGCTCTCTGTCTCCTCGCTGAGGCCGTGGGACGTTGTCTATTAGGTCGTGATGATGAAGCTTTAGTAGTACCCCTGCGAATCCTCTTCATATCTAAAAATAAACAATATTAAGTACACACTCAGTAACGTATTCGGTACATAATCACTGAAAAAGGGAAATAAATTCGGTGGACAATCACTGAAAAAAGAATACATATTTGGTGGAGTACCACTGAAAAACCAAAAGAAATTCGGTGGGAGTCCCCTGAAAAATAGAAACAGATTCGGTGGACTACCACCGAAACATGGTAACAATTTCGGTGGTAACCCACCGAAAGTACAGGTTCAATTCGGTGGACTACCACTGAAGCAATGTAATCATTTCGGTGGCAATCCACCGAAACTAGAATCCAATTTCGTAAAACCAGGTTCGAACTACCCAGAACCTTGAAATTGAAATCAAAATCAGTATCAAACTTTGGCTTTTCAAAAGTGAAATCAAATGTAGGCTTAATCAACACTTAGAAACGTAAATATATAAATCAAATTTGAAATCAAACCTTGAATAAGGATTTGTGAGAACTTGACCTTCAATGGCTTTTGGGTTTGCAGAGATGGAGATGGGTGTGATGGTTCTGTTTCAGATATGGTTCAGGTTTGCTAGAGGCGATGGCAAAGGGCTTTTTCGATGGTGAGCAAAGATCTGCGATGGCAAGGGATGAGTTCTTCGATGTTCTGCGATGCAGGCAATGGCAAAGGGCTTCTTCGATGGTTCTGCGATGGAGGTTGGTGTAAATGGGATGGGGTGTGCGATGGAGTGTGTCTGCAAGAGGAGAGAATTTTTGGTGGGGTGTGGCTGGATATCAGATGGGGTGGGGTTTGATTTCAGATGGGGTGTGGCAGAAAGGGAAGGGGGTTTTCGATGGGTGGTTAGAGAATGGGGTTTATGAGGGCAATTTAGGGAAAAAAAAGGGGTTTAATGAGTAATTTGAAATTTTATCAAAATTTAGTGGGGTGTAAAAAATTATGGGGTGTAAAGAGTAATTTATGGGGTTCATATAGAATTACCCATTTCTTTAACGGAGTAAACATGTGCCCCTCACGTGGAGGGGCAATTTTGTCAGTCCAAAGCAGCTTGTCTCTTCCTCTTCCCTAGGGCGCGCGAAATTGGCCATTTTGAAGCAGATTAGGATTAGGGCTCTTAAAAATTTAGTGAAATTCATCTGGGTTTTTGATTAAGTGCAACGAGAGGGTGCGAAAAGACTAGCAGAACTTCAATAGGGTTTAGGGAGGTGAAGTCGATGGAGGTGAAGAACAGAGGTGAAGTCGATGGAGGCTTCAATAATCCAGGTGAACTCAAAATCTTTGAAGGTTCAGTTTTCTGTGCGAATTTGTTTTACAACTTTCTTTTATTTGAGGTTTCAATGCATATAATTAGTAGGTTCCAACGCCATTTCTGAAAGCAAATGATGTTTATATAGTTGCAGAAAGAGAACGATAACAACACAGGAAAAAGAAAAAAAAACATAAAATAGCTATGATTTTTGTAATCATCACTTGTTAAACAATCAAATTCATCTACATTTCAGGCTATGTAATACTCACATATATAAATTTTAATGATCATCATTAGAGGAATCAGTTTAAATTCCGTATGCAACCCATGTAGTGGGTAATTTTTTCGAAATTTAGAGAAAAAGCGTGATTTTCAGTGTTGATTTTATATATATATATATATATATATTACACTATAGAAAAAGGAATGATTATCGCTCTTGAAACCACTAAGAACTAAGACAAGGAAATGATAGCATTGAGGTCAGCAAGGCATTCAATGGGTAGGCCAAGGAAGGAGTTAATCAGAAAGTCATCAATAGGATCAACAGTTGCCACCCCAACCAATCTGCACTTTCCTTGTTCATCCAACCTCTCCCCTCTTCCACTTTTTATTGAGCCCTTTTTTTTGTTGTTTTTTTTTACCTGGCCAGATTCTTGATTTATGCTCCCCTTGAAGAGCTTGGGAATGTCAATCTTCAAAAATGGTGGCAATGGCAATCCCAAGAACTTTGTTGTTGCACTCTTCTCTGTTCTCGCTTTTGTTTATTCCATTCTTTTGTTTTGTGGCCTTGTTTTGTTTTGTTTTTCTTATTTGAATGACCTTGTTTTGTTATGCAACTTTGGGTTTGGAAAGTTATGCTTTGTTGCTATGATGGTTGAAAATTTTATAAAATAGTGTGTGTATTGGGAGTTTGGGAAACACAATGGTCAGCTATTTGCATAAAGTAAAGCAATATGCATGCCATTTGTTATTTAATAGCTCTGAATGCTTTGATTCACATAAAGTAAAGCAATATTTTCAATTTCATGGCATTGATTTTTCAGATGCTGGCCCTCCACGATTTCCTTATGTCGAAGCAGTTGATGAGGTTCCAGATGAATATTTTGATGATATTTTTAATCAAGCTTCACAAATTTCCTTTGAAGGTGGACAAGAAGTGGGTAATGACAACATGGGAACAATAGAAGTGCCTGTGTATGGACATAATATTGACAATGAAGATAGGATAAAGGTACCTGTCAATGTTGATGATGAAGAGGATAGTGAAGAAGACTGTGACGTTGATGGTAGGAGGAGAGTAAGAGATCTTCAAGACAGTGATGGTGATGTATCAGATAAAAAATATATGAAAGTGATAATGATGCTGCCATTGATGACAACAACCTGTTTGATGGAAATATGCAATCCAGTTTTGGGAGAGTAGGAAATACCTATCTACCTAAGGATTTTGTGGCTTTTGATCATGAAGAAGACTCGGATACAAACTCAGAAAAAGCTTTCAACTCACCTAACCACTCTTCAGATGAGGATGGTGAAATGAAGAGGAAGTATCCAGAGTTTTGTAAGTCTGATTTGAATAATCCCAAGCTTGAGAAAGGAATGTTATTTGGAAGCAAGGAGATCTTGAAGACAGCTGTTAAGAATTATGCAGTGATGGGAAATTATTTAATAAAATTTGTCAAAAATGATAAGAGGAGGATCACTGCAAGATGTACAAACTGCACTTGGATGCTTCATGCTTCATATATGCAACTAGAGGAAACGTTGCAGATCAAGACCTTTATTGATAAACACATTTGCGTCCGAAATCCTACTAACCCACATGTCAATTGTGTATACATAGCTCAAAAGTATATAGATCGTATCATGGATGAGCCTGATATTACGATTAAAAATCTTAAGAAGGCAGTGAAGAGGGACTTAGGATATAATGTTTCAGATAGCCAATGTTCTAGAGCTAAGAGGAAAGCCAAAAAAATAATAGAAGGGACTTACATGGAGCAATACTCAAGGCTGTGGGAGTATTGTGATGAGGTGAAAGCAACAAATGTGGGAAGCACAATGAAGATAAGGGTGGAGCCTCCTCCGCACTTGCAAAGACTTTATGTATGCCTTGATGCATGCAAAAAAGGCTTTCTGGCTGGTTGCAGACCTATCATTGGAGTGGATGGATGTCATTTGAAGGGTCCTTTTGCAGGTAATAACTACAACAAATGGTTTGAATAAATACTCAGATTAGCCACTTATATTAATTGATATTTTTCAATAATATGTGAGTTTAACTCCTTTCTTTCATAGGTCAATTACTTGTTGCAGTGGGTGTTGATGCCAATGATAACATGTACCCTATTGCATATGCTGCTGTGGAGTTGGAAACTAAGGAGACATGGAGCTGGTTTTTGGAGTTGCTAATGGATGATCTTGGTCCTGTAGAAGACCATGGATGGATATTCATATCAGACCAACAAAAGGTGAGCTTATAATTCATGCATAATGGTTTAATTTTATTCTTTATTATTTATTATTCCGAATAAACTTATGAATAACATATGGTTTTATTGATTATTAATATAATATATATTCAAGAACAACTAAAATGTGATTATGCTTATACCTGATATAGGGGTTGGACAAAGCCTTTGATATTGTTGTGCCTCAAGCCCAACATAGGTGGTGTGTTAGGCATATGTATGGGAACTTCAAGGAAAAGTATAAGGGCAAGGGTTTGAAAGATCTTTTATGGAGTGCAGCTAGGGCTCCCAATTGCCATGACTTTGAGGTTGAGATGAATAAGCTGAAAGAGATGGATGGTGATGCTTATAATTGGTTGATGGGGAAAGATCTAAATAAGTGGGCTAGACATAGGTTTAGCACTGCCCCTAAATGTGATATGTTGTTAAATAATTTGTGTGAAACATTTAACAGCTACATCTTGGGTGCCCGAGATAAACCTATATTGACCATGCTAGAAATGATAAGGTGTAACCTAATGAAAAGGTTAGAAGTGAAGAGGATTGCTATGGCAAAACATGAGGGGGTCATTTGCCCTAAAATTCAAAAGAAATTGGAGAAGATAAAGATGCATTCGGCTAGGAATTGTATGCCAACAACAGCTGGAGCATTTGAATATCAAGTGGGAGAGTACTTACATGATCAACATGTGGTAAATATAGCATTGAAGACATGCTCTTGTATGAGATGGGATCTTAATGGTATCCCTTGCATTCATGCCGTTGCTGCCATATATCTTTATAGGGGTTGTCCAGAAGATTATGTAGCTTCATGCTATCTTAAGGACACTTATTTGAAGGCTTATGAGCCAATGATTCATCCAATGAAGGGCTTTAACATGTGGCCAAAGTCAAATCAAATACAACTCTTACCTCCAATTGTTAGAAAACAACCGGGGAGACCAAAAAGGAGTAGGAAAAAGGACCCTGAAATGGAGAAGGTTGTTGATACCAGTGGTACTAAACTCAAGAGAAAAGGCACTGTCACATGTACCAAGTGTTGGAAAAAAGGCCACAACAAAAGGAATTGCTCTAATCAGCCCCAAGACCCTCCACCTGGAACCTATATTGATAAAAGATGGGGACTTCCAGCTTCTTTGAAGAAAAGGAGAAGTAATGGTGCTACAGATGTGGCCTCCTTTTCTCCTATGCCAACTCAAGAGAATGTGCACACCACTCTGATGCAAAGACAAAAGCTTCCTGTAAGTGTTTTCATTTTTCCTAATATATATTTATATGTAAATATATATATATATATTAATATACATTTTGTGTGGCTATGCAGATTAGGAAGGGTTATGTAAATGCTCCAAATGCACCAAGGCCAACTCCTCTTGTGCCCACTTCAAGACCAATTCCTCTTATGCCCACTCCAAGACCAACTCCTCTATTTATACCCACTCCAAGGCCTATTCCTAATATGCAAATTGGAAGTTTAAGCTCTGTGAATCAAAGACAAATTGGCGGTGCAAGATCAATGAATACAAGACCAACTCTTAATATACAAATGGGAGGTGCAAGTTCTGTGAATCCAAGGCATATGGGAGTTAGCATTAGGCCTCCACTATCAAGGCAAATGGGAGGTTCAAGTGCCCGATGGAACCCACCAGGAAAAGCAACAAATAAGAAAAATTCCAAGTCAACTGAAATTGCTTATTTTGGTTGTTGGCCAATATTTTGTGAACTGAAGTTGGCCATTACTTTTGAACGTAGTTTAATAGTTTCTGGTTGTTGGCCAATATTTTGTGAACTTTCTTCTTTTACTATAACTGTAACAGGCCTTGCATTCTTCTTTTGTTATCAGACATACTTTTTTGGCTGCAAGTGTAAGACCCCTGTTTTGGGTATAATGCAATCAGATTTGACTAAAGAAACACTCAAATGTTTTGTGAAATAGCAATCAGATTTAACAATCATAATAGAAAGATACTAAATTCTTGGTTTTACGTTGGGTAGAGACAAGCTTTTACTTGGGGCTTTGGAGTGACAAAATTGCCCCTCCACGTGAGGGGCACATGTTTACTCCGTTAAAGAAATTAACAGAAATTTTAACATGTCCTTGAATTGATTCAAATATGAAACTACAGGGTTAAAAGTGACGAAATTGAAACTACAGGGTCAAAAGTGGTTGAAGTGCCAAACTATAGGGACCAAAAGTGACTTTTGGCCAAATTTTATTATTCTTCAACATTTACACGAAGTATCACGTGATTTGTCATGTGGTGTGAGCTATTGAATAAGTTCATTAGGGAATTTTTTTTTACAATGCAAATATGTTTGTAGCCCTCAGATTGACAGATTTATTACACTTCTCTTAGTTCACCCCATGTTCTAAGTTCACCCCAACTTTTAATTTAAAATTTCACAATTTCTAAGAAAACTCAACTATCTTCCCAAACTACCCTTAAATACACCCCAATCTGAAAAAATAAGAAAGAAAAGAAATTTTCTATTTAAACCCCACAAGCTACCCTTAGAGGAGGAATGTATACAGCTTTGGGGAGATCATGCTGGAAATTTTAAGCAATGACAGGTTGATGAATTCAGGAGCAAGCATACAAAGTAAGTCAAGGGAAGTTGTTATGAGAGAAATTTACAATGAGAATGAAGTTGGTACGAACGTTCCGATGCGAGAGGAGATAAAACTGGTACCTGAAGTGCTACACTTTGCACTAGGAGTAGGCCATCTGATCGTCCATCAATGGAGAATACATTGAAGCTTTTATCAGAGTGGAAAAGAAACAAGAAAAATTACCCAACTATTGAAGTTGCAGCAATAGGATTATGATTTTAGATGCACACTGGAATGCCAGAAGTGATAATAATATTACTGTTCCCAGCATTAAAAAAAAACACAAACAAACCCAAATCCGAAATTTAATATTTTCTAGAGAAAGAGAACAGCTTTACCAAAACATTAGGTATTTAAAAAAAGCAATCAACAAAGGGAAGAGAATAAGATCATTACAGCCAAACAATTAACAAGTCTTTCCATTAGCTCCCACGTAGATTTTAAAGAGACATGCTCTTCAATGTTCTATGTCTCTGGCAATACGATGTAGAAGAGTTTGTATTTTTCTAAAACTTAATATGAAGAGTGGTGGGGTGTGTGTATAGATGTACTAGGGTTAAGTATTAAGTTGGATGACCTTTTTGTCTTTTTACACAATAATAAAACTTACAGCTTAATGATTTAAGTATTGGGGTGAACAAAGAGAAGTGTGGGGTTAAATAGAAAATCTCATTATAAATTAGTCATGATTTATTGGACTTTCTTCCCAAGATTTTGTACTAAGAGCATCTCCAAGGGAGATGTCAAATACCAAACGTCAAATTTAAATTTGATGGCTGATGTGGCAATTTGACATCTTACACAGCTTTACACTCCCCGATATGCTAAATTAAATTATTATTTTATTACATTTTACTGTTGATTCATTTTTAATTAAAAAGAATAGAAAAGAAAAAATAATAAAATATTCATTTGACATCTTGCTTTTGGGATGTCAAAAATAACATCTCAACCTCCAGCCTTCATTCCACATCAGCTTTGACACATCGGTTGGAGTGATGTGAGATATCATTTATAGCTGTTAAATGTCTATGTGGCACGTTTGACACATCGGTTGGAGATGCTCTAAGACGCACCTTCTCATTACAAAGTGTAAATTTGAAGTATGCCCAATTGACGTCGTCTTTTGCTTAGAGTTACAATCTGCAACTTCAGAAAAATAAGGATGATTTTGAAAATTAATTTTCACTTTTAAAAAAAATGATATTTGACATAGTTATCAAACGGTCTCAAGAAAGCCTCAATTTTGTTTCAAAACACCAAATTTGGGATTACCTAACCCAAACTTAAATCAAACAGTGTCCCTAATATTCAAAATTAAATAGCATGTAACGTTCTTAAAAGTAAGAAGGGAAAAGTGGGAAAGATATTACCATGATGAAGATGGATGGTAAGAATCCTTGCCAAATAAAATAAAATAAAATAATCAACCAAGCAAATAGTTAACGACAGAGTTCAGTTTAGTGAAAAAGAGCTTTAACTTGCTAATAAGTGGTGTCAAATTCGAATCCCTATGATACCTTGATACTATGTAAAGGTGTCAAACGGATCATATTGGCCTGGCCCGTTTAGAATCGGCCCATTTAATAAATGAGTTGTGTTGGGCTCGTCCATTTATGAAAATCATTAATCACGGCCGAGCCCATATGGGATATGAGCCCACGCCTATGCATTGCATTTTTTTTTTTGTAATTCCTTTTACAACTTCATTTAAATATTTTTTACAATTATGTATATAACAATAGATTTATTATTTGTTGGAAAAATAGGCCAATAACTTTATTAAAGTACATTTAAATAGAAAATGACTAGTTTATTTGGGTTTTAAAAATTGAAACCTGAAAAAAAAAAATCATGATTTTATATATAAAGAAAGGGAGCTTATTTTCCCACTCCTCTTTTATCCACTTACACTCACTTTGTTAGAAATTATATGTTCCCACTCCTCTTTTCTCCACTTACTCTCCCTTTTTGGTTATAGTAAAAACTATTAAAAAACAAAAGGGAGTGTAAGTGGACAAAAAGGGAGTGGGAAAATCACCACCCTAAAGAAAACATTAAACATTAAATTTTAATATATATTATTAGTGAAAAGAAATAGATTTCAATTTAAGATATAAATATAATAATATTATGTATTATTTTTCTCTAAAATAAATATAATTTAATAAATGAACTTTAAATGGGCCGACTCATTGGGCTTTAGGCAAGCCCAGCTCATTACCGCATTATCTTGTCACAACCCATCCAAAGATACGGACTGTGTCGTGTCAGACCTTACTTAATCGGGCTGTGCTTAGATCGGCCTGATCTGTATGACACCACTAACAGTATGGGTGAGAAAACCCCTCCCTTCTCTACTTCCTAAGTTTGGCCAAAAAGAAGATAAAACCCAAGAAAATAGAAGTATAGAATAATCCAGTGTTGTGAAATTATTGCAAGCGCATAATCTACACAAGTAATATAGATATAAGTAGAGCGTCGTTCCCACGAAGACTGTAATTTCCTTTTAATTACCCATTATGATTAATGCAGAAGTTTATTTGAACAGTTAATTATGAAGATTGATTGATTTAATTAAACTAAAACAGTTATAAAAAAATAACAATTTAATTAACGATGGAAAAACAAGTTTGATGAGACACTTGAGCATCCGATTTCACCATAACCAATTCCACTTAATTCTTATAGCCAATTAACCCTAATTACTATCCACGTTGACAGTTGGTTTCTCCTAATTCATTCGATATCCCATCTCGGGCTCAACCAAAAGTATTCCTAGTTAACAACTCATTCTCTCTCGAGCAACGAATTTAAAAAACCAAGAACCCATTAAGTTCTATGAAAACCTACCAGAAAACTGCATGAGTCATGTTAGTCCCTCTTGGGCACTCATTCAAGTCAGGGTACTTGTTACAAGAAGCAAACACCAAATATCTCCTCTCAGTCTCCGCTTGGATCATCAATTAAATATTAGCTAGATATTTAAAACATTAAGAAAAGTAACAAATACTCAACATGGGATAATAATCAGAAATTAATAAAACTATAAAAATTAAGTGTTCATGATTAGGCTACATCGTAGCCCTAGCAAGGGAAATTAGTTCATACAGAAGAAAATATAAACAATAGAATTATTGTCATAAAACTGATTTGGCCGATGGACTTATTTTCAGAATCTCCACAAGAATATCTTCAAAAGCTCCCCAAGTAATGCAGCAACAAATTCTTGGCTCTCTCTGATATTTCTTTGGGTGTATGAAAGTTATATATGGGAAGATATGGTGGAAAAGATGATGGTCCTATTAGTTAAAGCTTTGTATTTATAGGCCAAGGGATTTCTCCAATAATAAGGAAAATGATATTTATTTAGGAAGGATTTGAGTAATAGAGAAAAAAATAGGAAAATGTAAGAAAACCCAATCCTAAAAGGAGAAAGAAATATGCGGATGTGCTTGGAAATAAAATCTCCAAGTCAAAGAAGGAAATCTCATATTGGGCTTTTAGAGAAAAATAGGAAAATAGGCTTAGGTTATTAGGTTCAGCCTCTATTAATGAAGGCCATCCATCTACTTTCAAATGTGGTGCCACTGACTCTGTGACCTTGGAATTATCAGAAGGAGGTGAAATAGATTTTGTTGGTGTTCCATTGACTCCAGGGCTATTAGGCCCCGTTTGGTTCATGGGAAAAGAGGCTTGGGAATGTGTTCACTCTGTTTCGCGGTTACTCCTGAGATGGAAGGGCAAAGTTCCCCACTGCCTTGAAAACCATTGACTGGTCAACAAGTCAGCTTTCTTTAGTGTATGAGCGTGCCACTGCTAGTAATGAAAATTCTAGCAGACTTCTTCTAGAGTAGATAACTTGCGCTCCAAGTTACTGATTTCTAAAAACAAACGATTGTGAATTTGGGTGAGGAATATCTCCCAAGTAAGTTCTTTTCATGCCTCAGACTGGTGAGGACTTTCATAATTTATCTCAGTATAAAAACAGTTGTTCTGGCCAGAATAGTTTATAGGAATTAAGCTGTTTTTAGGCAGAACTGCCCTTTACACAACTATAAACATACATATCAACGCTAGAAAGATTGAAAGAGGATTGGAACTCCATTTCTGCCTAGATAGAAGGCTCTGATCCTGGCTGGACTGGATATGCCTGGGCTGTCAACAACTTCAACTGCTAAACTTCAGTTGTAAATCGATACCAAAGTTCAATTCTGGCAGAGCTTTAATATACTTCAAGCTTTGTGAGGCTTTTGAGTGGGCAGAACTACGGCTTCTTCAGTATGAAAGGGCAGAAGTGGCTATTCTTGAGGACTCAGTGTGTTAAGGACTGCACTGTGAAATTTGTTGAGGTTTTCATATTTGGGAAAAACTCAAGCTCTGCCTGTCTTGGCATTTGCTGAACCAAATTTGTAACGAGAGATCTCGTTTTAAATGACTTATTTTCTAAGTCTGGACTTTGGGGATTCTGATATAAAGCTGGCTTCTCTTGGAGTTTGAGTGAGCTTTTTGGTTGATTTCTTGTTGTCTGTTTGATTGATGAATTGAGTGCAAGATCCTTTTGCCCTATTCATTCCCTCTGTTTTTATAAGAAATGCTTTGGAGTAGGTTTTCTTTCTCTCTCTTTTTTTAAAAAAGAATGGGCGGTAATTTCTTAAAAAGATCTTTCACTTTTCAAATGAGATAAAAAAAAGGTTTTATAAATTCTGGCAAATGGGTTCTCAATAGTCAGTTCAGAAGCAATCAATTCCCTGTTTTTCTTGCAAGAGGACCTAATCCCTTTTTAATTCCAACTGCCCCTTTGTGAGAGCTAAAAAACTGTGATGGTTAGTGTGATTCCTTTTGAACAACTCCCTGTTTCCTGCTTATCTCTTTCTGAGATTGAAGTTTGCTTATCTCTCCTTGGGAGAATCCCCTTCTCTGGAATAGAAGAAATATCTTTGAACATACATATATATATATAAGGGATTTGATCTTTTAGCTTTTTCAGAGACATCCCTTCCTAGTTTGCCAGTCACTGACCTTCTCTTATCAACTCTGTGATAGTTGTTTTGTTTGACTTTTTCAAAGTCTGAGAAGAAGACTTCACGTGGGTTCTCTTGAAAGTAGTTCCTTCAAATTGTTGTTGGGCCCCTTTTTGAGAGATGGCAATAAATTGGGCCCAGTCCAATTCTTCTATTTGATCTGTCTAGAACGTATTTGCCCATTTTGCTTTGGCATTTTTACAATCCTGCCACCCTCTGAAAAAAGACGTGGGCTAGGTTCTTTCCTGTTTTGTTAATTTTGGAGCCCAGGTCTTTTATTTCTCTTGCTCTACGGCATTTTTGAGAAGTGGGCCTGGGCGTGTTTTGCTTTTGGCCCAAACAGAATGAGAATTCAATTACTTTCCCATGTTTGGTAAGTCCAGACATGAGAAATGGTTGTCTGGCACATGAGAAAGTAGGGGGGAAAGTAAAGCCCTCCTCTTAACTTGGGTTTTGTTTTCCCTCTTCATGGGAAAGTTTGGGAAAATGAACCAACATTCAATGCACAATTTTCATGAATATTTTGTCCTTATGAACAATTTATAATTACAACGTATCATTAAATGTATTCTTTTTTTATTTGATTTAATATGGGTATAATTGGAAAATTGTACAAACTTTGTTTTCCATTTTTACTCAAAACAAAGATGGGAAAGGAAACAAAGTAAAATCTCTCGGTTACTTTCCCGACATTACCAAACATGAGAAATGAATCTTTCATTCCCATTCCTTGGGAAATGACATGGAAAATGATTTCCCCTCAAATCCATTCCGTGAACCAAACGGGGCCTTAGAGGTTTGCTTTTGGCTTGACTTAGGTGTCCATTCCTTATTAGGCTAGGAAGCTTTTTGATGACCCACGGGTTGTTGATGCCTTCATTTTAGATGCATCCACAACAATTCAACTTTTCTTCTATTAATATTCCACTAGAACTCCTTTCCTTGTGCATTCATCATTTGCCTCTTTGGGTTCGTCATCTACAAATGCCGCACCCTTTTATTAGAATTATCTTCTATACGGAAGGTCTCACTTGCGGGTGGAGAAACAAACAACAGATTCCTCTATTCTTCAATATTTGCTGGTGACGACAATCATCCCACACCATTTTGACACGACGTCAACTACATTGTGATGGTAATTAACTCAAGCTCTCTCTTTATGGAGCTGATCGCTGAGGCCAGTTGTGGATATAAATTGACACTTGTGCATTGCACTCTAGGTGTTTGATAAAATAACAAAGTGAATTCTTGAGATTTCGTTGAGTTGCTAATTCCACCCAATTTGATACTTTAAGCTTCCAAAGTTATTGTTTTAGCTCCAAACCCTTGCTAGGAATGGTTGCCTACAAAATCTTCACAAAACACATTAAACTAACCAATTTCACATGAAAACAATGCAAATAGAGATAGATTATATATGCAAAATATGAATCTATCATCAAGCAAAGGAAAGAAATGCATGAGCATGGAAACTATTTCTCATCGCTCCTTTGACCAAAATTTCCACGACTCCCAATATAATCTTCTTTCTCTCTAACTTCACTGTAGATTATCTTCAGTACATGCAACCCATTAGAATTAGGATTCTCAGTCATAAGCAAGTATATTCTTTTTAGGTTTCCTTGTTTTTTTCTAGATTCCCTTATCAAATAGGAGTTGGGAAGGAAAAGAACTAGTTGAGGCACCTATAAATACACAATGTAAGACGAGAAGGAAAAACAGACTCACAAGTGCACACACACTCAAGTTTCCTAAGGAATTGCTGTGACTTTGGAGTCTTTGTTGTTGAAGTAGGCTGGAAATGTAAAATAAGGAAGAAAGAGATTTGCCTGAATGATTTTCATTGAATTAGAGAATGTAACTTTATACAAGAGATTTCCTATAATTATGCTAAGCTATTCTAGGAATCTAAATTACAATAGAAAAAGAAATTTTTTACAGCACATAATTACATATTTGTTTCCTAATCCATTTTGTGAACATTAGGATATCATCGACCTTCTTAACACTCCCCCTCAAGTTGAAGAGTGAATGTCGAGAACTCCCAACTTGCGAATCATGGTAGAGAAAGCTTCATTTCCCAATGGTTTAGTGAACAAATCCGCAAGAGGATTTGCCGAAGTAACAAACTTGGTTACAACCGAATCATCCTGTATTTTGTCCTGAATAAAGTGGCAATATATTTCTATATGCATGGTTCTCTCATGGAAAACGGGATTGTCTGCTATATGTAAGGCTGCTTTGTTATCACAATGTAGCAATGCCCATTTCAGATGCAATGTTCGTAAATCCTTCAACAATGAATGTAACCAGGATAACTCACAGCATGTACCTATCATGGCTCTATATTCGGCTTCTCTTGAAGAGAGTGACACTGTTTTCTGCCTCTTTGTTTGCCAAGAAATAAGTGAAGATCCTAAAAAAACACAATAACCCATAGTGGATCTACGAGTCATTGGACAACCAGCCCAATTCGAATCACAAAATGCTCGCAAAGACAAATCATTTTGAGAAGAGAAAAACAAACCCTGTCCTAGAGCACCTTTCAAATAAAGCAACACACATAAGGCAGCTTCCATATGTGGTATGCGTGGTGCATGCATGAATCGGCTTAATACATGTACTAAATACATGATATCCAACCGAGTAATAGTTAAATAAATTAGGCATCCCACAAGTCGCCTATATTGAGATGGATCTCTAAGCACCTACATGTGATAGCTTTATGTTTTGCTCCATGTGAAAGTTCACAGGTTTAGCACCCAAAATTCCAACATCCTTTAGAATTTCCAAAGTGTATTTCCATTGTGAGATAGAAATACCTCTCTTTGAAGAGTGACTTCAATGCCTAGAAAATATTTCAAATCACCCAAATTTTAATTCGGAAACGACTACACAAATATTGCTTAAGAGTAGATATAGCCTTGAGATCATTACTCGTAATAAGAATATTGTCAACATATATCAACATGGCGGTAAAGGACTTTCCACTCCAACATGTGAACAACGAGTAATTTGCTTTGGACTGAACATATCCGGTAGCTTGAATAGTTGTAGAGAACTTGGCAAACCATTTATGAGAAGCTTGCTTTAAACCATACAACGACTTGTAGGTGACACACCAAGTTCTCCCTCTATGGCTAAAGACCAGGAGGTGGAGACATATAAATTTCTTCATGGATATCACCATGAAGGAAAGCGTTGTTTACATCTAGCTGGTGAAGGGACCAATCTTGAGCAACTGCCAGAGCCAATAATCCAGCGAAGTGGTTTTCGATTTGTCTAATTTTTTGTAAGGATGACCTATGAATGTAGACTTAAAAAATGGATGGTTTGGATCATTGAAAAAAAATTCGCATGGGACCCTAAAAAGTGTCCTTTCATTTGAGGGATCCTTCAATAAAAGGGGATTGTATATTATATTATATAATTATTGATTATATTACATTATAATCATACATAGCTACATTATATTAGGTATTAATTAAAACTATACCATTCTAGGCCAGTCCTCGATCAGAAATTTTTAAAGTTCAAGGATCATGTACTTGCCCTTGATTTTTCCTAGAAATCTCCCTTATTAGGCTCTGGGACTTGATGAGGACCCGACCTGATTTTTAAAACACTATGAACTAGGGCTAGGAACGGTTTGGTCGGGTATGAGACAATAGGTGGTGGGGTTATGGTTTTGTGATATCAGATCATATCGGTATGAAAAAAATACCATTTTTGGTTCCAAACAGAGAGAGCAATCAGGATGAGCAAGCTTCATTGATTTGGGGCTTTCCAAATAGAGAGAAAGTTCGATAGTTCGTCAATTTAGGGCTTCAAAGACAGAGAAATATCAAGAGATCAACAATTCGTTGATTTATGGCTTCAGAGAGAGAGAGAGAGAGAGAGAGAGAGAGAGAGAGAGAGATAAAGTTGAAAGTTTAAGGCTTTGACATTGATTGAATCAAGAGTGAGACAGAGATCGAGAGATTGAGAGAGTGAGACAGTGTCAGAGATAGAGATCCAGATGAGGAGAAGGGTTTGGTTTGTGCTGGTTCGATCAATCGAGGGCAATTGAGAGAGAGAGAGAGAGAGAGAGAGAGAGAGAGAGGAGTGGGAGGAGAGAGAGAGAGAGAGAGAGAGAAAGTTTGTCTGGGTGTGAGAGATCGAGTCGAGCGTGCGAGAGTGAAAAATTTGCGTAATGTTTGTGTTTTTGTTACTATTTGGTATGGTATGATGGCATACGATGTGTAATATATGGTACCGCTCGCGTATCATAGATGGGTGATACGGTACGGTATTGATACCGTATTAAGCCCAATGGCCAAATAAAGCAGTATGAAACGGTACAGTTTGACACGAAATTGGTACGGTTTCAATAAATACGGTACAGATTCCCAGCCCTATGACAACTGGGCTGACTGGTCTAATTTATTTATTTATTTTGTTTTGCAGATGGCAGCATTTTATTGGTAACTTCCACGGGTCCTATACTAGAACCGTGAGCACCAAATTTCTCCCCAGTAATAAGTAATTTCCAACTTCTCGTTCGACCTAAACCCTCTTCTTCCTCGACCAAAAGAGAAACCCTCTTCTTCTTCTGCTCCGCCACCGACGTCTTCATCTGCTCCGCCACCGACGTCTTCATCTGCTTCGCTCGGCTACTGTGGAGGTAAATCATGGATCCGCAGCCAGAGCCAGTCTACTACATCTGTGGAGGTACTGATTTTGCGTTTGTTGTTGGAGAAAGTTGGCGGGCTAGGAAATAGTGAAGGATTTCTGATACTAAATCAGTGTTTGTGTTTGCTGTAGATTGTGGGATGGAGATTCCCTTGAAGCCAAACGATGTGATTCAGTGCCGCGAATGCGGTTACCGGATCTTATACAAGAAACGCACTCGTCGCAGTAAGTCGCCTATCCTCATTCTGAAGATGTTATATTACCTTACCACCATGTATCCTTTATTGGGATTCTTAAATCAACTTTTTTTTTCTTTTTTTTTTCCTCAATGAAATTAACTTGTATATGTTTGAATTTTGAATTGTTGCAAGCAATTTTTCTTTTTTCATTTTTTTTTTCACTTTTTTTTGTTGGAAAAGGTGCATATTCAACTCATCAGTTGCTTGCTATTGAAAAGTACATAATTTGGTGATTGGAATGGTATTGTGAGTTGAATTTTTAAAAGCCTGCTTAAAAACACTGTGTGTTCGTCTGGTTGCCACCCTTTTAGTTTAAGATGTGGATATGCTTTACATTTCACGCGTTCATGTTTAGTAATTAGCAGCTGTTATCTGTGCAGCACTAAGAAAAAGTTATTACTTTCAACAGAGCCTATCACTTGTAAGTAAAGTTATGGGCTCTGTAGAAAGTAGTTATGTTGATGCCAAATGGTGATACTGGTGAGAGTGAAATGAACTTTTAGTTAGTTTTTGGGGGTTCTGGCTTTGACGATATTGTTTTTTAGTGCATATAACAGATTGTGATTAGTCTACACCACGAAGCACAATGTTGGTACTGAATTAATTAGTGGGATTACTAGAGCAAAGTCAATTAAAGCGTTGCACCCAATTATGCGCTTTTAATTGAGTTTGGTCTCGAATTGCTACTAATTAAGGTCAGTGATTAGTTTAGCAATATTGGTGCATCTTGGTGTAGGCTAATCGCAATCTGTTGTGCAAATAAAACAATAGGCGCATATGTCTTTGGTTCCCTGCTCGTTGTTCTTCTTCCTAGAGGGTTAAACTGATTGATTAAAGGCAATTGTTTGGTGTGCCATTTTGTTCATGTAAAGCATTAAATTATGCTAGCCGTATAGTAATGTGCTATATATAGACTCATTTCTTTTCTCGTCTGTCATAATGGCATCACCGTGTTAGACTACAGAAGTTATATTAATATGGTCATCTTTGGAAATACACAAAAAGGACATACATACACGAACACACAAGTTGTATTGCTATCATATTTTTTCTTCTATTGTATTGTACTGTCCTTCATGTAGCACTGTGGAATCCCTTTCGGTTAGCATTTTGATGGTGTTGTGAGTCCAATTTCCAGTACAAGTGTTGGTCTTGTGTTTCTTTGCTGATTATGTCAATCACTCTATCATATTCTATATAACATTATTCAATGCTTGATTTGTACGAGTCATTGTTGTTTTTGCAGTTGTTCAGTATGAGGCACGCTGAAGAAGGACAAAGAGGAGAAGCAAGCTTCTTAGAGAGTTTCAAGGGGATTGTGTAATTTTATGTACTTCCAGTTTTCTGAAAGATACTTGGATTCCAAATGAACTGAAAATTTCCAAATGAACTGAAATTGCTTATGTTGGTTGATGGCCAATGTTTTGTAATATTTTGTGAACAGAACGCCTTCACTTTCTATTGCGGTTTCTAGTTTCTGGTTGTTGGCCAATATATTGTGAACTGAATTTGCATATTGTGTTATAACTGTTACACGCCTTGATTTGTTATGCAACCTTTGTACTTCTTCAAAGCAGCCACCTACCTCCTTCAATTACATTCACTCTGTCAGATCGACTTCCTCTATCTGGTTTGTCCATCATCAAGTTATGAGTGTCAATTTCATCATCCCTTATAAATCCAGCACAATGAAGTGTTCCCTAAACAAAAACCAAACTCAATAGCCCACTGGTACATTCCAAAACAACATAATAAAATTGATACAATACGGTCGCAAGATCCGTCTTACTTGCATGTATTGCATTTTCCAAAAACGTATACCACGACTCCTATCTGTCTAAAAACGTCTACCACGAATCATGTGTGTTCATTTGGTGGACACCTAAAATGTTCATTGGTAATAAAAATTTAGGGACATTTTGAAAAAGGTCAAAAGCAAGATAAGTATTTTAAAAGAAGCCAAAATTTGTATTTGGACAGTAATGCCCTTATTTATTTTTGAATTTTCTAAGGAATTCATTTTCTGCTTTTCCTATAGTGCCAAGACAATCTTTGCTTTAGGCTTGCCGTATGGAGCCAAAAAGTTGGATTTTCTTGCTTTGATGGTCTTCAGATTAATGTTGCATCTTTTTGCTAAGATGATCTATTCATGTGAGATGATGATGCTTTTGGCTTCGCATGAAGTTTATGCTTCCAACATGTTATCTATATTGTGTAGCTCTTCTTCTCATAAGCTATTCTAGTATGAGTTGTCATTGTCTTCTGCTTCAATTTGTTCTGCTATCTGGTTATAGATTTCATAAAAAAACTTTTGCTCATGTCGTGCTTATCTTGATTTCAAATGTGTCATCTGCTCTCCTGGATGTAGTTTCTGAATAAATTTTGATAAAGTTGGATTGGTTAAGGAGGTTCAAACGGTCATCATTGAACAATTGTTGCTCAGCTATTATTGCTCCTTTGTATTTTTGAATGTCCTACTTGGTAGAGATCTCTGTTTTTATAGTTTCTACTGGACTAAGCAGTATGAGAAATAATAATACTATTTTGTGCTCTATCTGGATAAATACTATCCTTAAACCATTCTAGGGGTATGCTAGTAAAATCTAATTTTACGCTCTTTCATAAAGGAATATAAAAACTTATAACTTCTTTTAATTTGGAGGAAAATGAATCTAAATATTCCTCTTATATGATCAATTACAAAATCATTTGGACTGGACGACGAGACTCTTGGAGGTCTGGCTTATCTTCATGAACATGCAAACCCTTCCATTGTACACTGGAACATTCAAGTTAAAGGGTCAGTATAGAAAACTTCCTACCATCGTAAAGAAAAATTAATTCATTTTTTTTTATAATTAAGGGTAATAATAGTGTTAAATGATTCAACCTCAATATATATATAATATATATATATATATATATATATTTTCAACAAAACCATGACTTTTTCAGTGAAACAATACGAACCTAATTATTGTGACACTTTGACCTATTCCTGAGTAATGGGACCAGTCCTTTGATAACTCCAGAGTAAAATAAATCCTCCTGATATAAAATAACTTTGGTTTCCGGAGCTCCAACAAGGCTCTTGATCTCAAAAACTTCAACAACAACATTTAAAAAGAGAAAAAACCAAAGAACCTGAATTTTCTATATTCCGTGTAGAAACATACATAAATTTAATCTAATTTCAACCCAATGAAGAAAAAGATTAATTGATTGTAAACTTGGTACATGTACATGACTTAATTGGTCAATCTATGATGACCATATTAGCTTCACTACTTGCAGTAGTAGTGTTCTCCATTCCCATTCCCATAAACTGTGCTGTGGAAGATTGTTGCGGACCATCATTATCATCATCACAGTCGATCAAGTGGATTAGTAAATCATAATCAATCGAGAAGTCGAAGGCATTGACTTGGTCTTCTTCACTGCCAAATGGACTAGGCCAATATCCAATATTATTGTCAGTGAGGACCAGGCCTTGTTGAGTCTCATGAACATCTGACGCCCTCTCTTGGTTACAAACTGCGTACGATCCCAAGGCTTGTTCCGTGAACGGTTGTGCGGTGTCCGAATGTGAGAAATCGCTCATTAGGGCATCGCCATCACCGCCACCATGAAATTGGCTGACGTCATCAGTATAGTTTGCCCTAGCTTGGGAAGAGACCACAGTTATTGGGTATGCAAAAGAGCTGTCCGGCTGAGATTGAGTGAGTCCAGTTGGCAAGTATGAAACACTCCCAGCAACTTCAGTAGCCTCAGACATGGGAGTGCAATCACCAATAAGTTCCTCAAAGCTAGTCACTTGTTGCGGCCTCTGCCTCTTATTTTGAGACTGTACGGGAGTGTCAGTTTCATTATCCTCTTCTGCAGCTCTCAACTTTCTCTTCCCCCTGTCATTCCTTCGAATCCGGCATAGCACAAACTGATTGGTTGAGTTTGGTTTGGGCTTCACCAATGAAGGGTGAAGGCTGTACTCGTGCATAATCCAGCAACCGTCTTGAACAGATTTAGGGTTTTCATAATGAAACCTTTTCCATATACCTAAAACGTTCTCCTTATTCTCCGGATCAGTGACTGTGGTCCCTGAGTTCTCACCTTTCCATGTCCCGGACCCTATCGTGCGAGCCGCGCGGGAGTCCTTATCACTCAGGCTCTTCAATTTGGTGAAGAAATAAAGGTCTTCACCTTTGGCTAAGTTGTGTCCACCATATTCATGCCATATATCCCATGGCTCTATCTTACCATAAAGATCCATTTCTGGAATAACATTGTCATACATAAAGGATGTGCCACGAACCTTGTTAAGAAGATAATATCCCAATAACTGATCATCTCTTGGACGAAATTTAAAACCAACTGGGAGATTAACAGCAGACTCACAAGGTGCCATATATAAGCTATGTAGCAGGTTCCTCTTCGACTTTTGTGGAGAAGAGAAGATTAAAGATGATCTTGGTTTCTTGGAATGGAAAGAAAATGAGTATGTAGGCTGGTTGGCAGAGAGAGGGTGTTGGGGTGATTCTGTAATGAGTTTCTTGGAGTTTTGTGAGAGTCATCTTCCTTCCATTCCTATATATATAGGAGTATTAGGGCAACTGGAAGCTAAATCTTATACGGGGAGGATTTGTGTTGTCATATCTCCAAGTTTTATGGGGAGGATATGCATCGTAAAATATATGGGGAGGATAAATACTGAAAAAAATTAATATAAAAATATTTGAGCCCCGACAATCGTGCAAATAAATACAAAGAGCTCTTCCCATAATCTCACATTGAACGTGGGCTAATAATTTAAGGACACAAATAAACCCTCGGTCGACCAACCATTTTATTGCTTTCTCCTTCTTGTGATATTTGTTTAGGCTTCCCCTTTGCCCTTACTTTATCGAAGAAGAGTTATTTTAATGCCTTTTTATTTTTCATGTCCGGACTTATCAAACATAGAAAAACAACTGATTTTTCATTTCGAAGTCTCCTTTTTTATGAACCATTATTTACTTGATATTGCAATATCAAGCGTCATCTATATCCCTTTGGTTTCTCTGTGTTTTGTTGTTCCTTTCCCAAATAGGATAAGTCTTGGTATCTCAAGATATTTTCATAGATAACGAACTACAAGAATATTTGTGTTTTGTCGCAAAAATATTAAATATTCGAAGTTTTTCTTCTTGGATTAGATTTCTCTGCATTAGCCCTACTTCTCGACAGATCATGCTCATGATTGTTTCTGCTCTATTTCAGTCTTATCTTGTAATAACAATATATTGGGATTAAATTGTAACAACTGCACAAGCTTACTTGTGCACCAAGCAGCAAGTAGAAACTTGGCACGCATGGCTCTTCCAATGTCATAAGGAATTTTTAATCGTGTTTTTCCTTCAAACAGTAAAAGTTTCAAGTAGTTTCCTTTCTTCTTCTTCTTCCACTTCAAACAGAAAGGAAAAGAAGAGGTGTTGAAATAACAATATTATTTTTCTTCTAACTATGTATGAAGATCTATTGAAGGGAAGAGACTCTTAGCTAGTTGTATCATGTTTGTTCTGCTACTATAAATTCTAATAATTCGCAACTCCTACACTGTTGTTGCACATATATGAATTATGAAAAAGTTATCCCATCCAATATGCTTTGTTTTTTTTTAATAGAAAAAAGAAAAGAAAAAGAAAAGTATCTGTTATGCTTGTTATGTTCTCTTTATTTTGTCAAAATTTCTTGAGTTTGGCTATTGACAAAAAACATAGCACTTGCACAGTGCCGCCCTGAGGGTGGGCAAGGAGGGCGATGGCCATGGTCCTTGCATTTGTAGGGCTCCAAATTATATATATATTATATATGTATCAAGTTGATGAAGAATATGATTTTAGAGGAGAATAACTTCAATAGTTTGGCATTTGAAGGCTCTAAATCTGATTACAAGTGTTTCTAAAGAGTCCAAATGAAAATTATGTAATAGATGAACATCAATTGCATGTATTTAAGTATTTAATTTCCAAAAAGCATTTCATTGCTAAAAGTAGCAATCAATGAAAGAAAGCCAATAGGGACTAGAAATTCTTTTATTTATCCAAAAATTCTTGTTAGTAGATTATTTAGCGAGGAAATATGAAAGAGTGCAAATTATTTGTATCCTCATTCTTGTTTATTTTCAAATTGGGGCAGCGATTATATGGCCAATATTGGAGCCGTGTTTATTTATCCAAATTGTAGTTAATTGCATAATTTTTTTTCCATGTTAGTTTATTATATTCAAGAGAATGAAAGAGAAATGAGCCTCATTTTCATTTCTAGCCTAGGGCCACCCAAAAGTCAGGGCCGACCCTATCTCTAGAGTAAATACAGTGGTCTGCATGTAGGAAAGAATATGAGATTGCTTCCTTAATATCTGTTGATGGCAGAATTATAGGAGATGACCTCGTGGTGTTCTTTTTATTCGGGGCATTTCTCTCTTCAGATAGCAATATAAAAAATTAGTGTTGCTGGAGAGAGAGAAAGGAAAAAAAAAGCCAACTAGCCACAAAAGAGAAGGAGAAAAAAATCACTAGATGACAAGAGAAAGAAGAAAACTGGCAGAGAGAAAGAAGAAAAAAAGAAAGAGAGAAGAGAGAAGGAAAGGAAAGAAAAAATAATAATAATGAAAGAAAAAGGAGAGAGGAGAGATAGAAGAGTGAACTCAGGATGAGAATCGCACGATCAAAAATTCAATTTTATAACGAATCCACATTATTGGACTTCGCAACGGAGAAACGCCCTTAGATAAATGGGCTAAGCACACAAGTTGGGCTCAAATTATTAATACATATACTTCAAAAATACACATCTTTACAAAATAGGGCCTCACTATAGAATTCTTGGGGGCGAAGCTCCCCATCAAGACTGAGATTTGTAAGGAAAATGATTATCTTATTACTATTCAGCCCATAACTATTTTTGATAAATGGGCTAAGCACACCAGTTGGACTCTCTGGGAGTCACCCATCAAACCTTTAATAAACACTGTATCAGATCAGTTCTTCCAGTTTCCCGCCATTGCAATTTCCCCACCATTTTTTGTCTCTAGAAAACCGGCCCTAAATAAATTTTTAATTATTAATTTTTTCAGGTAAAAGACCATTTTGCTCATGGAATATTTTATTAGCATCAAAGTTGATTTTTTAATTGGGAAGGAATTTGGAAATATCAATTGGACCGCTGCGTAGAGCACATCGAGATGAGTCCGTAAATACGTAGTGGACTCAAATCCGAGTTGTAATGAGAGATATACGATTAAAATTCAAGTAGGGGCAAAATCGTAATGTTTCGAAATTGGTTTTTAAAAACCAGATTTTTCCCTCTCTCTGTGCGCGCTCTCTCTCCTCACTCTCGACTCCGATCTCTCTCTCTTCGATTCTCTCTACTCAGGTCACGGCAAGGGCCGGCGCTGGTCTTGTTCGAACCGGCTCGACCTCACCGTCCAAACCCACCAGTTTTCCCGGCCGGAAAAATCGAATCCTGCCGGCGGTGACGACTGGTTTTCTCCGGTTTTTCCCGGCATCGCCACCGCATTTCCGGCGAGCTTCTCCGTCGAACCAGGTATGGTTTCTCACCTATTCTTCAAGCTCTAGCTGCCTGTTGGGTAGGATTGGATCGATTTTTGCGTTTAGGGTTCCGTTGTGAAACCTAGGTTTTGGCCGGTTTCTCTACTCTTCTCTTCTGTAATTACGTTACCATTCTCTCTGCACGCTTGGAGCAATGATGGCAGAGACTCCCAAGAGAGGCCTGCAATCCCCTAAGAAATCCAAGCGTTTCAACGCCAAACCCTCGCCTTCTCTCACTCCTCCAACTCCACAAACCCTGACCACTCCTCGCCGGTCGGCGCGCCGAGCCTTGCTACACTCCGATTCCACCGCCCCTCAGAAACTCTTCGAAGAGTCGACGAAGAAAACCTTGAGAAAAGATGCAACGGCTGGAACATTGAACTCCCAGCAAAATGATTCGCCCAAAACACGAAGAAAGGGGGAAATTCCAAAAACCCCAAAATCTGCTGGGAAGGGCAAGAAATCGAAGCGTAAAGAGGAGGGAAATTTGACTGAGGTTGAAGTTGCATTCTTTCCAGAGACGCCAGGGCAATCTGAGGCTAAGAAGAGGAAGAGGGACGAGGAGAGCAAGGTAGTTACACGCTCGAGGGCCTCAAAAAATGTCAACTTTGAAAAGAACAAGGCAGTATCAAGGAGACGGGTTTATTATAAGAAGGTTGTGTATGATGGGGGTGAATTTGAGGTCGGGGATAATGTTTATGTGAGGAGGAGAGAGGATGCAAGCTCGGATGACGAATTGGTTGAAGTGGATGAATGTAGGGTGTGCTTTAAGTCTGGGAAAGCTGTAATGATCGAGTGTGATGATTGTTTAGGTGGGTTTCATTTAAAATGCTTGAAACCTCCATTGAAGGAGGTTCCTGAAGGAGATTGGATATGTGGGTTTTGTGATGCTCGCAAATTGGGAAGGGAAGTCAAGCTTCCGACACCACCAGAAGGGAAGAAAAGGGTTAGAACATTGAGGGAGAAGCTTCTCTCGAGTGATTTATGGGCTGCCCACATTGAAAGGTAGATGTTTAATTTGGTTTAATTTTGTAAATGGTGTAAGTGTGCTGTTATTTTGGTTGTAATGTACATGGCCTTGGTTTGTGCTTTTGAATTTGTGCAGTATATGGAAAGAAGTAGATGGTATCTATTGGTGTCGGGTACGTTGGTATATAATCCCGGAAGAGACTGTGGCTGGAAGACAACCTCATAATTTGAGGCGAGAAATTTATCGCACAAATGATTTTGCTGACATTGAGGTGATAGATGACATCTAATCTTGATTATTTGTCTATTAGAAGAATAAATGGTAATATAGCTGTGGTTGCTTTATCCCATAGAAATGTTCCCTTTCTGTTTGAATAAATTTGTTCACGACAGGACCTTGTTGTTTTTCCGCATGAAAGAAATCAGAATCACATGAAGAAATAGCTAGACATCCTACTTGTTTTATTCAATTGTTCGTTTTGTATTTTCTAGTAAAGGATCCTTGCAATTCTTCTAAAAAAATGTAGTGAACCCTTGCAATTGTTAATTGGAGCAACCAAGCCAAAAACATTCATGGCATATTTTTAGCATAAGGGTAAAAAAAGAAGCAAAATGAAGTTAACAAAAACATATTTAGCCAACCCCAATAACTTAGGATTAATTCTTAGTTCCGAAGGAGTTGAGTTATAAGTTGAATGATGCAGCATTGGTCCTTCGCATTTGGATACTTTTTGTGCCTTTTAACATTGTTCTAATTTCAAGGAATAACACCCCGTAGGGAATGCTTGTTGTGATTTTACAAATAAATATATACTTCCTCTTACACCAAAATTGCTTGTCATGAATTTACCATTTTCTGGCCATATTTCCAGCAAAATAAGTGAAGTTATTCACCTTAAGTTCATGTGATTGCTGCCAATCATTTCAAGCATTCAATGTGAGGACTCTATAAACCATTTGGCCTTTAACTAGGGTTTTTCAGTCTAACAAACTCTGTTTCAGAATCCATGATTCGTGCTTTGCTAAAAACAAGGCAAAAAGAAAATGAAAGAAACAAGGAAAAGAAAAACTGGTAGTCTCTTTAGGGAAAATTGCGTTAAATGTAATCCAGTCTGTAAGGGATTATTTTTTCTATTCTCCACCCTTTGTTTTCTTTTGTTTGAAGTGATCCTCTTATTCTGTATGACTTTAGGTTCAGTTTTGACTTTGGATGTGGTTGAGGATTTTCAGAAAATTTTAGCTTTAAGCTAATATGGTCCTTTTTATATACCTAGTCACTAATGTAGTTAAATACTTTTCAACTCTTGTTCTGCTGCTTAATATTCTCTCAGTTTTGGATCAGATATTATGGTGAAAAGAAGTATGTCTTGCCATCCTTCAGTTCATAACTGTAATATTTCATATATTTACAGATGGAGTCTATTCTTCGACATTGTTTTGTCATGAATCCCAAAGAATATTCCAAAGCGAATGAAGGGGATGATGTTTATTTGTGTGAATATGAATATGATATTCATTGGCACAGTTTCAAGCGTCTTGCTGAAATTGATAATGGTGAAGAGGTAAGTGTTTCAGGAAATGAGACTCAGCATTTGAAAATTCTTCAAAAATTTCAAATGGATTAAATTGAGTTGAATTTATGGGGTTTTAACTATTTGGTAGGATGATGATGGAGCTGAAAGCGATGAAGATTGGAAACATAGCAAAGACCCAGACTCTGATACAGAAGAAGAAATGGACTATGATGAGGAGAGCAAAAAAAATATACTAGCCAAACCATCTAGAGGTCATGAGTTTGCTGCAGTATGGACACTATCTTCTAATTCTATCTCGTACTTGTGGCTTTAGTTTGTTTACTTCCCCAAATTGAACTAGTCAATTCTGTATCTACAGAATTCACAGAAGGGGCGGTTCTTTGGACTTCAGAAGATAGGAGTTAAGAAAATCCCAGAGCATGTAAGATGCCACAAGCAGACTGATCTTGAAAGAGCAAAGGCAGCACTTCTGTTGGCATCATTGCCTAAGTCTTTACCTTGCAGGGATAAGTATGTGAGAATCAGTTCATTAAAGGTTTTCTTGATCTGCGTTACTTTAACATTGTAATCATGGAGACCTGCTTGTGTGCAGAGAAATGTTGGAGATAACTGCATTTATCAAAGATGCCATCTCTGATGATAAATGTCTGGGACGTTGCCTGTACATTCATGGTGTTCCTGGAACTGGCAAGGTACGGTCTGTGGTTGTGTTTATAAATAGGTAGCTACATTGTTTCAGATAGGCTGTAAATTTAATTTATGTACTTTTCATGGATAAAATGAGTTTTATTTATTCCTTTTGTAATATCTGTGTAACTGCAGACAATGAGTGTACTAGCAGTAATGAGGAATCTAAGAACTGAAGTTGATGCAGGAAGTATAAGACCCTACTCTTTTGTGGAGATAAATGGTCTAAAGTTGGCATCACCAGAGAATATATATAGGGTAAACACATATTTATATTTGATGTTCTATGCTTATCATGATGGCATGCATTGCTGCCTTGTAACACACGTGTTTGCACAGGTTATATATGAAGCATTAAGTGGGCACAGAGTTAGTTGGAAGAAGGCTCTCCACTTGCTAAATGAACGATTTTCTGAAGGAAAGAAAATTGGCAAAGAGGATGACAAGCCTTGCATTCTTCTCATTGATGAACTTGATCTTCTTCTGACCAGAAACCAGTCGGTAACCATTTTTCCTTATATCAGTTGGTAGCTTCTGCATTTTATGATGTGACTATTTTTATTTATAACTATTCCAGTTTTGCGTTATATATAATTAGTTGTTACTACCCATGATCTTGAAATAGTCAAAATTACATACTTGTAGTGCTTTTTTGGTTTCAGGTTCTATACAACATTCTTGACTGGCCTACTAAACCACACTCAAAGTTAGTTGTAATAGGTATGCTTTTATTTATTTTCAGTAGGCATCCTCGTCAAATGATTTTTGTGTTCTTTTATCTCATAACGAAATAGAAAAAACAATGATGATGACTATGAGATTGTTAATGATTGCATCATTAACTGTTTGTAATGAAATACATGTTCAGGCATAGCAAATACCATGGATCTTCCTGAGAAGTTGCTTCCTCGTATTTCAAGTCGTATGGGAATCGAAAGGCTTTGCTTTGGCCCCTATAATTACCAACAGCTTCAAGAGATAGTTTCTAGTCGTCTTAAAGGAATTAATGCCTTTAAGGAACAAGCTATAGAATATGCTTCAAGAAAGGTTAGCTTCATGTTAACTGTTTCATCATAAAATTGATTTTCTTTTGTCTTTTTTCTAGTAGTTATTAGTTGGCCATAGTGGATGAGCGCATTGGAAACTCCATCTCTGATAGTATTGGAACATATATTCAGGTAGCAGCTATTTCAGGAGATGCCCGTCGTGCATTGGAAATATGCAGGCGTGCAGCAGAAATCACAGATTATCGACTTAAGAAGCTAATTTCAAATTCTAATAATGCTTCTGAAGGTATAGACTTCAAACACAACCCCTTTAAAGTTGGAAACTTGATTTGAATGATCCTTATTTTGTTAATATTTTGGTAATCTGTCCTATTCTCCTTCCACTTCATTGAAACTGTATCACTGTAAGTTTCAATTGCTGGAATTATCTAGTAGACAGAAATATTTTTGTTTGGTTTTATTTCTGTCAATGGTCATGCACCTGTGGGAAAGATGTTTTCTGTTAGTCATATTTCACACTTTTGAGCTATTTCTTACGATTGATTGCTGTAATTTAGTTCAGATTAATGACTAATCTTGGCTTCTAGTTTCCACTGACCACATCAACAGAACATAGAGTATATAAGTTAACCTTCCATGAACATCACTTGATATTGTGGTTTGAATAATTTGGTTTTATAAATATACAAGCTCCTTCTCAAGGGAATTCTGACATGGCTCCATATTGGGAGTTACTCAGAATATTGACACTTCGTTCTGATGTGGAGCCAACTTGCCCAGTTGCATCTTTATTTAACATCATGGTGTAGACTATTGATGCATTATTTTGATTTGTTATTTAACATAATATTGATTCTAGTTTGTAACTTTTGTTTTTTTGCTTTTGTTTTCAGTTTTATGGTAGTGAAACATTTTACATTTTAGGATTACTTGAAAAATCCAGAATGCGTTCTGTCAAAGCAAGCTTTAAACTATACTTCGTAGAGAAATGTTCTCTTGCCAGACAATCTGGCAACGTAAAATGCTTATGTTGCAAGACTCTGAATTTAGGCCATTAATTAGGTTGGTTCTTGTCTGAGTGTGTTATCCAAATTCACAATCTAGCAACTTGAGCATCATTAGAGCAGTTTAGAATATCACTTTTGTCAGAAAAAGAAAAACATGGCCTTTCATTGGCAAAGAAACAACTGGTCCCATAATGAGAGTTTGTGTCATGGAAGATCTGGTTTAAATACCAAATAATACAAGTTTTGTTTTTTGTTCTGTTTTTGGTATTGGTTTTGTTTCATTTTCTTTTATTTGAAAAAAATGAAAATTAAGCAGCCTTTAAACCAGTATTCTTTTTTGGTCAACCAAGGAATTAGAATTGTCAACTTCTCTTCTTTCCTGTATCCTGAAGTTTCAAAAGGAATACTCTGTTACTACATTGGTATTATTAAGCACCAACATCTCAGTTAGCTTAAACTCTATGTGCTTGCTTTGTTTAGAAGCGTTATTATCTTGCTTTGAAGCTTTAATTCTTGTCACTTACAGGATTTATATGTACCCACTTTGCAGGAAAATCACTTGTTGGAATGGCAGAGGTTGAAGCAGCCATACAAGAAATGTTCCAGACACCTCATATTCAAGTGAGTCAGATTATATCTTACAGTCATGATAAAAAATGATTTCTGCTGGTGAAACATATTTTATTTAAATGGTATTTTACATCTTAGAAGAGGTAATCAATACTCTTGAGTGAGGCATATGATGCAGTGATTACTACATTAATATGCATTCCTAATATGTGAAATACATGAGATCCAGATAGCTACGTAGTTTTATGGTCAAGTAACAAAGATGAAAATGGTGTCGGAGTTTGCTGAATCTTACAAGTGCCATTCTTAAAAGGAGTAGCATGGGAAAAAATGGCTTTCAGGACCCAGATTATCTGATGCTGGTTTAAAGTAGTGAATTTCTGCACAAGTAGCATTCAACTCCATACAACTTTAGCTGCATAAATTGTAATTTGGTTGAAAGGAAGTTTTGTTTATCTATGTGTGTAACAAAAAAAAGAACAAAATAAAAAAACTCTACCTTCTTCAGAGATATATTAATGCTAATTCTTTTTTTGTTTTTTCCTGGCAGGTGATGAAAACTTCTTCCAGGATGAGTAAAATATTTTTGACTGCCATGGTGTATGAACTCTACAAAACAGGAATGGGGGAAACTACATTCGAAAAGGTGAACTTCTCAAGCTTTTTTCTGAACAATGTGTGCATTTACTTTTTTTGTATCGTACATTCAGAGTAACTTCGGTTTAAATAATAGTATTTCACACTGGAGGTGATTATTTTTGGGCCGCAGGCTTGCATTGAAATACTGACTAAAAGAATACTTATTGTTCTTCACTGCTATACTGCATCTCAACTACAAACCAGATTATTTTTATTTTGGTTCACCAGTTTCTTTGATGCCTTCACTGTATCTAGTGCTGGAATTTTAAGATTAATTGATATGTATTAGTGCTTTCATTGAAGTTATGTTTTTCCTTGCAGTTGGCAATGACAGTCTCATGCCTCTGTACAAGCAACGGAGAAGCATTTCCCGGACATGATATGCTATTAAAATTGGGTAAGACGTGCGTTGATACTAATAACTTGCTATATACATGTGTAGAAACATAGTCTATTGATCTCCTCTGGTCCTTATTGTCTTGTCAAATGGGAGTGTTATGAACCTGAAGAGCGGCACTAGTTTTGGCTTTGACTAAGAAAATGTTGAGTATTAAATAAAATGACTGCTTTCATTTCTTTTGTACTTTGCACATACTATTTTAGGTGATGGTCCCTCTCTATTTTAAGTTTTCTTTGACGCAGATGTCAGGTTGCATTTTTAAATGGCTTATGATGTCCATTTTCGAGTGCTGTTATTTGTGTCTGCAATTGCCTTTCTGGAGAATAGTTAGTGAGAACAATTAGAGGTTAATTTCTGGAGTTGATACTAACTTTATATAAGCATGGATTATTTAATATCTGAATTGTACATTTTTGGCAGTTGTAAGCTTGGGGAGTGCAGAATTGTTTTATGTGAATCGGGAGCAAAGCACAGGTTGCAGAAGCTGCAGCTCAATTTTCCGAGGTTAGTTTTCTGTCCAGCTCTTGACATCATCCCTCTCCCAAAACTTGTGATATCTATTAGAATTCTGTTTAATCCAGCTACTTTGAACTTTGGCTTTGATGGTTCACCCTTTCATGCAACTGCATTACCATCAGAAGAAAACCTTGGACTATTCTGTGACCTCATATGATTTTATGTCTGTCTTTCAGCGACGATGTCTCATTTGCACTCAAGGACAGCAAGGAGCTACCTTGGTTGGCCAAGTATCTATGATTCTTATAGATTCAATCATTTTCGATTCTTCTTTCAAAAGAACAGTTTTGACCCTCATTCTTCATTTGTTTCAATTGCTACCTTCTCGTCATAAATTTATGTCACTTCCAATTGAGATACCAACATCTTTATTTTCTTCCTAATAAATTATTGTATCACATTTGAGACAGAAATTTTAGCAGAACACACTTTAAGCATCTTTATTTATTTTGGTGAAACATATAACTGATGGTATGAGATTAGCATAATATGAAATAAACCAATTAAAATCTAAACTTATCTAATTAAAATGAAGTCTTGAAAGTTGAAACCGCGCGCGCGAGCAACCTGGTAAACTGTCAATTGCAGAAAAGACTAGTTCCTTCCAAGCATTGAATTGCCATTATGCTATGATCCCTGCTAGAGTGGAATAAAAATTAGACTTAATTAAATTCCAATTAAAACAATAAAACTAAATAACATCTAACCCTGTTAATAATAAAGCGAATGTGGGTGAGATGTGTTTCCGAAGTGAGGGAAACATACCACCACCGGCGGTGTGTACATGTACATATGTTCCTTGGGGACCCGAACGAAGGCCTGAATACCATGTTTAGCAGTGATCCCGAATATACATAAAGATTTGTGTGTGCGCGCATACTAAAGTAGAGAGTGTTTGCTCAAGTGGGAGAATTGATGTAAAGTTTTGGGCTTCACACTCATTATCTTGGTTTTATAATTATATAAACTCATAAAGTTTTGAGCATATGTGGAATTTATTTCTTGTTACATGGCAAAATGAAGTTCTACACTGATAAAAACTATGTATGGGATCAACACATTGTCGGTTTTGTGCTTTTCTTGTTTTTCCTTGTGCACCTATATTTTTCTGACCAATATTTTGGATGACTGGTTGTTTATTTTGGGTTCTAAAATTCTTAGCATGCTTACTTGTATTGGTTAAGGAAAATTGAATTGGTGTTTAAGATACAAGTGGACTAAAGTTGAATGCTTCTATTACAGTTTTTGTTTTTCTCATCTACGTGCAACTTACATGTAAAGTGTTGTTTGAGAAAGAATTGAATAAATTAAATTTGAGATCTAAGGATTGGATTGTGATTAAGTTTTATAATGTATTAATTCATTTTATACGGTATTGATCCATTTTTGTAACATGCAAAATATATGTTTTGATGATTGGGAGCGTTTAATGATCTTCTTTGAGGATGTATTTAGTAATTTGGATGTTTCTGATTAATCACTTAACAATCTATTTTTGCATTAAGGATTTTAAGGCTAATAAGAACAAAGTTTGTTTTACGTATATGTTCTTATTATTTCATGCACTTTTGTTCAAATCGTCAGTGGTTAATCAATGACTTTTGCCTTTTCAATTGAATTTTGTGATTGATAATAAGCATTTGGATTTTGTTTCATGCTTGTAAGGGATAAGGTAAAAGAAAGAACATTTCCAGTGGTTCATTGATTCACTGAATAAGGTTGTTTCATACTTATTACAATTATGGTTATGTAAGTTTTGATATGTAGAATTAGTGGGAGCTAAGTTTTATTACACTCAATTTCATTAGTTTTCTTGGAGACAGTTTAATTATTTTGTGTATTGCTGTTTGGTTAAGTTCTTTAATTGGATTACGTGACTGCAGTTTTATGTTTACTATTCTTTGACAAATGAATCCAGTTACATGTCATCATGTAGTATAGCTAGCTACAGTCATTGCATAAGACATGAATTCATGCCAGTGTCATTAAGGAGAGATCTTGGTAATCTCTTAAGGTAGGGCTTATGAATGAAAGTGACTTTGTAAACACAAATTAAGTTTTGTCATGATCATTGTACGTCCTAGTCTTGATGGGAACCTTATATGATTTTGCAAGCTTATGCGTGGTTCTAAGAACCTTGGATCGATGTTATAAATTCAATGTGTTCCGACAGTTCCATGTGAGTTCATATTTTTGACAGTGGCTTGATTTAGGAATAGAGTGATGTTGGGTTCTACATGGCCATAGAGAGATCAACTTTGGAACCCTGATGATTATTTGACTAAGTGGGAGAATGTAAGACGTTGGATTATTCTAATTACCTACTTAAGTGGTCTTCTAATCATCATAGGGTTGTCTCGGGCTCAATATTGATCAAGGACTCAATTACTACTCGGCTTGTAGCCTTGTATAAGTGTTTAAGTTAAATACATGGGCCAAAGAGATTCCTAATTAATATGGACTAGGATTTTTATTTACTAATGCAATAAGGACTACTTAAGAGTTTTTCTTCATGGGAGAGACTCTTAGGCAGATGCATATAAAATACCAATGCCCCTACTCAACCGATCAAGCCAAGAATTCACCCAAATTAGAATGAGTGTATGAGGGATCGGATTGTTCTTGATATTTCGACAGTTTCTATGACAAACCAAAGATATGTGTTCTAGTTATGTGGTCAATAAAGTTGACAGCAACTGCATTACCATCAGAAGAAAACCTCATATGATTTTATGTTTGTCTTTCAGCGACGATGTCGCATTTGCACTCAAGGACAGCAAGTTACCTTGGTTGGCTAAGCATCCATGATTCTAGATTCAATCATTTTCGATTCTTCATTCAAAATAAGACCCCCATTCTTCATTTGTTTCAATTGCTACATTCTCGTCATAAATTTATGTCACTTCCAATTGGGGATACCAATATCTTTATTTTCTTCCAAATAAATTATTATATCACATTTGAGACTTTGAGAAATTTTAGCAGAACATACTTTAAGCATCTTATTTATTTATTTATTTTGGTGAAACATAATATGAAATAAACAATTAAAATCTAAACTTTATAAAATAAAATATTAAAAAAAAAAACTAATTAAAATCAAGTCTTGAAGGTTGAAACCGCGCGGTCGAGCAACCTGGTAAACTGTCAATTGCAGAAAAGACTAGCTCCTTCCAAGCATTGAATTGCCATTATGCTATGATCCCTGCTAGAGTAGAATAAAAATTAGACTTAATTGAATTCCAATTAAAACAATAAAACTAAATAACATCTTATTCTGTTAATAATAAAGTGAATGTGGGTGAGATGTGTTTCCGAAGTGAGGGAAACATACCACCACCGGCGGTGTTCCCTATGTTAGATAGGGTTATCCGGACGAAGACCTGAATACCATGTATACCGGTGATCCCGAATAGCTCAGGGGCTTGGTCAGATAGATTAAAAGGAGGAGGAGAAGACAGAGTGGAATTGCATGCATGAATATTGATAGAAATAATGGAAGAGAATAAAAGGATGAAAATGAAGCAGCCATGTTGGATTGGGTGATGAAACTGCACTAGCATGTTTCTTCGTGAATGCGCCATGTCTTTTTGGAAGATTTATGTTGCCGACAGACAGCTCGATTGTATTACTTTTTATGCTACTGGTTTGTTTGTAGAAGCAGCAAGTTGGAGAGTGGGTTGGGGGCAATTACTTTAAGTGTAAAAAAATATTTTTAGTTATTGGAGTTAGGTTTGAAAACAATTTTGTTGACTGTAATTTCAATTCAGTGCTGCTATTTTCACCCCATAATTCTATTTTGTACATATCTTATTTAATTTTTTGTCCCTCATGTTGCAAAATTGTTATGGTCGTCCCTCATGTTTAAAATTAGCTTGAATCATGAGAGAGTGGGGACGGTAGGGTGGCTATGATGGGCAGTTGTCAAAGTCTAGTAGGTTGGTTAAGGGGTGGAGCCAGAATTCAATGTCTAGGAGCCATAAGCTGAAATTTTATCATTGTTTCTTATTATTATCACCTTCCATTTACTTTACATATACTGAAAGAGATGTACTAGAAATTTCTTATAGTTTTATTTACAGTTAAGTCTCTATTAAGTGAAAGGTGGAAGTACAATTTTGCCCATGCAAGCACGCATCACATGCACTCAAATTGACATAATTAAGGGATATGACTAAATTTCTTAACCACTACAAATGTGATGATGAAATTGGAAAAATGTTGAAACTCTGATAAGAAGGTAAAACATCACTCACTAAAACTGAGAAAGTGGGAAATACTTACAACAATACAATACAAATCGCAAGGCCTCGTTGGGCGTGATGGACTTGTTGACTTGGAAAATATTGTGTTACATGGAATTTGACAGAAGTTTCAAATTTGAAATGACTTAAATTTCTCCGTAATTGTAATGTTTCTTTGTCGTTAGTTTATATTGGCCCTCTATAACTAGTGGTTTTTTTATTTATGGAATTATGACTGCAATCCCAGAATTTCTTAAAAAAAGAAAAAGAGATTTCATGGAATTTATGTGAGCTGCTTGGCTAAATTTGGTTTTTCTTTTTCCCGATTTTGAGATTTCATCTATCAAGCTACTCATAGCCAAGCCAAGTACTTTCAAGAGATGACATAGTACTCAATTTTGCGCTAAAACAACTGGTTTATAATCTTCCCTTTTTGAAAAAAAAAAAAAAAAAAAAAAAAAAAAAAAATCCTTCCTTTGTTGTACCAATACGATTACTGTATAATAAACTCCAAAAACTTAGAATCTGCACGACAATTAAAATAATATATAGTTTTCAATATTCCTAACAATATTAAATTGTGCTCTAAATTTGATCTCAATGATACGACATCTACCGGACATATCATCAATTTTTAATTTGGTTAAATTACACCATGTGGTTTAATTAATGTAAGAGTCATTAATAGAAAGTTAGCCAAACTCTTAGAGCATTCACAGTGGGGGGGTGTATTTTCGGGGGTGTGAAATCACTTTTATATCCCTTTTACACATCCGGAGGGTGTAAATACGTTTTTTGCTCCAATGGGAAACGATGTAAAGCTACTTTTACATATCATTTTCTTCATTTTTCCTCTATTTTTTCTGGTGGGTCTCGCTTGCAAAAATGTAAAAATAGATACAAATGTGTATTGTATTTTATATTTCATCGTGGTGATGTATGTTATAACCCTTCAATATTCTCATTGGAGATGATTCCGGTATACAAAAAGTAATTCCACTGATCGTAGGCTTCAAAGCGTCCCCATGTGGGATGAATCTCCTTGTTTTAAAAATAGAGAAAGAAATGAAGAAGTCAAAAAAGGAAGACTGTTGAAAGTTGAAAACTCTTAATTAGGTATAAACCCAATTAGCCTTTCCACTGACTGATCATGGCCTAAACTAAGTCTAAAATCAATCGATCAACAGGGTATAGTCTAGTGGAAAAGGACATTGATTGCATACCAGAGGTCTCAAGTTCATACTCCCATGGTATTTTATTTATGTGTGTGAATTTAGACTATCGTTTGTACTACAAAAAGTATAAATCAATCGAAATCCACCACCCTAAACCATAAACCCTAGCATGGGGTTTGTTCCTTGGGAAGGTTTTAATGAGGTCACTGTATCGTGTCACTCTATGCACTCTTTCGACTTTTTTAATACACTCAAACTTTCATGGGAGTATTTTAAAGTCATGATTGAATACCTCTAAATGTGAATGGACTTTAAAAAGTCCAGATTGAATACACTCAAAATTTTATGCACTTCTATAAAATCGTGATTAAATACACATAGACCTTTAAACTTCTAATTGAATACGCTCCCCAAAATAGTGAAGAGTGAGGTAAGCTTCAAAATATGGTTAAAAGTCATTTTTAACCCCACAAAATGACGGAAAATACAAATAAGGTGTGAGTTGCAAATTCTGCTAACTTGCAAATTCAATGACCAAAATACAAAATCAGGTGTAAGTTGAGGTACTATTGCTACATTTGCTTTCCACTCCACAAACAATATTTAATTGTTTTCTAAACATCAATGTTGCTGCCAAAGCCTCTTTCTTTATTTTAATATTTTTTTCTGTGTGAACCCAAGCCAATAAAGGTTGGTGAACATCCCATTAAAATTCTCTCCGAACGTGTTTCAGTATTTGACAGTCGAAGAAGGCTACACCAGTTCGATTGCTCCCAAATTTGAATACGTTATGATAGACATCCGTGAGAACAACTTTCATGTAGGAGCCAACTTCATTTGAGCAATGGAAGTTGCATTTCGAACACATGCAATCTGACTGGTTATGAGCTAGTAAGTATGGCCATGTTTTGGTTGAGCCATATGGGAGGTATTGGCCACACATCTTGGTCAGAAGTGTTACCAGAATTGGCTTTAAAAAAATATATGTGCTCCACTATTATTTGACTCTAGCTTGACAACAACAGTATTTGGAGTCAATTAAACTTTAAAATAAGAGTTTCGTTCCTCCCATCCAGTTCGCTTTTTGAGGAGAAACACTTACGTATAACGAGGATAGCAAAACAGTGCTATCTCCGTTTCATATAAGTTTTTCTGCTTCATGAGAGAAAAGCCAATGAAGTTTGCATTGGAAGTCTCTCTTTGACGTAGTGATTGGTTTTTTTACCACTTTCTCAGTTTGCAGGAGATGTTCGGTGTGGGGCCTAGGAAAATTTGTAAATTTATATTGTGCGGTTGGTATTTTTACCACTTTCTCAGTTTGTAGGAGACGTTCGGTGGGGGGCAAAAGAAAAAGAAAGATAGTACGCTTGTTAGAGCATCTCCAACCGATGTGTCAAACGTGCCACATAGACATTTAACAGCTATAAATAACATTTTCATATCACTCCAACCGATGTATCAAAGCTGATGTGGAATGAAGGCTGGAGGTTGAGATGTTATTTTTGACATCCCAAAAACAAGATGTCAAATGAATATTTATTATTTTTTCTTTTCTTTTCTTTTTAAACTAAAAATGAATCAACACTAAAATGTAATAAAATAATAATTTAATTTGACTTATCGGGTGGAGTGTAAAGTTATGTAAGATGTCAAATTGCCACATCAGCCATCAAATTTAAATTTGATGTTTGGTATTTGACATCTCCCTTAGAGATGCTCTTAGTTGCTTGCTTCTAACTCTTATAAATTTTCTCTATTAACCTAAACACAAACGGTGGGCAAATGGCAAATACACCACGAAACATGCAAGTATTGAAGATCCCCTACCACCAAATGGCTCATGGCCTCCTTTTCATCCTCTTTTTCTCTTCCATTTTATCCACAAATCATGCTTGCAATCAATCTCAAAGCAGCTCTCTTTTGTCCTTTGCCCTCTCACTGTCTTCTCCTTCTTTGAACTGGACTTCCATTGATTGTTGCCATTGGGAGGGCATCACCTGTGATCACGACGGTTGGGTCACACATTTGGACTTACCTCCAGATCAGGGCTCAATCTCAAAGGAGGTGTTTTTCCCTCAATTGAAAATCTCACTCATCTCACCTACTTGAATCTCTCTCACAATTCACTCTATGGTTCACTTGAATCCGGTTTCTTCTTATCCTGAATCGTCTTGAGATCCTTGACTTGAGTTCTAATTGTTTTTTCGGAGAGCTCTTGTCTTTTATACCATCCAACACTCGCATGGTGGACTTGTCCAACAATCACTTCCATGGTGCAATTCCATCTTCATTCTTCGGACGAGCTAGGAATTTGACTAGTTTTAGTGTCAGGAACAACACCTTCTCAGGTTCTATCCCATCCTCTATTTGTCTTCATTCTTCTCCCCTGATCAGGCTGTTGGATTTTTCCTTCAATGAATTCAGCAGCAATATTCCTGCTGGACTAGGGAAGTGTGCCAAACTGCAAGTTTTTCGTGCTGGTTACAATAACCTCTCAGGATCACTTCCAGAAGATATCTATAATGCTACCACACTTGAAGAAATAACATTACCTAGTAATGCTATTCGTGGAGACATTAAGGAGGAAATTGTCAACCTCACCAACCTTACAATCCTTGACCTCTATCTCAATCAATTCAGTGGCATGCTCCCGATGAATATTGGGAAGCTCTCCAAATTGAATTCATGCTTCTTCATTCCAACAATCTAAAAGGTTCTCTGCCCCTTCTTTGGTGAATTGCACAAACCTTGAACAATTGAACCTCGGATCAAACAATTTAGAAGGAAACCTCTCCATGCTTGATTTCTCCAAACTCAGCCGCCTTAGTAAACTTGACGTTGTGAGTAATCACTTCACTGGTGTCTTCCCAACTAGCCTTTACTCATGCAAGTCCCTGAAAGCACTTCGATTGAGCTTAAATGACTTAGATGGACGAATAGAGCCTGAGATTCTTTCATTGAAATCCCTGTCCTTCCTCTCGCTTTCTGGGAGCAGAATGTCCAATATCACAGGGGCAATGAACATATTGATGCGCTGCAAAAGTCTCAAAGTGCTTATACTTTCAAACAATTTTGTAGGTGAAGAAATGCCAAATGGTGATGGCCATGGTTGATGTTGATGGATTCCAAAATCTTGGCATTTTGTCTTTTCGTGGTTGTGAGCTCACTGGTTCATTACCTGTATGGTTATCCAAACTAAAGATGCTAGAGGTCTTGGATATGTCCTTAACAGAATCACAGGCTCAATTCCGAGTTGGTTGGGGACTCTCCAAGCCTTTTTCACATAAACTTGGGCAACAACCGAATTTCAGGTGAACTTCCAAAGCAATTCTGCGAATTACCAATGTTGGTATCTGAACAAACTGCAGCTCAAGTAGAGCATACATATCTTGAAACTACCTTTCTTCGTCAAACCTGCAATTGATGCATACATTTTGCAGTACAGTTCTCTCTCTTTCTTTCCACCAGCAATATACCTATACAATAATAGCATCAATGGGAGTATACCAACCGAGATCAGCCAATTGATCCTTCTTCGTACATTAGATCTTAGCGACAACAATGTCGGTGGAAACATTCCAGACGAAATCTCCAGCCTGAAAATGTTGGATACGTTGGATCTTTCAATGAACCACTTGTCTGGAGAAATCCCCGCATCATTGACAAGCCTTAATTTCTTGTCCTCTTTGAACGTATCGTATAATAATCTCGAAGGGCCAATACCAAAAGGCACTCAGCTCCAAGGCTTTGATGTCTCTGCATATGAGGGGAATCCAAAACTTTGTGGTGCCCCTCTTTGGAATGATTGTCCACTAATTAAAGGTAACAGCCAAGGACGTGGAGACTGAGCATCAAATTCCATGGTTTCATATTTCTGTTGTGCTTGGCTTCATCGTAGGATTTGGTGGATTTTGTGGTCCTTTAATGCTTAAGAAGACATGGAGAGATGCATATTTCCAATTCCTAAACAATGTACAAGGTAGGATCTATGCGATGAGAAAAGTGCGTGCATGATATATGATAGGCTCTGTGATCGTAAGGATGCAGAGAGCTTAAAAACTAGATTTTAAGTACTTTTATATTCTGTAATTTCAGCTTTTATCTTTCGGTTAATGTAAAACACAACTTTTTCTCATATTATTTGTTTAGGCCTGATTTCGTCTTGTGCCAAAATATCGTTATGGGAAATGCCAAAATATCACATTTGGGGGAGAAATTTTTGTAGATACCCGGTACACCAGCTGGCTGGTGTGCCCACCAATAGAAATAAGACACGTGTAATAATTGATTTTTAGTCTTAAAATTATAGTAACTTTTAACTCCGTTAGCTTTTTAACTCCGTCAGCCTTTTGCTGCAATCGAGAATCTTTTAATTTTTTATTTATCAATTTTTCAAACAAAACCCTAAAGATACAACTTTTCTCTGACAATACCCTTCTGCCGTCAGATACACAAGCATGCTGTACGTTGTCAGCTACTCAATCCATGGACAAAGAAAAAGGGTGATGACCTGCACCCTACATACCACTTTTTTTACTTTTTTTTTTTTACTCCTTTAATTTTTTTTTTTTTTTTTTTTTTTTTTTTGGTTTGGTATGAAAATACTTGTTGGAAAGCCCGAAAAGGCAAAGGAACAACAAACAGAAAACAGGGGAGGTCCCTAGAGCAATACAAGTAAATCGCAAGGAGGCCATCGAAAGTTAACTACTAGGGCATGAGTTTTGGTTTCACTGGGTTATTTTTTATTTTTGGTTTCAATGGATTATTAAATTGTGGTTTGAGTTACTTTTGAGTCAACATGTTGAATACATATATATATATATATATATATATATTTATGTTGGCTTTGCTCCAGGTTACTTTTGAGTACTGTTTCATGAGTGTTGGCTCATTGGATTATTATATTGGCTTTGCTCCAGGTTCTTTGAACATTGGGGTTGCCCCCCAAACATCATATGCATTGGCTTTGCTCCAACATCGTTTTTTTAATTTGTTTGTTTGTTTGTTTGTTTGTTTTTTTGTTTTTTTTTGTTTTTCTGGTACAAGTGTTCTTTAATTACATTTTAAATTACTATTACAACATATTTGTACAGTAGAAAAACAAAAAATCATATATCAGTGGTTTGTGCAGCTTTGTTTGGATAAATATTTTCTTTCTTTTTACTGCTTCCTATAGTTATTATCATTAATATGTTATATTACCTTCTAATCTACTCAATTTATTGATTTTTTAAATTTATTTTTGTGTATATGCTACGAAAATTATTTCTTCCTATAGTCATTCATTATCATCTCACAAAAATTATTTCTTTCGTTGAATGATGTAGTGATTGATCTTGGAAGTGATGAAGAAAACACCAAAAGCAACGATCAAGAAAAAAAATCCAACGTTTGGGAATCTTGAAGAATCTTTCGATGAAAATTTGTATGGGAAGATTGTGTACAACGAGGAAGAAGCTTATGATCTCTATAATGAGTATGGTGCAAGCATTGGCTTTAGCATTCGAAGAAAACAAAAAAAGATATAACAAATATGGAGTTCTGAGACAACTTAATTTTGTGAGTTCAAAAGAAGGTTTTAGAGAAGATAGTGACCCTTGTAAAGACAAAGCAATTGATAGAATAGAGACCAGAACAGGGTGTAAAGCCAGAATTCGATTTTCATTGTAAGGTGATGTGTGGAAAGTTTCTACCTTTGATCCTAATCACAATCATAAGCTTGCAAGACCAGATGAAAGACAATTTTTGCGATCAAATCGTAAAATTTCAGAATCTCATAAGGGTGTGATTAAAACCATGGTGAGTGCATGTATAAGAACTTCAAATACATACTCGTATTTAGCAGAAGAAGTATGCGGATCTCAAAATGTTGGATTTACAAAGACAGATTGCTACAATTTTGTCAGTAGGGAAAAAATGAATCTACTTAAAGCAGGCAATGCTCAAAGCTTGATCAATCTTTTCAAGCACAAGCAAGTTGAAGATCCAATGTTCTTTTACACAGTGCAAGTAGATCAAGAAAACCGAATGACAAACTTTTTTTGGAGGGATGGAAGGTCCAGACTTGATTATGAGTGCTTTGGGGACGTGATTGTATTTGATACTACATATCGAACCAACAGGTACAACCTGATTTATGATCCTTTTGTAGGGGTTAACCATCATTGGCATAATGTGTTGTTTGGCTGTGCTTTTTTATTGGATGAAAAGATTCCTACATTTCGGTGGTTGTTTGAGACATTCTTAGAATCCATGGGAAATCGAAAACCTGTGACCATTTACACTGATCAATGTCAGGCAATGGCAAATGCCATCTCCACAGTTTTTCTTGGGACATGTCATCGTTTATGCACATGGCACATATCAAGAAATGCAACACTGAAGTTGGCAAGTTACTATGCCATTCGGGAGTTTAAGAAGTTATTCAACAAGTGTCTTGAAGGAGGTGAGACAAAGTCTGAATTTGAGTGTACTTGGAATGAAATGGTTTCAAAGTTTGACCTTGCAGATAACACATGGCTTAAGACCTTATATCAACTTCATGAAAAGTGGTGTCCAGTGTTTAGGCTAGATACTTTCACTGTCAGGATCAAAGCTTCTCAAAGAAGTGAGAGTATGAATAATGTTTTTCATCATATGTGTACTAAACCAATGAGGCTTACTGAATTTGTGCATCATTATGATAAACAAACAAATGGTATGAGGTCACGAGAGTTGGAAGAAACTTTTCGATGCAATCAGGGATTACCTTCCAGAGCTGCCAAAAAAAGTGGACTTTTGCTTCATGCTGCTAATGTCTACATGAGAAATTTTTTTAAATTATTCGAGACTGAGGTTATTGATAGTTTAGTAGTAAGAATGTGTCAAACTGGAAGTGATGGAACACTCCAAACTTTTGAGCTTAATGAGGAGGGTCGCTAAAGAGTGCATGTTGTCCAATTTAACTCTTTAAATTTCAATGTCTTATGCAGTTGCAAGATGTTTGAATCCATGGGTTTATTATGTTGTCATGCTCTAAGGGTGTTGAATGTAAAAGAGGTTACTGAGATACCATCTCAGTACATATTGAAGTGGTGGACAAAAGTAGCAAAGAAAGGATGGGATGCAAATGAGCATGGAGAATCTTTACAAGTAAGTGATAAATCATCAGTGACTTTGCGTCAGAATAGTTTGATGCGAATGTCTTATGATATATTGAGTAAGGGAGCGGAGACAAATAACACTCATAGAATCATAAACTAGTACTTTTCCCTTCAACATCAACACCATAAACTAGAAATTCGTCTGCATAGTTGGCAAGAAAGTCCAGATATCATCTTCCCTCATCAGCCTTCGAAAATTACAGTGGGAGTCGTGGGGCACACGCAGTTGAAGGTGTGACGAGGATGAATGTAAATGTAGTTCCATATACTCAAAACAACTTGGAGGACTCAAAGAACCTTTTTGCCGATCTTAACCCATTCCAAATCAAAGGACCTGGGAAAGCTTCTATGTATAACAAACCTATGGAGAACAAAGTTGAAGAGCTTCAAAGACAGAGAAATAATGTTGCCTTTGGTCGACCTCCTGCATCATTAATGTGGAAAAATAAATATGCTTTCAATGAAGTCCCTAAAAGAAAGGAGAATGATAATTATATGGATGGTATCTTCCCAAGAGTTAATCGGGAACCTAATGGGCATAATCCATCATCTGCAGCTTCCACCAGCTCTACTGTATTTGAACAGATCAATCCTGGTGGTTTCAAATCAACTGCTCATTCAAATATGTCAGATAGAGATGGCGATGCCAAAAATTATAGGGGGGAACAACCCAGGGCTAAAGGTTATTTACAGAATGGCACAATAGATGTTAATGAACATCAGAACAATGAAATTGGCTTCCATGATCCTAGAAAGTTCACGCATGACAAATTTATGGAGACCAATTTGAAACTGAAGGATCCAGAAAGTTCTAGCTAACATTTCCAAGCACACCCAAAAACCCATCGACTCCTCACCTAACCCTCACTCTCTCCCCAACTTCTAACCACACCCACCTCCTCAACTTCCTCAAAACCCATATGAAAAACCCACCATTTCAACCCCAATCTTCCTCAATTCTCTTTTTTGTTCAGATTGTGCTTTGGATTTTAACAAGGGGGAGTTCGATAAATTTGGAGAACAAAAAGAGAATTGCGAAATAAAAAATGGGTTGAGACATTTGTACATGTTGGAGAGACAGAGTTAAATTGGCTTTCTGCAGAAAACCAAATCATGTTGTACTCGTAGATTTTGTAGAAAACCAAATCAATAGATGATTTGTGCTCCTGTTGGAGAGACATGTAGAAAACCAATTTCGACCTATATGCAAAAAATGATTTGTACAATTTTGACCGATATGCAGCAAAAGCCTAATGGAAAGATAGAGTTAAAAGGCTGACGGAGTTAAAAAGCTAACTGAGTTAAAAGTTACTGCAATTTTAAGGCTAAAAATAAATTATTACACGTGTCTTATTTCTATTGGTGGGTACCTACAAAAATTGGGGGACCTTCTCCCTTTTGTTTTCCCAGTTTACACTTACATGATTTTTGGTAATTAACTACTCATTTCATGTTCCTCCGGGGTTCGCTCTCTCATTTCCCGAGGAGAGTAAAAACATTACAAATTTATAAATAAACCCAATCCTAGACATGTATTTATAAAAAAACCCAAGCACTATTTGAAACATAGAAACACACCCAAAATCAACCCCAAAGTCAACTTTTTGGGTGTGTTTATAAATGGGTTTTGAGTATGTGTAATGATGGGTTTTGGGTGTGTTTATAAAGTGTTTTGGGTGTTGGGTTTTTTTTATAATTTCAACCTCCATTTTGGGTGTTTTAGTGAAACTCCCTAAAAACATCTAGGGTTTTCTTCTTGGTCTTGCGGCAGCCGCTAGGATTTGTGCAGTAGGATCTTCAAATTTGTAGACGATCTCTGGCTTTCTTCGTGTTACTTTTAGTTGTCTCGTGGGGTCTCTCTTCTGCGGTGGGATCTTCCACTCCGCGTGCAGCTATTAGTGGCTATCTAGGCATTTGTCACATCTTTCTTGGCCTTTTGAGCAGATCTAGCCCTCATATCCGTGCAAGGGTTTCTGTCCTGTAGGATCCATGGAGGTCGACGACATCGTAAAGTATTTTGGGACGCTGCTGGGTCCTCATAGAAAGAGACATGATGGGCGACTCGGCGGCGTCAGATCGGAGTGGGAAAAGGTAGCGTGTGGGAATTGAAGATGGAGATGAGTATATGATCGATAGTGGCATTGATTTTTCTGGTCAGTTGATGCCAATGGCTTTGTTGATACGGCAAAGGAAACCAGCCTCAAGTGGTCTCCAAGGCTTCCCTGATAATTCTTGTTTGAACGTTCGTGGGCTTTGCAACTGATGAACGTTCCTACTATGAAGATCTTTCTTCGGAAATTTCTTCAAGCTAAGAGGCCAACCTTGGTCTCCCCTACAAGTCCGTATCAAAAGCCAAAAGGCAAAAGGAAATAAAATATCATAAATAAAAAAACAAACCACATCAAACTCCTAAATAGTTCATGAGAATTATTAGACTTAAACAAACTAAGAAACAAGACCTCATCTCCTCTTGGGCGACCCGAAGAGAGTCATAGCACCATATCGGCTAAGCCCATAGTGCCACACCGGCTAAACCCAAATCTAACACAACCCGTCATCATCCCCGCTTCTTAGCTCTAAATCTATATTAAAGGCTGACAACTGGAGCCAAATCCTTGCATGCATGGGCCAAAAGACGAACAACGTATCACAACTACTTCTACTACATACAAAACAAAAAAAAAAAAAAAAAAAAAAAAACACAAAAAAAACAAAAGAATCCATTCCAAAAAGGAAAAGGAAATGAGAGGAGATAAAATGGGATGAAGTAGGAAGGGTGCCCGTTGACCCCAAAAAGAGGCGGCAGCTAGGGATTTTCCTTTCAATTAAAGCTGCATCTTCTTAAGACCATTTAGTTTGTAGGGATCAAGGAAGAAGAGAATCAAATTTCAAGAAGATCATCCGCGAATATTCTCTAAGGAGGAAATTTGGAGAAACATTATGAAGGGAATTTATTGTGTAGGGATTTTTAAAATTCCATGAAGCTATGAGAAAACAAATCATCTAGCATATGCATATCTAATATCAAATCAAATAAAGCGGAAGGAAGAATAAAAGCTAGAGATTCATACAAGTCTCATTTTAGGTCCCAATCTTTTTAGACTTATGAAAATAGCACCAATGACTCTCTAACCCACTCAGTATGTTTGTCCACCCATTCATCAAAATCAATATCATCATCATTATCATCACAACTGAAGTTAAGGTCTACAAAATCAGAGTCAAGACTGTCTGCTAACTCCTCATCATCACAAACTGTGGTCCTTTTCCTTGCTTTTCTTGTCTTCATTGGAAGACATCTTGATAATTTGCTATTTTCTACAATTGCTTCAACAAGTTCATTCTCAAATAGTCCCTCAGTTACTGTATTGGATCTTTGGTCTTCTTTAAAATGTGTATTCTTTACAGTTTTGTACCTCCTTTTACCAAAAGCTCTTGCCTTCCTTTTCCCAAAAACAAAAATGACTTTACTTTTCCCCTTGTCTACAGGGGCATATTCCTGGCTCTTTTCAGCTTTATCAGTATGTTTGTCCACTGCAGAAGATTCCCTCTCTATTGCTTTTTCTTTGCTTTTTTACACTGCAGAAGATTCCCTTGTTACTATCAACCCCATGATATAGGGAGATGTCTATTAGCCTTGTCTCTGGTACAAATACAAGCATGTCTATGACATCTTGATCATCATTAAGCTTTGTTAGGCCACCATTGCTATAGGTAGGGATACTATACCAGTAACTAATCACCCTATTGTAGCCTAACTCCCTTACCATATTGTCTTTCTTAGTCATTGACATTCTATCCTTGTCACAATAATCAAACCAAGCTACATTGCCACAAGCATAATAGTTACCACAGATTTGATCACCATGGTACATTCAAATAGAAAACATTTCAGGATCACCTACACATTACATGTCCCAAACAGGGGTTAGTTTTGGACCACATCATATAAAACATTACACAAAACACAGTATTCCATTATTTTCATTTTAGAACCATTATAGAAAAGACAGTTACTATTAAACAACCCCTTTCACACCCTTCCACCTAAAACTTTTGCCTTATTAAAGGCAAACATTGCCAGCACATGCGAAACCCTTACAAACAGAATCTGCAAGACCATCTATATTCGACAACCCTTATAAAACAACAATAACCCTTCATTCTTTCTGACTTTTCCCACTATTCAACACGGATTATAAAACACACTATTCAAAGCACAATAACTCATACGACCTCTAACCCATTCACCACAAATAATCGAAATCGCAAAAATTTAGAGCAACATACTGTACATGAGATGCGCAGCGCCTGGAGCCTTGAAAATCCCAACTCATTTCTTCTCAGTTCTTCCATAATCACAGCGCCTGGATTTCTCTCTCTCTCCTCAGTTGTGGAGTTTTAGGTTTTAGGATTTAGGTTAAAACTGAGGTTGAGGACGACGTTTGGGGATTTATGTTCCAAATCGATTGCTTTGCAACGTGTGCCAAATTAGGATTCCCCTTTTTTTTTTTTTTTTTTTTTTTTTTTTAATTAATTTTTTTATTGACCCAAAAATACCCTTAAGCTTTTGTACGCAGAATGGTTAGTTCGCTGGTGGGGTGGGTCCTACGAGTGCCACGTTAATATTTAACGATTGACCACACGGTCAACTTAACGGAAAGATGAAATTGGATGATGTTGAAAAAGTAGGGTGTAAATTGATAAAATTGATACACTAGGGTCCATATTGAGAATCACAGCAAATTGTCTTTTGTCGTTAACCCAAATAATAAATCCTAGCAATTTATAAACATGCTACCTCCGGTAGAGTGCCAAATTTTCAATCAAAACCTGAAACATGAATGAATTTCCTTTGTTTAAAAAGAAGAAAAAATAAACATAGTTTGACAACCAAACAAAAAACATATAAGAATTTAGCAAATATTCCAGGAGCATTCGATATCATCATATTCCACCGAAACCCAACACCATAAAAGCAAAAAGATAAAAGCAAGCTCCAACTATACAACTCAAGTTGTCAAATTCGATAGCTGATGGCTTTTCAATTTGAAGCAACAATCTGCGTTGTGCCTCAAATCTGAAACCTTTCTCAGATGGTCTGGTTTGTTTGCCTCCCTTTGGTTGATTGAAGATTAGAATTTTGAAGAAATACCCTCTCTTCCTCTGTCAAATCATTAGAAAATTTCAATTTGTAGTGAGAAGAGAGCTTGTGAGTTTGTGGAATAGTCGAAGCGTACATGGTCTGACGTCTGAGAAGAAGATGAAGGATAGATAATGTAAATTAAGAAAATTAATGAGGATATTATGGGCATTTCAGAAAACTTCATTAAACTTCTACCGGCTCCTTATCGCTTTCCGCAAAAGTGGAAATAGAAATCAACCTTTGAGCTGGTTCGTCAAATCACGTTGGATGGCAGCGATTTCCTAGGAAAATCAGATTTCTCGACTGCTACCAAAGGGGATGGAAAGATAAAAATTTGCAAATAAGTGATTCTGGCGCTGAAAACGCAATGACAAACGGGTACCTAGTCAAAATAATAAAATAAAATTTAGATTTATTAAAAATATAATTACAGTATATTGTTTTAGGGGTGGTTGCGGTTCGGTAACCGCGAATTTTTGCCCAAACCGCGAACCGACCGACTATTTGCGGTATGGGGATTTTTCAAACCGTGAACCGACCGCAATTTGCGGTAAACCGCAAATTGCGGTCGGTTACCGCGAATTAGCGGTTTAAAACCGCAAGTTCTCAAGCATTCACAAAAAATATAAATTCACAACCTAAATAAATAAATACACAACCTCAAATTCTCAAACATATTATAAATTCACAATCTCCTCAAGCATATTATAAATTGACAACCTAAAGAAAATTAAAGTTACAATTCCAAGCATTCCAATTAAAGTTATACTTCTCAAGCATTCCAATTCCAAATCCTTTAAAGTTACAAACCAAAAGCAAAATGAATTAAAGTTACAACCAAAAAGAAAAATCCAATTCAAAGTTAATTAAAGTTACAATATAAAAGGAAAATGCAATGCACCAATGTTACACATTAAAGTTACAAACTCAAGTGTTGGTGGTGAGTGGATTTGAGGAACCCCGTTGTGTTGTTTGAGCACCAATGCTATCTACAAATAAAACAACATAGTTTAGTACATTTTATTATAAGAATAAGCATAAATAACATTAGCATAAATAAACTAATTACTTACAAGTTGTCATATGTTCCATTTCCTTGTAGAATTCAACCTCATCATCCGTTGGTTCCTTGTAAAAGGAAAATTCGTCCGCTCTAAGCCAATCACTAGTACACACTAATGTCTCTACCATTTTAGGATGCAAAGAGTTTCTAAAAGGATCCACAATCCTCTTGCCTAGGCTAAAAGCATTTTCACTAGCAACCGTAGAACTTGGAATTGCAAAGATATCCTTGGCAACTTGCGAAAGAATAGGATATCTTGTTTGGTTCCCTTTCCACCAATTCAAGAGATTGAATTGTTTGCTCAAGGGGCTTTCAAAAGGATCCATCAAGTACTTATCCACTTCATTGGATATCTCAACGGATTGCTCATCCTTTCTTTTTTGCACAAGTTGTTGCATTAATTGAAATGGAAAAATGAACAGGGAATGGGCTCAAAGCATAGCCAGTCCAAGCCAGCCCAATTCCAACAGTCCAAATCAACCCACCAAACAAAGCCTCGGAGTATCGGAGAAGGACTCATTAATGAAAGGAGTTGTTGGCTTTCCTTTGGTTAATTTTCAATTGTTTTGGTGGAATTTAATGGTGATTGGTTTCTTTATACTTCGTACGGTTTCTTTTTTTTCTTTTCTTTGACGTGGGATTTAGGATTTGCTTGGTCATCCTAGGGAGACCAACTTTAGATACCAACTTGTGTACCATCTTTCTAATAGAGGTGGAGCCCACCAATACAATGGGTCCCACGCTCTATTAGAGAGATGGTACACAAGTTGATATCTAAAGTTAGTCTCCCTAGCATTTTCCAATGAAGATGGCATTGCATCACGGAATACGCGATTATCAGCAAAAATCAAGGATCATAGCTATAAACTATTGTGTGTGAATTTACTAGGCCTGCAATCCAGCTATAATTTACTACCCTAAACCCAATGTAGCCTATTCTGTTAAAATTACTGTTAAACAAACATGATAATTCTTTCTTTTTCTTCTTCTTCTTCTTCTTCTTTTGAAAACCTATAAAAAATTTAAATTTTTATTATAAAAATTGAATTAATTTTATAACATATTAAAACTTCATTAGAACTAAAACATAGAATTAGAAAAAAAATAACAAAAACAAAAAACAAATAGGATGGGTGTGGTCGCAGGAAGATCTCGAAGGCGCGGTTGGGATAAGACAAATGGCTAGTGAATGGTTGGGTTGGGGAAGATCCTACTGGGAGATGGTTGCAAGGTAGGGATTGTTCTAGAGAGAGAGAGAGAGAGAGGGTTGTGTGTGCTTTTTACATGTTTGGAGGTGTGGGGTGGATTAGAGTTCGGAGGTGGTTGTGGCTTGGGGAGAGTAGCTGTGGTGGGTTGTTGATGGGAAAAGAGAGAAGAGAGAATGGTGTTGCAGTTGAGATTAATTATTATTTTTTAATTATATTTCTTTTAACTTTTAAATCTTACTTTTATTTTTAAAGGGTGCTAATTTTCTCACTACCCTTTTGTCCACTTACACTCCCTTTTAACGGTGTTTGGGCTAGAAGAAATTGCACAACAGCCCACTTCTTACAAAGGCCCACGAAACAGAAAAGACGGAGGACTGGGCTTTGATTCAAAAAATAGAGAAAGCCCAAAACCAAATTAGAAGGCCCATGATTTTTACAAAATAGCAATCAACCACTGAAGCAAAAATTGAAAGAAAAATTAGATGAGGCCCAGCTTATGGCTCACCACTTATCTCAAAAACCAGAGTGCAAAATCAGCAAAGATCTTTTAGAGAGCCTATTCTCAGAACCCATGTGACTATCTGACTTGGAAAAGTCAACAAATTCAACTATCACAAAAAGTTGATTGGGAATTAAATGAAAGCAGGTCATTAGCAAAAGACTTCTTTGAAACTCTGGGGCTAAAAGATTAGAATCCTTTTTTACAATTTTGCGTCAGAGCAGGTAATACTTCCAAAAGATAAGCACACTACAATCTCAAAGAAATAAGCAGAAAACAGGGAGTTGTTCAAACTGGAAAATCAAAACTAACCATCACAGTTTGAGCTCTTACAAAGGGCAGTTGAATTGGAAAAAGGGCTAGGTTTCCTTCCAAAAAATATAGGGAAGTGACTGCCATAGGTACCGACTGTTGAGGGTTTATTTGCCAGAATTGATAAAATCCCTTTCTTTCTTTGCATTTAAAAATGAAAGATCTTTTGAGTCTTGCCGCCCATTATTAAAAGAATAAGAAACCCTACTCCAGCATTTCTTATAAATAGAAGAAAGGGTGAACATAGCAAAAACAACACAAAAAAAAACAATCAATCAAACAATCAAAAACTCAACCCAACACAAGAACTCAAAATGATCACTTGATCCTTGAGAATCCCCAAACAAATTGAAGCAACCAAAAGCTCATTTAAGCCACAGAAGAAGCCAACTATAAATCAGAACTTCCAAATTCAGACTTAGAAAAATAAGTCATTCAAAACGAGATTTCTCTCGTTACAAATTTGGTTCAGCAAAAGCCAAAACAAGCAGAGTTTGAGTTTTCACAGATATGAAAAGCTCAACAAATTTATGGAGAGCACTGACCAAGTAGAACAGGTACCATAGTGCAGTTCCGGCTTAGTAATCCTGAAGTCTAGCCACTTCTGACCCATTCAGACCAAAGAAGTTGCAGTTCTGCCAGTTCAAAAAGCCTTCTAAGGCTTGAAATAGATTAAAGCTCTGTCAAACTCAAACTTTGGTATTGATTTACAGCTGAAGCTTAGCAGTTAAAGTTGTTGACAGTTCAGTCCAGCACAGACATACCCAGTCCTGCCCGGATAAGAGAATTCCATACAGGCAGAAATGGAATTCCATCTTTCTTTGTCTTTCTAGAGTTGATTTTTTCCTTTCTAGTTTTGTAAAAGGCAGTTCTGCCTAAAACAGTCCACCTTATTATCATTTATTCTGGCAAGAACTATCAATTTTGGACTGAGATAAAATTATGAAGTCCTCACCAGTTTGAGGCAGGAAAAGAACTTACTTGGGAGATATTCCTCACCCAAATTCACAATCGCTTGTTTAGAAATCAGTAACTTGGGGCGCCAGTTATCTATTTTAAGAAGTCTGCTAGAATTGTTATTGCTAGTAGTGGCACGGTAGCACACTAAAGAAAGTTGACTTGTTGACTAGTCAATGGTTTTCAAGGCAATGTGGAACTTTACCCTTCCATCACTGGAGCAAACACAAAGCGGGTGAACAATTTGGCACACCCAGTGGGACTTCTCAGTATACATACTCCAACAGAAATTTTCTAATAGTATATGAATATTGGAAGCTCTAGCCAGAACCCACGCCACGCCATGGAAAGAGATCAGGTAACTCTCCGAGAAGGACTGGAGTCAGAAGAAAGTAATGCCAAACACTCAGCTCATGGCAGTACCGGAAGCAGGCGTTCCAGGACCGGCTCTAGGAGGTTGAATCAAATACAGGAAGCTGTATTCCGACAGGAAGCTACAGCATAAAGGAGCCAGGATACTCTGAACAATATGACAACCATGATGTAATGGCAAGTTAACAAGCAGTTCAGGAATGACCGTGAGGCTGCCATGGCCATAATTCCAAACCAAGATGTTGTAATCCAGCAGCTAGACCTCCCTTATGGCCCTCCACCAAGATTGGCATGACCATACCAAGAGAACCCTCTCATAGCACAGATGGCTGGAATACCGGGGCATAGAAAGATCTAAGCTGGACAAAGAGGAGGAGCCCTTCCTATCCAAGAACATGAGGCCCCAGTCCAACTAGAAGGCCCTACACCGGTTCAGGTCCAATAGAATCATCCAGAACCTCCGCCTATTCCACAGCCCGTGGCCCCACGTGATCAACCCTTGGCACTTCTACCTGAGGCACCAGTTGTGCTACCTTACAGACCCAGAAGGATGGATCCCAATCCATTCCCTCCACCGGCAAGAGGCAAAAGAGGCAAAAGGGGAATCAATCCCTTTGCCAATAATGACAGGAACAGACCGGGGGTAAACTGGAGGAATCATCCAGATTTTGAAGAAGAGGAAGAACACAAGGAGGAAGTTCTGCCCAGGTCATACAGGATGGAGCACAGGATTGACCACACCCAGCTAGAACAGGGACGAAATCTACACCCTGTCAACGCTTTGAATGACATGGGGGCATCACAGAGAATGATCAGGGAGATGATGGAGCTAGAAGCCAGAAGAGGAGAAAGGCCTACCTACAGAAAGCCATATCCAGCTTACATTGATAAGATACCTCTGTCCCCGAGTTTCAAGGTCCCAAACTTTACCTTGTTCAACGGAGAAGATCCCCATGCTTCATCAATTGAGCACATAGGTAGGTTCTCTGTCCAGTGCATAGCCATAGAAAATAACCCTCTGTTAAAGCTAAGGCTTTTTGGGAATTCTCTCTCTAGACAAGATTTCACCTAGTACATTAGCCTACCAGCTAATTCTGTTCAAACCTGGGAACAAATGGAAAATATTTTCCATTACTACTATTTCAGGATCCAGTCAGAAGTCACCATCAGTGATCTTGCTGCCTTCAAACAGAGTGAAGATGAGCCTGCCCAAGACTTCATAACCAGGTTCAGAAAACTTAAGATGAAACTGCCCTTAAAATCTCTCTGAGAAAAAGATTTGATGGGATGCTATTTGGAGATCTGGCTGACAAAGCATTTAAATATGAGGAGCTGCTCAGGAAAGAACAACAGAAGAGGAACTCTTCCAAAGGCACATACTACAAGACCCTTTCCTCTTACGTCCATCTAGTTGAGGTGGAATCAAAAGAAGATACAGAAGGCTTGTTGGGAAGAGAAACTGCAGTGGCAGAAATGGCAAAGTTAAAATATCCAATCAGCTGCAAAGCACTTACAAAGCCACCAAAGGACCAGAAGCCACTACCATTCACAAGAGGGTTCGTTCCAAACAAACCAACCCAGAACAAGGTCTATTCCTTCGATCTAACCAAGGTTGATGCTCTGTTTGATGAAATGCTGCTACAAAAAGCAACATAGATACCCCACAGGTTGCCCAAGCCGGAGGAACTCAAAGGCAGACAATATTGCAGATGACACAACTCTTGGAACCATTCCACCAACAATTATGTTGTTTTTAGGGATGTCATATAGGAGGGAATAACAGCAGGAAGGTTAAAGCTGGTGGAGAAACCTCCATTTGTTACAACAGATCCCTTTCTCCAGCCTCAAGTCAACATGGTTAACTTAAATTGGCCAGAACAGAAGAGAAACAAACCCGCAACAGAAGCTAGCTTTAGCAAGGGCAGAAGAGTCAGGAGGGAGGCTAGTCAGAGGCCCAAGGCAACTATCTCGGCTGGGGTAGTATTGTGCAGCAAGTGCAAGTGTGAGAGTGAGCTAGAAGTGATTATGGACAGACAGAATCAGCCCACACCTAGCGTTTTTGACAGGATTGGAACATCATACCAACAAGGCTCGGTTTCGGCTCTATCTAAAGACAGAGCTAGACAGAAGGACTATCTAAGGCCTGCTCAACGCAACAAAAGAATGGCAGAGTAGCCAAAGAAAGAGATACTAATCAGGATTCCTGGAAATGACAAACCTTTGGCAACCATCATAGAAGGCAGATGGTATTATGTTGGAAAAAGTGGCGGCAGATGGTATTATGTTGGAAAAAGCGGCAGACCAACTCTGCAGTTGACCAGAACTCAGAAGAGGAGGATTAAAAGACAATACTGCACATTCCTCAAGAACAGGGATGACACGCAGGTACTTCTAGAGACCAGTTCTTCCAAGAGAGGAAAAAATCCAGAAATAACTCCTCAGGCATAATAAACAACCCGTCAGCCACAAAAGCTGATAAAAGTATAATCTCCAGGAAGATCTTCCACCCATCTTGCCTCATCTTCAGTCAATTAGCTTGAACCTTCACAAGTACAAGGAGGATCCGAACCTATTCCAGTAGAAGGATAAGAAGATTGGACTGAAGAGTATGAAGAGGAACAATTAGACTATGAATCGTCTGCAGATGACCAGATTGGGCTCTTTGAAACAGGAGAACAAGAGGACTAGACAGAGGAATATGGGGAAGAACATATGGAATATAATGGAGAACTAGATGAGGAAACTGAGGCTTTCGGTGCAGAATTAGAAAGCCTGTTGCAGGGTGATCTAGGCATCAACATGGTTTTCATCTTACCAAAAAAGTTCAGAGCGGCAAAAGGACAAGAAAGCACTGTAGAATGAGACGTGTTTTCTCAGGAAAGCTTTGAGTGCAGGCTAGCAGAGGTAGAGGAGGTGCCAGAACAGCTAACACTTACTGCCAAGGTAGGTGAAACCATCATAAAATTGGTTGTACAACAGCTCTATTTCTCCAAACCAACCAAGGAGATGACCAATCACCTCAGACCTCTGTTCATAACAGCAAACTTTTGGGGGTATTCCTATTCCCAAAGTGATGATAAATGGAGGTGCAACTATTAATCTTTTACCCCACAGATTGCTGAGCAAGATGGGCAGAACAGAGAAGGATTTGATTCCAGCACGCTTAACTGTCACCAACTTTGCTGAGGGCATCACTAAAACTTATGGAATCTTGGATGTGGATGTTATAGTTGGAACCAAAGAGCTAAAGATTGCATTCTTTGTGGTAGACACCACTTCTACAATTTACAATGCATTACTTGGTAGGGACTGGATTCACCAAAGCTTATGTGTTCCTTCCACTCTGCATCAGCAACTAGCCCTATGGAATGAAGAGGGTTACATGGAGATAGAAGAGGCCGATCCACGACTATTTCTCCCCTCTGCCATGTGTTTTGAGGCAAGGTATTATCATGATGAACTTGGACCTTTCACTTTCCTTGAAGTCAACCAGAACGGCCGCCCCCATGGTGTCACGGCCCAGAGACTCATTGAAGATGGTTTAGCCAGTTCTCTAGAAGACTGGAAAAGACCTTTTGTTCTAAACCTCTAAAACTCTTATGTTTAGTCCCAATCAACAGGGAAAGGATCAAGCTGCAACAATCCGATCCATTACATAAATATTGTTGATATATTGGGAAGAAATGAAGCTCTTCATGCAGAATCCAGCCGTTAATATGGCAGAATTCACCAATGAGAGCACGGAAGAACAAGAAGAAGAGGGTTTACAAGAGGAAGTACTAGATTTTGCACCAACAACACTGGATGACTCTTTGCCAGAAGTGGAAGATCCATTACAGGAGATAAACTTAGGGATAGAAGAAGATCCAAGACCCATTTTCATTAGTGCGCTACTGGAAGAACTACTCAAGAGTGAAATCATTGGACTTTTACATAATTTTAGAGACTGTTTTGCTTTGCATTATCATGAGATGCCTGGATTAGACAGAAAAACTAGTGGAACACAAATTGCCAATTAAAGAGGGTTACCTTCCAGTCAAACAGGCCAGAAGAAGGATGTATATGGTCACAGAACTGAAGGTCAAGGAAGAAATAGAAAGGTTGCTCAAAGTAGGATTCATTAGGCCAGCCATTTATGCTGACTGGCTAGCCAATATTGTACTAGTTCTGAAAGGAAAAACAAGGGCAGTTAGGATCTGTGTGGATTACAGGAATCTGAATGAAGCATCTCCCAAAGATGAATATCCTATGCCAATGGCAGATTTGCTAATGGATGGAGCTGCTCATAACCAAATACTATCTTTTATGGATGGCAATGCAGGATATAATCAGATTATGGTGGTAGAAGAAGACATCCACAAGACAGCTTTGATGTGCCCAGGACATATATGTGCTTTTGAGTACACTGTAATGCCTTCTGGCTTAAGAAATGCAGGAGCCACTTATCAAAGAGCAATGAATTCTGTCTTCCAAGATATGATAGGGCATTCTCTAGAGGTATACATAGATGATGTGGTGATTAAATCCCCATACAAGGGAGATTATGTACCAAATCTAAGAAAGGCATTCCTAAGAATGAGACAACATAAGTTGAAAATGAATCCCAAAAAATGTGTTTTTGGAGTTCAGGCAGGAAATTTCTTAGGTTTCTTGGTCCACCAAAGGGGCATAGAGGCTGACAAAAATAAAGCTAAATCCATCATAGAAGCTCTACCACCTCAGAACAAGAAAGAGTTGCAGAGTCTCTTAGGAAAAATTAATTTTCTAAGGAGATTCATATCCAATTCTGCAGGAAAAATCCAGCCCTTCTCCTCTTTGCTAAGATTAAAGCAGGAATAGACATTTAAATGGGAAGAACAGCATCAACAGGCTTTTGAGGAAATCAAGAATTACCTCTCAAATCCGCCAGTTCTGTCCCCACCAAAGAGAGGCAGACCACTCAAACTCTATGTTTCTGCATCAGAAGTGTCCATTAGGAGTTTGTTAGTTCAAGATAACAAAGAAGGGAAGGAGCAGGTAGTCTACTATCTCAGCAGAACTCTGACAGAAGTAGAAAGGAAATATTCTACAATTGAAAGGCTTTGCCTAGCCTTATATTTCACTGCTGTGAAACTTAGACACTACATGCTGCCATTCATCATCTACATCATTTCCAAGATAGACTTAATCAAATACATGCTGACAAGGCCAATGTTGAGAGGCAGAATTGGAAAATGGACTCTGGCTTTGACAGAATTTGCTTTCAGATATGTTCCTCAGAAAGCTATCGAAGGACAAGCTGTAGCAGACTTCCTAGCCGATCGTCCAGGAGAAGAGATTGAAAACATGGACTCTTTGGACATAGCAAACGCAACTCTGCTGACTAGAGCTCATATTTGCCTTAACAATCATATCTATTCAGTTCACCTCACACCTTGGAAGCTATACTTTGATGGATCAAAAACTGATGTAGCTTCTGGGGCATGAATTGTTTTGGAGGAACCATTAGGGATCAGACATTGTTATTCTTTCCAATTAGATTTTTAGTGCACCAACAACAGGGCAGAATATGAGGCTTTAATCATTGGCCTAGAAATGCTGGTGGAATTAGGAATCCAATCTGTAAAATTTTGGGGGATTCTATGCTTGTGTTGAAACAGATTGCTGGAGAATACAAGTGCCTAAGTCCTTCTTTAGTTGTTTATCTAGTGGCAGCCAGAAACCTTCTAACAGAATTCAGAGAAGCTACTTGGGAGCATATCCCAAAAGAAGAAAACTTTGCAGCCAATGAATTGGCTCAGGTAGCAACAGGTATACAAATGCCTGAAGACTGTGTGCAAAGGATCATCAAGGTGGGAAAGAAAAGTCTACCATCTGTTATGACCAGAGAAATGGAGATAGATGTCAATTAATCATAATCACTCAAGATGATCGGAGAAATCCCATCATAAATTACTTGCAGTATCCAACCTTGCCTTTTTAGAAAAGAGTCAGGATCATGACTTTGAATTACCTTATATGGAATAGAGATTTGGTCCAAAAAAGCAAGGATGAGGTACTTCTAAGGTGCCTTGGAAAGAAAGAATACATTAAGGTCATGGGAGAAACTCATGAAGGGATCTGTGGAGCTCATTAAGGAGGAAGGAAAATGTGCTGGTTAATTAGAAGGTATGGCTACTTCTGGCCAACCATGATGAAGGATTGCACTGACTATTCCAAGGGGTGCGAGGCTTGTCAAAGGCATGGCCCAATCCAGCAAGCTCCTTCAGTTCCCATGAATCAAGTAGTCAAGCCATGGCCATTCAGAGGATGGGCAATGGATCTCATTGGTAAGATTTATCCAGCCAATAGCAAACAACACTGTTTTATTATTGTAGCTACAGACTATTTCACCAAATGGGTGGAAGCCAAGCCTGTTAAATCTAATACATCTCAAGAAATCATCACTTTCATAGAAGGGCAGATCATACAAAGGTTTGGCATTCCAGAATCAATCACAACCGACAAGGGATCTTCTTTCATATATGGAGAAATGCTAGATATGGCAGAAGCATTCAAGTTTAAACTACTTCAATCCACTCCTTATTATGCTCAGGCTAATGGACTGGCAGAATCAAGTAATAAGGTGATCATTAACATTATCAGGAAGATGCTTGAGAAAAATCCCAAGCAATGGCATGAGAAGTTATCAGAAACCCTGTGGGCATATAGAACTTCAAAAAGAGAGGCAACTGGCATGACCCCTTATACTCTGACTTATGACCATGATGCAATTTTGCCTATGGAAATAGCAGTCCAGTCCCTCAGAATTACACATCAACACAATCTGGTTGGAGAAGACTACTCTCAAGCCATGCTGCTAGAACTGGAAGGATTGGATACAAGTAGGATTGATACCCTCAACAAACTCTTAGCAGGAAAACAGGCTGTGTCAAGGGCTTACTACAAGAGAGTTAGAAACAAGAGTTTTGAAGAGGGAGACGCCCCTTGGAACACACATAGCTGGATATGGAAAATGGTCACTTACATGGGAAGGCCCCTTCATAATTAAGCAAATTCTCGAAATGGGGGCATACAAATTGCAGGATCGAGATGGAGACATTCATGCTGAGCCAATTAACGGCAAATGGTTGAAGAAATTCTATCCAACTATGTGGGATTCACAGGCTATACAAACATATCCTGGAATAGAGGGGGAACGAAATAAAACTGTTGTTTGAATTTTGTTTCAGAAGTACCACTTTTATTTCGCTTTTTGAGTTTATTTTTTTAATTATTTTGACAAAAGGAATTGCAAGTGCAAGAAAGAGTTCCACAAAAATAACTTTTATATTAAATATAGTCATTTCTTATGACTAAAATTTTATTACATTTGAAATCTGAAATTTGAAGTCCTAGTTTTCTAAGAGTCTTTTACAATCCGGCCTTCTTGGTAGAAATTTCTTGCTGGAGAAGCATCCTTTGGTGAAGAAAGGCCTCTGCAATCTCCAAGGTTGGCCTAGAGGCAACTACCATGTTCTGTACAAGAAAAATAGCCTTAGTCTTAGTGCCCAGTCCAGCCCCAAGCTTGTTATGCTTGCTAGCTCCAAGGCCTCTGCAATCTCCAAGAAAAGTAGCCTTAGTCTTAGGCCTCTGCAATCTCCAAGGCTAGCTAGCTGCTTATGAAGTTCTTCAATGTGCTTCTCCAGTTTATCAGCAGCGATCTTGGTTTCCTTATAGTTAGCAACCATCATGTCCAATTCCGCTTTCTATTTCTGATAGTCAGCAAGGTCAGCTTCATGAGTAGCTTTGCAGAATTCAGAAGTTTTGAACAAGGGCTGGAGATCTTCATAGCGATTGTGGAGATTTAGCACGTCTCTTACCAAGCTAAGGCTAATCTCAAGAATGGGCCTGGGAGCCACATTCTGCCCATGCAGTAGGTCTAGATCCTGCATCAGCTTATCTATGGCCTCTTTATTTTCATCCAAATCCAACTCCGTTGACTGCCATATTTTCACTCTGTCCATTGCCTCATCCACTGCTTTAGACTTGGCCTTGCCTGGAGTAAAGCTGAGCTGCTCTAGCCTGTCTAGTTGAGCATCCAGATCCTGGATTAGCAAAAGAGGCAGTAGCTGGTGAACTGGGAATATAGTGGATAGGCATCTGCAAAAAAAGATCTTTAGGAAACTCCATGCTGAGAGTTAAAAAAGAAAAAGAACACAGACAAAGTTAAGAAAGAATGAGAACTACCTCAGATGCTGGAATAGCAGCAGAATGTTCTGCCTCCACATCATCAAAAAGAGCCAATTCTGAACTGGTGGGCTCTGTTCTTTGGGCCTCTTGCTGCTTCTTTGCCAGCTCAATGCTCTTTGCTATTATTTTGGTGGGAATTTCTTCCTACAGAAAGACAGAACTCAAGTCAGAAGAAATACAATACAAAGCTAGAAAAAATGCCAAAGGAAGGGATCTCTTGTTATAAACCCACTTCTTCTTCTCCATCTTTTTTCTTTTCTTTTTCTCCTTCCAAAATCTCCTTCTCCTTCTCCTTCTCCTGTTCCACGGCCTCAAAGGCCTCTCGCAGCTCTTCATCAGTTTCTATGGTCTCAGCAGTTTCGGCTACGCAAAGAAAGGAAGTCAGAATTAAGTGCAAAACTGATCAGAAAATTGACAGAATTGAAAGTCAAAAATTATACCTAGGGGATCAAGCTGGACAACACTGTCTTGAGCCTGGGTGACTTCCTTTCTTTTGTCTTTCGGGTAGAAGGAGTTATCTCAACACTAGCTTCTGCCAAAGTCTCATAATCATCCTCCTTGTCACCAAAAGGAAGCTCCAGGTCTCCAACAGCAATAACAGAAGTAATTGCACAAGAGAGAAAAGGGTTAGCAGACAGTCCAACAAAGAAACAAGCTTAAAGGGCAGAATTCAAGAACTTACCAACTACTTCCCTAGCCTGGACACTTTGGCTCCCAAGATTGCTTGTCATAGAAGGATCTGAGATAAACGGGCAGAATAGAGTTAAGGAACTACTCAGAATGCAGAAATCCAAAACAAAGGAACAAAACTGGCAATTTTACCTTCTTCACAGCAATGTTGGCATCAGGCTCACCAAAGCTGCAAGAGTTAGTATACTAGGATGGGTAGAGGGCATCCACGTTGTTATTTATCTTGTTCATCGAACACCTGCAGTCTTTGTGCACATCCAAATCTTCTAAGTCCCTTCATGAGGTAGCACGATTGCAGCTCCTATAGGATTTGAGAGGGATGAGGTGGGGACAGCCAAGCTGCCTGGCACAGAAATTGGGGTGACACACTTCTGCCCCCAGATGATAGTTGGAAGGTTTCCCTTCACCAAAGGGCATGTCCTGGGGCAGCGCCACACTCAGAAACTTTTTTCTGAAATCAATCTTTGCCTCCTCCTCTTCTGGCTCCTTGTCGAAAAGTCTGTGTCCAGACTGGAACCAAGGGTATGATCTTCTGAGCACTACCTGCCACTGCGCAGCAGACCTCTTGGTGCAGTGCCTAAAAAACATGAGATATTCTTCAATGAAGCGCTTAGGCACCTCTGCCGACATCAAGGGGGCCGCCATGACCTGATCTTTAGGCAGAACAATGTCTGGGAATCTTAGTTCAGGAAAATAGACCTGCTGCCAGATCTGGATCATCCAGAATGTGCTAGGAGCCGAGATGTTCAGAGGACTCTATAGAGTGGCGCTGTGAAGATTCTTGTACAAGTGAGCCAGAACTGTGGAGACCTGCTGCCAGATCTGGATCATCCAGAATGTGCTAGGAGCCGAGATGTTCAGAGGACTCTATAGAGTGGCGCTGTGAAGATTCTTGTACAAGTGAGCCAGAACTGTGGGGCCAAGTCCTACATCAGCATGATTATGCAAGGCTTCTGCCAAATTCTTGTATTCCAGCAGAGGTGCCGAGAAGCGGTTGGGAAAGGCGAACCTGTTCAACCAGTATAGAAGGAACAACATGTGTTGCTGATCCTTATCCTTTTCAGTACTAAACTTCTTCAAAAAATTGGAGAAGGAACAGTTTTGGTTGATCGTGGTAACAGGAATGGTAAAGGGCTTGGCCAATCTCTGTCGATTCTTTCCTCTATGGTAGTCACCAACAGCATCAGCAAGCCTCCCATGGGGCCTGAACCCAAATATTTGAGCCAGATCTAGCAGGGTTGGACTCATGGGACCTAAACGAAAGTCGAAGGTGTTACTGGCAGAGTTCCAGAAAGACAAGGCAGCAGCCAGCAGGTTCTCGTCTCTATTGACAGAGTTCCTAGACAAAAGGATCGCGTCGTAAATCCCAGCCTTCTTCCAATAAGTTCCATGCCTTGGGAGAAGTTTGTCGATCCAATCAGACCAACTCACTGCATTGTTCCTCATTTCACTCGAAGGATATGAATGACTCAAGTTCTTACTGACCCAAGTATGAAAAGACAGAGCCGTGGGACTTTGGAGGCACAGAGGGGCCTCAACATCTTCCTTAAGCAGGTCCGCGATTTCTTCCGGCACGGAGCCAAACTAGTGAGGACCCAAGACAAGGGTGTTTTCGAACAGATGAAGAATGTTTTCATCCAAATTCTTCCACGCATATGGATGAAGCGGGCTACGGACCTCAATCGCATGTTGATCGACCCCATCTCCGGTGAGATAGGCAGGATAGTGTGAAGAAGAAAAGCTCTTGGTGCGAGTGTTTGGGGAAGACATTTTCCTTTCTCTCTTCCGAAATCAGACAAACAAAAAGGGGAATTGAAAGGAACGGAATCAAAAGAATAGAGGGTTTCGAAAGGAATAGAAAGCTGAGATAGAACTAGGGTTCGATGAAATAGTAATGAGGATTCGACAAATTTTATAAACTGGGTAGGAAGATCGTGGGAAGTTAGAAAGAAAGGAGTTTTATTTAGATTTAATTAGCCGTTAGAACCCAGTTCCCCAGGAAGTCTAAATCAAATAGGCAGACGTGCGCTAGTGCAACGACAGGAAATGGCACGCATCATTGAATGGCCAATCATTAAGTCTGAAACCGTTTTAAAACGGTTCAAACTTAAGGGGGCATTGTTTGGACCAAAAGAAATCGCATGACAGCCCACTTCTCACGAAGGCCCACAAAACAGAAAAGACGGAGGACTGGGCTTTGAGAAAGCCCAAAACCAAATAAGAAGGCCCATGATTTTTACAAAATAGCAATCAACCACTGAAGCAAGTCAGTAAAAAATTGAAAGAAAAATTATATGGGGCCTAGCTTCTGCTCACCACTGATCTCAAAACCCAGAGTGTAAAATCATCAAAGATCTTTTAGAGAGCCTATTCTCAGAACCCATGTGACTATCTGACTTGGAAAAGTCAACAAATTCAACTATCACAAAAAGTTGATTGGGAATTAAATGAAAGCAGGTCATTAGCAAAAGACTTCTTTGAAACTCTAGGGCTAAAAGGACAGTTGAATTGGAAGAAGGGCTAGGTTTCCTTTCAAAAAATACAGGGAAGTGGCTGCCATAGGAACTGACTGTTGAGGGTTTATTTGCCAGAATTGGTAAAACCCCTTTCTTTCTTTGCATTTAAAAATGAAAGACCTTTTGAGTCTTGCCGCCCATTATTAAAAGAATAAGAACTCCAGCATTTCTTATAAATAGAAGAGAGGGTGAACAGAGCAAAAACAACACACACAAAAATAATCGATCAAACAATCAAAAACTCAACCCAAGACAAGAACTCAAAATGATCACTTGATCCTTGAGAACCCCCAAACAAACTGAAGCAACCAAAAGCTCATTCAAGCCACAAAAGAAGCCAGGTATAAATCAGAACTTCCAAATTCAGACTTAGAAAAATAAGTCATTCAAAACGAGATTCCTCTCGTTACAAATTTGGTTTAGCAAAAGCCAAAACAAGCAGAGTTTGGGTTTTCATAAATATGAAAACCTCAACAAATTTATGGAGAGCCCTGACCAAGCAGAACAGGTACCATAGTGCAGTTCCAGCTCAGTAATCCTCAAGTCCAGCCACTTCTGCCCCGTTCAGACCAAAGAAGTTGTAGTTCTGCCCGTTCAAAAAGCCTTCCAGGGCTTGAAATAGATTAAAGCTCTGTCAAACTTAAACTTTGGTATTGATTTACAGCTGAAGCTTAGCAGTTGAAGTTGTTGATAGTTTAGTCTAGCACAGACATACCTAGTCCAGCCCGGATAAGAGAATTCCATACAGGCAGAAATGGAATTCCAGCTTTCTTTTTGTCTTTCTAGAGTTGATTTTTTCCTTCCTAGTTTTGTAAAAGGTAGTTCTACCTAAAATAGTCCACCTTATTATCATTTATTCTGGCCAGAACTATCAATTTTGTACTGAGATAAAATTATGAAGTCCTCACTAGTTTGAGGCAGGAAAAGAACTTACTTGGGAGATATTCCTCACCCAAATTCACAATCGCTTGTTTAGAAATCAGTAACTTGGGGCGCAAGTTATCTATTTTAAGAAGTCTGCTAGAATTGTTATTACTAGCAGTGGCACGTTCGCACACTAAAGAAAGTTGACTTGTTGACCAGTCAATGGTTTTCAAGGCAATGAGGAACTTTACCCTTCCATCACAGGAGCAAACACAAAACGGGTGAACAAACGGTATTAAAAAAGTATTTAAAAAAACAAAAGGGAGTGTAAGTAGACAAAAGAGAAGTGGGAAAAGCAGCTCCCTTTTTAACAAATTTGATCATATTGTCTAACAATGCTAAACATAGGGACCAAATTGACCAAATTTAAAAACATATGGACTAAATTTGCCAACAATCTAAAACACAGGGATCATTTTTGCATTTTAATTTTTTTTAATTTTAATCTTAATTCTTTCAAATCGTTTACTTATATTAAATACAATCATATTTAATATTAGTTTAAGCATATTAATTTATTAATTTGAATATTGAGTCAAATCATGGCTCATACCTTACCCTTTATACAATGGGTCGAACTGATCTGCTCATTGTATGGGATCGAGCTTGCCCATAATGTAGAAAAAAGGATCAGGTTCGACATGTCACCTTATATTACGGTCTCTCATGCAATACTAATTTTCAACAACAACGTCCAATTCCTTCCAAGTTATAAAGTGAATGTGGGTGAGGTGTGTTTCCATGTTTAGTGGTGTCCCCCTTTGACTTGATGGAGGAGGCCCAAATATCATCTCCTGAGGTGTCCCTAGCCCGCTCCCCACCTAAATTATGGGGTGATTTTCAAGTTCATATTCAATTTTAGAGAAATTTACGAGTACATACTCAAACTCCTAGAAATCCTACAATTTACTCCCTCCGTTAACCAAACTGTTAGTTAATCTATTAAATGTTGATGTGGCATTTGTGTGACATATTTTTAATTGACGTGGACTTTCATGTGGACAAATATATAATTAAAAATTCTCTACTTTTTAATAAAAAGTTAAAATCATATTAAAAATTAAAAATTCTCTGCTCCAAGCCCTCTACCCAGTGAACCTAGCTACTCCAGCCACCAAAACAACCACCCAAGCCACCAAAACTACCACCCATCTTCTCCACTCACATCCCCAAATAACTTACCCAGGCCAACCATCCCAGCCATACAACCCATCTTGTTCCAGCCCAACCCCCATCACCTTTCCTCCCTTCTCTCTCTCTCCTAACCAACACAGCCCAACCCTCAAATCCCCAACTGCTGCAACTTTAGGCTTCAAGAACTTGGTTGTGTTTTGAAAGTGGGCTACTGATTTTTTCAAGGGCGTGACTTTGATTCCTCCATATTAGTCCAAATGGTTGGATCATTTAATTTAATTTTTTTTTAAGGTTGCTACATTTGTTTCACAAACTGGAGTTTAACCACTTGCAGATCTGGGTATGGGGCTTGGTGGTGGGGATATGGGTGTGTTAGCATAATTGGATCAAACCAGATGTAAAAGAGAGAGAGAGAGAGAGAGAGAGAGAGAGAGGTAGATAGATTTCAGGGGAGGAGGGAAAGGGGATGGGGTTATGTGGAGAAAAGGGGTGGCGTTGGGCTGAGAGATTTCGAGGCAATCGGGAGGTGCGATGAGCAATCGGGAGGGGCGATGGGTCGTCGTCGACCTCGAAAACTAAACGACGTCGTCACGAACCCATATGCCGAATCTGACATACGTCTCTAACGACATGCAAATCTCCTCCTCAGATCTATTGGCTAGGGCTCTGGTATTGGTTGGGGCTAGGAGGAGAGGACTGAGGGAGAATGAGGTGGTGTGTGGTGGTTTGGCTAGCTGAGGTGGTTGTTTGGGCTATTGGGGGTGTTGATTTGGGTGGCTTGGGTCTTGGGTTGGCTAGCTAAGTCGGGCTAGGGGAGGGTTGGGAGGAGAGTGATGGAGAGATTTTTTTTTTCTTTTTTCTTTTTAAATTTTAATGATTTTAAAAAAAAATTTTAATTTTTTTTTAATTATTTATTTGTCTACATGGAAGTCCATGTCATTAAAAAGTAGGTCAGACAAATGCCACATCAAAATTTAATAGATTAACTAACGGTTTGACTAATGGAGAGGGAAAATTATATAGTTTCTGGGAGTTTGAGTATGTACTCGTAAATGTCTTTAACATTGGGTATGAACTTGAAAATGACCCTATAATTTAGGGGTTGTATGTAGTTTTTCCTAATTGTAATTTAGGAGTTAAATTATAATTCATAATTAGGAGTTACGTGTGGAATTAACTTTGACATTTGGAATTGTATTGGACTTAAATGTGATTTAAGGTAAAAAGGGAAAAAACCCAAATGCCTATTGGGCCCAAGAATAAGTGTTGTATGACAACACAAATTCAAGGGATCCAAGTGAGGCCCATTCCCACCTTGGCCGGCCATGGGGAGATATTTTCTCTCTCCTCTCTTGTGTGCTTTTCTATAAAAGCCACACTTTGACTCAAAACCTAGTTAGGGTTTTTGGCCTCCAAGTCTGTAGTGGGACATCCTCCTTCTCATCTTCCTTAGCTAAAAGTCAGCCCAACCAAGAGAAAGTTTAGCACCTCAAATCTCTTGGTTGACATTCTCTCCATCTCTAGTCCATTTTGGTGTGGTGAGGTAGAGGAATTCTACTTTGGATTCTTTGGTTTAAGAGCTTGAATCAAGAGGAAGTTAGAAGGCCTTTCCAACAAAGGTGATCATTCTTGGTTTTCCAAGAAAAGGCTTCAGCTTAACCTTTTTCTCTCTTTTTTCTTTTGTGCTCAAGGAGACTAGATCCAAGATACTTGGGTTTAATAGGATTAGCTTAACTAGAATAAGCAAAATAATTCCACCATTATGAATGTTTTTGTTATGTGTTACAGCTAAATTCATTTTAAAGACATGAGATGCATATTTCCCTTAGGACATTATGGGGGTGGCGACATAGGGAATTTTCGAGCTTGCCTTGCTATTATGTGTCAATGTGTAAAATACTTATATGGTTGTTTTGTTTTAAAATTCTAAGCATGAATATGAATTTTTCATGATTTTAAGATTTATGTATGAATTTTTGAAATATCCAAAAGATATGAAATGTTCATTGTGTTCTTGAGTTAATCAAAAACATATTATGACACATCCCACCAAAGTTGTACCTTTTGTTCCCTTTGTCTCTTTCTTTTTTAAATGCACCAATGAGAATGAAGATGCTTTATGGTACACAAGATGATGTCACCATTGTGATGCCATTTTCTCACCAACTTCTCAGGAACCCGCACACACACACACACACATAACCCTAGGCCAACCCACCCTAAGAGAAGACCCATTTCGGGGTCTTCATGCAATTTTCAAATTTTTGGGGTCGTTATGCAATTTCTAAAAATTACAGTTCTGCCCAAAAGTTTAATTAATTACGGTTTTGCCCCATTTCACTAAATGACAAAATGTATTCGCCTTTTTGTGAAAAACATTTATTTGTTTGAAATAAATGCTCCATTGAAGTTAAGCCCATATTATCCAATAAAAAGTTGTTTACTTTGCTTCCCAACTTAATTATCTAATTAGATTAAAGAGTTATTTGTAGTAACACCCCCTTAGGTTTTTGGCTTTTTCACAAAATACTTTGAGGTTTTGAAAATTCCACGAACACCCCCTGAGGTTTGAAATTGTTTTCACAAAACCGCTTTTCGTTGATCTTTTGTCCAAAGATTATTGATTTTATATATAAAAAAATGTCTCCAAATGACAAAGTTAGCCTTTGAAACCTCAGGGAGTGTTTGTGTAATTTCTGAAACCTCATGGGGTTTTGTGAAAAAACCGAAAACCTAAAGGGGTGTTAATGTAAATAACTCTTAGATTAAATAAATAAAGGGTGATTATGGACTTAGGGCTTATCCAATAATTGAGCTATGTGATTGGCCGCCTATTCATAAAGAATGAATGTGATTGATTAAATGAGTAGTAATCTAATTAATTAGATTATTTGGTTTGTAATTGTTCACCCGTTTTTTATCTAATTTTGTGATGGTAGGGTAAAGTTCCCCATTGGCTTGAAAATCATTGGTGGTTAACAAGTCAACTTTCTTTTTGTTGCAAGCGTGTCACTGCTAGCAGTTAAACCCCTAGCAGACTTCTAAAAAATAGATAACTTGCGCATCAAGTTACTAATTTTAAACAAGCAATTGTGAATTTAGGTGAGGAATATCTCCTAAGTAAGTTCTTTTCTTACCTCAGACTGGTGAGGACTTCACAATTTTTCACAGTACAAAAATTGGTAGTCCTGGCCAGAATAAATAAATAAAAAGCAAAATGTTTAAGCAAAACTGCCTATTACAGAACTTAAAAGAGAAATGCCAAGTATGAAAAAGACAACGGAATGTTGGAATTCGATTTCTGCATGGGTAGCTGCCTCTGAACTGGGTTGGATTGGATGTGTTTATGCTAGATTGAATGGTCAGCACCTTCAACTTATAGGTTTCAGCTGGAAATCGATACCAATGTTTGAGTTTGGCAGAGCTTTGATCTATTTCAAGCCCTGGAAGGCTTGTTGAATGGGCAAAATTGAGGCCTTTTCAGTCTAAAAGGGGCAAAAGTGGCTGGATTGATGATTACTGAGCTGGAGCTGCACTATAGTACCTGTTCTACTTGATCAAGACCTTCTATAAATTTGTTGAGTTTTTCATATTGTAAAAACTGATTCTGCTTGACTTGGCTTGTACTGAACCAAATTTGTAACGAGAGAAATCTTGCTTTGTAGAACTGCTTCTCTCAACTGAACTAAAGTCAGAGATTTGAATTCTAGCTTACTTGTTTCTTGTGGATCAAAGAGTTTTGATTGCTTCAATATCTAGAGGCTTTTTGAGATCAATTGATATTTTTTGGATTTATCAGTATGACTTTGAGAGTTTTTGTCTTGATTGATTTTTTTGGCTATCCTTTAATCTGTCCACCTCCTCTTATATTTATAGAAAATGCCAGAGTGGGGCTTTTAATCTTTTAATACTGGGCGGCAGATCTTTCAAAAAGATTTTCCCTTTTCAATGCTACAAAAGGGAAGTTATTATTTTGGCAAAGAAGAACCATCAACAGTCAGTTTTCATGGTGGTCTTTTCTTTGCTTTTTCCTAAAAGAAAACCATTCTTGTTCTCTGTTTGTTCCTTGCAAAAACACAATATGCCATGATGGTCCGTTTGCTTTTTCTGGTGAACAACTCCCTTGCTCCCTGCTTCTCTCTTGGAAATGTAACCTGCTTAGGTGCATAGCTTTTTTGCATATTGAGAGAGGAGTTGATCTTCTTTCCCTGGCTAAAAACTGGAGAAGTTCTTATGTATGACATGTCTTCATTAACTCCCTATCACTTCCTCTGTCTTAGTTGAAAATTTTGACTTTTCCAAAGTCAGAAAGTCACGTGGGGTTCTTTTGACAAAACATTGTTTAGACAAAAAATCTACTGACTTGCTTTTGGGGTTGAGACCAGATGGTGAGAGTTTTTTAGAAGTTGGGCCTTTTGATCCAAAGCTGTGTGTGTCAGATTTTAATTGCCAATAATGGTAATTATTTTTTAGACCATGGCTATATTTGTAATCTGCCTAAAAAACGGTCTAGGCTATTTCAACATTTTGGGTTGATTTCCAATTCAAATAGATACAAAGCCCAATTGGTTTTTTTTTTGTCATGGGCCTTTTAACAAAATAGGTTAGCGTGCAGAATTTTGGCCCAAACAGTAATTATTAGATATAGGCTTGCATGCTTCTTCTCCCTCTATCTCCAATGTAAATTTCCATTTCCCTCAACTATGTAACTCCCTCAAGGCCCATTGGGCTTTTGAGTTCTTCTTTTGAAATAGTTATGTAAATTAGGAAGATGGAGGCCCAAGAAGAAAAGCTGAAAGAAGGGAGATCAATTTTGTAATTATAATTTAATTGGGTCCAATGCCCACAAACCATGTATGTTCTTAACTAGTTAAATAATAAAATCAATCACCTGCCTTAGACCTGGATCTGACATCTTGGCTCGATGTTGGATCACACTAAAAGTCCATAATCATCCAAGGCCTTGTTTATAGGCCTAGTAGTTTAATTTGATTAAATGTATGTATGTTGAGAAATTAAAACCCTCAATTAACCCTAGATTAAGTAGAGAAGCAATTTGCACTTTGAATGCCTAGTCATGGCCTTCCACAATGGTGGATTCTCATTAAACATGACCCTTGCAATAAAGGCTTGCACTCAAATATGGGAGTCCCCAAAGAAAAGTACTTATGTTTAAAATGAGTCTATTTTATACATTAGATGTTGCGAATATACACAACAAATATGGCCAATATGACTCTCTCTTTATTATTTGACAATTCCCAAGAACCTATTATGGTGTGGTGAACAAGGTATAAGGAGCCTCCTATCTCACTAAGAGTTTTCAAGATAGAATACTCTAGAGTTCCGCTTTTGAGGGATTGCGGAATTAGTCAAAATAGTGGGAGGTGTCATTTGATTTAAAGACTCGGATCAATGGACTTAAAATCAATCTAATTTAAATTTGTTAAGTTATATTTATTTCAATATATCTGCAAACACGCATTCCAACATTTGACAAAGAAAGCGTGTGAGGCCTATGTTTCCCAGCTTAGTACGGCAATGTATGAGAGCTAGTCCACTTCTCACTCTTACTTAAACGTTACATGTTGAGAAGGACATTCAGGCAAGATGCTTCCTCCCGATTGAGAAGCATTACATGGACACTACTAGTGCCATAATTCCTCATGTATGCAAGTTATCCGGACGCCTCTCAATTGTCTGTAATCTTGTCAAGACCTAGATGGTCAAAAGGGCATCAATCCATCATAGACTGAGAATGATTGAGATCATTGAAAGTTGGAGAGCTTATGCACTCCACTACATGGGAAACTTGTGCAAGATTTTTTCCTTGTGTCATTGACCAAGGTGAATCACACTCTCTCCTATTGTTGAACTTGTGAATCACATTTGAAGCAAAGTCTCAAGAGAGACATTGGGAGTAGGACCATGACTATTAAAGTCAAAGGAGAAGTCAAGAAGAAGAAGGTAAAGAACTCCAAAGGAACATGTTCTCATTACGAAAGGATGGACAATGGAACGGAAATTTCTAACAGTTAGAACTTCAACTTGGACATTAGGATCCATACACTAGTTTGTAAAGGTTGCAAACTAACTAGTAAGAAGTAAAAGACTCCTTAAGGGATAGTAGTGTTTCAAGTTTGGAACACAACGATGATCTCTACAAAGAGTAGTTGGAAGCTACTTCCTTAAACATTTTACTGTTTACACCTAAAATTTTCAGCCCGGAGCCCAATAAGGATTACAACTTTCAATTACAACCTTCTTTGCACTTAGCAGACAACCGAGCCTTATCATTTTTCACCACCTTGCATTCATATGACCTTAATGGTCCATAAATTTGTACAGCCTGTTTCAAGACCTTTTTACTTGGAAATTTCATCCCAACATCGAACTGTGGGTTGTCCATATCAGTATCAATATTAAACTCTTTGTATCTACGAGTCTTTCCTTCTTCATTAGAGTTTGATGCTGAATGTAACTCATCTAAATTATATTGTTTTTTCATCCATGTTCATATCCTGAACTTGTATATCTGCCACCCAAGTGTTTTTTTTGTACTTACCACATCCGATGAAAGTCTCTAGTGTATCAACTGCATCATCATGGAAATTATCATCGTCGAGCACTGCATCAGCAAAGAAAGTAAAATGAAACACTAAAGGAAAACAAGCATAGGATCCAAACTCGAGAATACTCACCCGGGTTGATTGAGCCTCTATCAGATTTGATTCGTCTTCTTGCCATCTTTTTGCTGGCTCACGTGAATTGATTGATAAGGGAACTGATTGAATTTGATACCCCAATTCTCATGAACACATGCCACGACAGTTGTCATTTTCTCCAAGGAATAGAGTCGCGAGGGTTTTGCTTTGTGTTAAAATACCTTTATGCCCACCCACGTGCGATGCATATGTTTATTTGACAGATTGTCCTACATATTGGCTAACATATGTAAATATAGGGGCTAAATTAGCCAAATTAAAAACATAGGGACTAAATTGGCTTAATGGGTAAAACACAGGGACTATTTTGACTTTTAAGCCTTTAATAAATTCAATAATAGCCACATTTTAGGGCAAGAAGAAATCATCCCCAACAATTAATAGCTGAACCTACATAAAAATACTTAAACAAGTTTCTAAACTTTCTCTGCATCCTTATGATCATAGAGCCTATCATGCACGCACTTTTCTTATCGCACAGAGCCTATCTTGTACATTGTTTAGGAATTGGAAATATGCATCTCTCCATGTCTTTTTTAGCATTAAAGGACCACAAAATCCACCAAGTCCTACGATGAAGCCAATCACAACCGAAGTATGAACCCACAAAAGTTGGGGCTCATTCTCCATATCTTGGCTATTACGGTGCATTAGAGGACACTCATTCCGAAGAGGGGCACCACAAAGTTTCGGATTCCCTTCAAATGCAGAGACGTCAAAGCCTTGGAGCTGAGTGCTTTTTGGTATTGGCCCTTCGAGATTATTGTACGAGACATTCAAAAAGGACAAGAAATTAAGGCTCGTCAATGATGGTGGGATTTCTCCAGACAAGTGGTTCATTGAAAGATCCAATGTCTCCAACTTTTTCAGGTTGGATATTTTGTCGGGAATGTTTCCAGAGAAATTGTTGTCGTCAAGATTTAATGTACGAAGAAGGACCAATTGGCTGATCTCAGTTGGTATAATCCCATTGATGCTATTTTTGTGTAGGTGTATAGCTGGTGGAAAGAAAGAAAGGGAACTGTACTGCAAAAAGTCTGCACCACTTGCTGGTTTGACGAAGAAAGGCAATTGGAGATAAGTATGATCTACTTGAGCTGCAGTTTGTTCAGACACCAACATTGGAAATTTGCAAAGTTGCTTTGGAAGCTCACCTGAAATTCGGTTGTTGCCCAAGTTTATGTGAAAGAGGCTTGGAAAATTCCCCAACCATGTTGGAACTGAGCCTGTGAATCTATTAGAGGACAAATCCAAGACCTCTAGCTTTTTTATTTTGGATAACCATACAGGTAAGTGACCAGTGAGCTGACAACCACGGAAAGACAAAATACGAAGATTTTGGAATCCATCAACACCAACGATGCCATCACCATTTGGCATTTCTTCACCTATAAAATTGTTTGAAAGGATGAGAACCTTCAGACTTTTGCAGCCCATCAGTATATTAAGTACCCTTGTGATATTGGACAATCTGCTTGCAGAAAGCGAGAGGAAGGACAAAGATTTCAGTGAAAGAATCTCAGGCTGTATTTGTCCGTCTAAGTCATTTAAGCTCAGCCGAAGTGCTTTCAGGGACTTGCATGAGTAAAGGCTAATTGGGAAGACACCAGTGAATTGATTACTCATAAAGTCAAGTTTAGTAAGGCGACTAAGTTTGGAGAAATCAAGCATGGAGAGCTTTCCTACAAAATGGTTGAATCCGAGGTTCAATTCCCTAAGGTTTGTGCAATTCAGCAAAGACGGGGGCAGAGAACCAGTTAGATTGTTGAAATGAAGAAGAATGAGTTTCAATTTGGAGAGCTTGCCCATATTCATCGGGAGCATGCCACTGAATTGATTAACATGTAGTTCAAGGATTGTGAGGTTGGTGAGGTTGACAATTTCATCACTAATGTCTCCATGAAGCGCATTGCTAGGTAACGAGATTTCTTCAAGTGTGGTAGCATTATAGATATCTTCTGGAAGTGGTCCAGAGAGCCTATTGTAACCAGCACGAAAAACCTGTAGTTTCAAACACTTCCCTAGTCCACCAGAAATATTGCTGCTGAATTTATTGATGGAAAAATCCAACAGCCTAATCAGGGGAGAAGAATGAAGACATATAGAGGATGGGATAGAACCTGAGAAGGTGTTGTTCCTGACATTGAAACTAGTCAAATTCCTAGCTCGTCGGAAAAATGACGATGGAATCGCACCATGGAAGTTATTGTTGGACAAGTCCACCATGCGAGTGCTGGGTGGAATGAAAAGTGGTAGCTCTCCAAACAGACGGTTATAGCTCAAATCAAGGATCTCAAGACAATTTAAGGACAAGAAGAAACGGGGTTCAAGTGAACCGTAGAGTGAATTGTGAGAGAGGTTCAAAAGAGAGAGATGCGTGAGATTTTCGAGTGAGGGAAAAATACCTCCTTTGAGATTGAGCCCTGATCTGGAGGGCAAGTCCAAATCTGTGACCCAACCGTTGTGATCACAGGTGATGCCCTCCCAATGGCAACAATCAATGGAAGTCCAGTTCAAAGAAGGAGAAGACAGTGTGAGAGCTAAGGACAAGAGAGAGCTACGTTGAGTTTCATTGCATGCATAATTTGTGGACATAATGGAGGACAATAAGAGGAAGAAAAGGAGGCCACGAGCCATTTGGTGGTAAGGGATATTCTCTACTTGCATGTTTCTGTGATGTTTGTGGTATTTAGATTTCACAGGTTTGTATTTATAATGGGGAGAAGCAATGCAACTAAAAAGCATAATGTCCTTCTTTTTCTTTTGGCCTAAAAACGATACATCAATATATTGAACGACTCAGAACATCTCCTAACTAATTGAGAAAATGGAAAAAAAAAAAAAAAACACTGTAATTATATTCAGGAAAATATGTGCTTAGCTTGACAATCGACGGTATTTGGAGTCAATTAGACTTTAAAATAAGAGTTCTGGTCCTCCCATGCAGCTCTCGAGAGCCAATGAGGTCTGTATTGGAAGTCTCTCTATGACGGCTAGGAAAACTTGTAGTCTGTATCGGAAGTCTCTCTTTGACAGCTAGGAAAACTCTTGTATGGCTCTCAAGAGCTGCATGGGATGACCGGAACTCTTATTTTAAAGTCTAATTGACTCGAAAGATGTCGATTGTCAAGCTGAGCACATATTTTCCTGAATATAATTATGGTCATGGAAAATATTTCAGATATAGGATTAGACGATACAGGTCTCACCCCGCATTACCACCAGTGATCCTTTAGCTACCCTGAGTCTTCCCTTTTTAGACTCGTACCCATAGCCGGCCTCATCTAAAGTACCCAAGGAAATCAAATTCTTTCTTAGTCTAGGGACATATCTAACGTTCCCCAAAACTCGTATCATCCCATCAAACATTCTTATTTGAACAGTGCCGATTCCTTTTACAGGACATGAAGAATCGTCCCCCATTAAAACTTTCTCTCATAATCAGCGAACTTCTTGTTGAGATAGTTGACTGTCAATTAGATGCATTAATTTTTAGGTTTGAAATGCAATACATTCAAAGAGTACGAGCGAATGCTGCGTTTGGTTGAACTTTTCGTTTTTGGTTAATAGTTCAAACTACTTGGAACGTTTGATTTTTTTAATTCTCTTGTGTTGAAAAGTTGTAATTGTAAGACAGTCATTATTTACAAGCACATTGCCCTTTCACCCCACATGGAATGGGCAAATGCTAAGATGGTAATGTCCCCGTTCTCATATTGTAACTCCACAGCTTCATGCGTAGGAGGAAAGCAATACATATAACTTGATATATATGCCAACATTCTATTTTCAATATGGAAGAAATGATAGGAACTGTTAAATTTTGGGCTGTTGTCAACAAAGGACATTTCCGATCCTACAAGAAACAAAAATTTCCATATATAAAAGTTGTAGCCTGCAATACGCACATGATCATGACATGTAAAAGCCAAGCTTACAAAGTCATAAGTCGCTGCACCATTACTAGTTCTATAGTCTGCCATTGAAGTATGTTATAGACTTCGTACACCCAATTAATGAGGTCTTCGCTTCGGTTTTCTTTTGTGGTAAAATCTCTCTTCGATGTATTGGTCGGTTTGAAGAATTCAGAATATGTGGCTGTGGTTGTTTCCCACTTTATCAGTTTGTAAGCGACGTTTTGAAGTTTCATTTCAAGCTAAAATTAAAAAAAGAAATACGAATTCTTTGTCATTGGCTTTAATTGCTCCTAAGTCCTAACACTCTGATTTGCTCCAACATATAAACACAAACCTGCAGACAATCTAAATCTATCAAAAACCAGGCACATTCAAGAAGAAATTAACATGCTACTGCAGTCTGCTCACCCATTGCCTCATGGCTTCCTTTTCATCCTCTTGTTCTCTTCCATTATTTCTACAAATATTCATGCATGCAACCAAACTGAATGCAGAACCCCCATGTCCTTCTCCCCCAATACGTCTTCTCATCCTATAAATTGGGCTTCCCTTAGTTCTTTCCATTTAGTGGGCATCCCTTTTCGTCACCAAGGTCGCGCCCTCAATGGAGGAGACGCACAAGGGGACACCTCTAAAGGCGGTAATTTTCCCCCACTTAAGAAACATATTTCACCCACAATTTATACTTTAGATCAATGGAATTTGATTGCTTGGGTTTTCAAAAGTATTGGAACTGAACATGGCATCCCGACGTGACGTTATCGATTCACAAATGTAGCTTATGAGTCACCACTTGTTATAGTTTGAATGAATTGGTAACGTGTCACATGGTGTTATAACTAAACACAATTGCTCATCTTTATTTTTTTTAGGATGAAATACTTTTTGGTTACTGGGTTTTGTACGAAAATTTAATTTGGTCACTCTAAGAAAAAAATTTAGCCAAATTTGTCATTGTATTTCTCAAAGTTTACAATTTATAGACATTCACATGGTTTTATACTAATCCATTGTCTGGTTTTGTTACTTTGAGCAGGGATCATTGGAAATAGGACTTAGATTTCATGGATGCAAGCTTTTTCATTGTGGATCTCCGTTTTGGTGGCGCTCCACAATATATCACGTTACTCGGTTTCAAGAGTTTATTCGAATTGTATCTTCATATATTTTAGAATGCTCCATCAATATTTTCACAAGTTCATCTTTCTTATTCTACGTAGCCTTTACTGCAACGCCTTGCCTTTTCAGCGACACCTTCACTCTACCTATCTGCAGGCAAACGCGTGAATAAGCCTTAATGTATACATAAAAAATACATATATTAGTACCAACTTTATTTACTCCAATCTCAGCAGCCTCAGAGATTGGCCAAGAGATTATCTTGTATGCAAGTGTGCCAGTATAACACTTGAAAAAAAAATCTAATAGTTCGATGAATCAAAGATAACTTGGGCTTTACGTAATCCATCACCCAAATCAAACTACTTTTACTGCACTTGACCTCATTTGATTTTTCAGTCTCAAGGAAATGCGATGTTCTTTATAATATAATAGCTTGCAGGCATCATATATTTACAAATTAGAAACGGCCTACTGGCCAACCCAAGATGCAAGTGCAGATCTAATTCATTAACACAAAACAGGCATGTGCTAATTATCAAGAAAATCTGCTGGATCTTCATATCATAGTAGTTATTTACATTGAATCCAAAGTATATTAAAAGGCCCATAAACCCAACAAACAAAAAAAGTAAATTCAAAGGCTTAACTTGCAAGTTCTAAGCCATCACAGTTGGGGGATATACATTCAATGACAGGCCTTTGCCGCATGGGTTGATAGAATTAATAAAACTGGAGAAAACTTTACACCGCCAACCTTGCAATGCAAGGTACCTTCAGCCTCTGATAAATAGTTTCAGCGGTGCATAAAGCTGTTCCAGAACAGACTCCTTTCCAGTTCTGAGATGACACTATATTTCACATGCTTCATGTAGCTAACTCCAATTTTCTGTCACGTGGCACAAGATTTGCTTGTGTCCTCGTTGCAGCTCTGCCTGTGAACATATATGATTTACAGCCGTTTAGAGTGATTATTTGTCTTCTTGGGCATTCAAAAATCACAAGAACATGGAAAATTCATGTAGGAAAGAGGACATAATCAAGGGTTCGAGAGGGATCTAAAAAGGGGGACAGGAAAGTTGATACAAAAAAGTTTTTATATGCATCTGCGTATCATGTGGGCAGAAAGTTATTTCATTTGCATATTTGTACAAAACAGAAACAAGCACATAGTACAGGTTAATTTCTGCAATTCACAAAAAACTCAACAACAAAAAATCCACAAAAAGAGAAAACAAATCATTAAGTCAACAAAAACCGTACACATGATTATAGATAGATAGACCATATGAACTCACAAACATTTATCACTTTCCATCTCCCAAAAAGATATATTGATACATGCATGACAAGATCAGAACTGACCTTCCTCTTTCTCTGTTTTCCTCCTGTTAGACCAAAGAAGCCGAATTGGAGTTCCCAGAAACCCAGCATCTGAACGCAGTTGCTTCTCCATATAACGGCGGTACGTCTCTGGGAAAAGTTTTGCATCATTGACAAAGAACACAAATGTTGGTGGCCTTATAGCTGCCTGCAAATGAATACAAAGTAATGCACATAATTGTCATGTTCATAAAAAAAAACAAATACTGGTTTGTAGTCGATCACATGCAAGTTTGAAAGAACAGATACTGTCCTCAGGATAGGCACGCAAGGAATAAAGTTAATAGAGTCAATTTTTAGCACTGAATCATCTAAAACCTAATAGCAGTAGAAAACTGTACTTTTCCAGGTCTTAACAGATCATGCTTTCTGTTCATAACAACAAAAAATATCAAAATTTCGTTGACACTAGCATCCAAAGTTTGCGAGGGTGTCGCTTGCCAGGAGTATGATCAACAAGAATGCAAGAGATATATTAATCACCCAAAAAACATAAAATGCATCCTGCATAAAACAAGAACCTGAGTGCAGTAATAAATGCGCCCTCTTTTGCCACCTCGTGTCCTTGGTGGTGATTTAAAAGCTAGTGCCTCCTGTACAACTTGATTTACTACAGAAGTACTAAGCCTTCTTGATCTTTCTTTCTCAACTGTGCTAGCAGCAATGATAATCCTAAAACCAAAGACAATAATACCATTAATGTAGCCCACGGCCAACACATCTGCAATATGAAAACAAATTCTTGGCATATACAGAGGTTTTCTATCAAGAATAGCATACAATACTAAGACCTTAAATTCCTGGAAACTTCAAACCATTAAAATTATGCATAGGATTCTTGTGAAACTCCATTTGTAACCTGTATAGTGTTTTACTGATACGGGACACTGTATATAAGAATGTATATAACTCATAAACTGAAAACCGAAATTACAAACTGGTTTAAGCCTAAAGTCCATAGGGAATAATCCTGTTCAATTTCAGAAAGACGGGTCAGCAGCGGCCCATTACTAGCAACACCGATATTGTCCCCAACTTAACCACCTATAAAGCCTAGTAGGTGTTGGGGTATATCAGAAAAGGCCTCGGTGCTATTAGTAGTGGAAGCATTCATTATATGTTGTATTTTATTTAGTCAATTTTCCAATTGTGAGACTTTATACCCTTCAACAGAAAACTACCACCATCTGCGTTTTACATCATGCAACTTCTTTCTGTAGGGACAAGTATAGGTTATATATACAACTATGATATCATACATAATTTAGGCTGACCTATCTTAACAAGAATCTAAAGCTTAACAAACATCTATTAGAAGATGGAGCAACGTCAAACTAACTTCAAATATAACCCATCACGTCCATCATATTGACAACAAATTGAAAACTTCTTCCAGTTAAGGTGCTCCTATCATTTATCTTGTGGTGTGAATAGAGAATAAGGGTTTCTTCACGTACATGAAGTTAGGTAAAGACTGCAGTTGTTAAGCTATAAAAGAGATGATGTTAACAGAAAACATACTTGTCAACACTTTGACCAGCTATTGCAGTTGAATATACAATAGGTGCCCAACCAAGAACACGAAGCTTTTCCCTAACATCCTGCTCATAGTATGTTGCAGTCTGCTGGTTTTTATTCGGTATGGTATCCCATTTGTTTACAACTATCAGGCAGCCTTTACCTTCTCTTTCTATCCTTTCAGCAATCTTGCAATCCTAAGAGATATACAAGAAATATACATGTGGAAAAGAAAACATCTCATTAATCAAAATTCCAAGATGCCATTGCTTGAAGAAATTTCGAGATGCATATTATACGATCAAAGCTTAAAAAAATGTCTTGGAAGAAAAAAAAACGCTAAGTTTTCCCTATTACTCATTCTTCTATGAGTTATTAGATAATAAACTATAAACTAAATACTAGAAATATGAATATCTTTAGCATCAAAGAGCTTTCATAAGAACTGGACCAAATATATATATAGTTGAAAGTTTTCTAAAACATGACAACTTTTTTTGCTATCTTTTCAGTGAAGTATATCCAAATTGAATAGCCCGAAAACTATCTGACCACTAATCCTTGTGTCTTAATTATTTTTCATTTCAAAAAGAGATTTGTCCTTGTTTAAGGGTACATAATTTGAAACTAAACAAATGGCTCACATTCAGGGAAAGACATTATCGCAAAATTTTGTTCATTGAAACTTATTTTAAAACCTGAAAGATAAAACTGGAAAACTAACAGATGCCAACAAGACACACAAAACACTCAATTTTGCTTGTTAAGCATTTCAAGAAAACCATAACTTCCAAACGTACAATAGACACTCTATTTCTGTTCATATTGGCATGAATGAGACTGACTTTCAAGTCTGCAAGGACCTGTTAGGGTATGGAGAGGAATGTTAGGCCGTTTACACTATATTGTGTTTTAAATATTATTAAAAGAAACAACGAAAGTCAAGAAATCTAGAACATGGAGGAAAAGATAAATAATTAACATACAACCAAAACACCCATAAAGTTATATCATGACTTATTTTAAGAAGTTTCTCTGCATTAACTCATATTGTAAATTTTTTTTTCTTTTTGCTTGTGATAACATTTTCTGTTTAGCTTATATGTGATACTATTTTGTGTTTATATAAAAATTCATGTAATACATATAGAGACGTACATTTATATACTTATATATATGTCCTATCCAATAAGAGAGTTTTTCTCTTAAATGGACGTCCGGATTGTTTAGCATGTGGACCCCAATGTTTGCACCTGTGTTTCATTATAAAAAATGATTTCAAGATGTATACTTCCACAGCACCGACTGGATGTTTTTATATAGTAGTGTAGTGGCTTGATTTGGCAGCATATATGATGCAGGGACATGCTGAAGAATCATTGGGATCCGAATACTAAACAATCTGGACACCTGGATAAGAGAAAGACTCTTTAATAGGAATCAGAACTATTCATTATATTCAAGCTTTTAAAAAGGGAGCTGATTTTCCCACTCCTCTTTTGTCCACTTACACTCCCTTTTTTGTTATAGTAAAAAGTAATAAAAAACAAAAGGGAGTGTAAGTGGACAAAAGGGGAGTGGGAAAATCAGCACCCTTAAAAAATCCAACCTAGTTTGTTTTACCCTGCACACATGAAGGCAGAAAACTGTGGGCATGTTCTTCAGATCTTTATAGAAAGGATAACTCAAAAAGAATGTTACCTGTTCTGTGATACAAGCCAGGGCCTCAATTACAAGAGCCACAACATCAGAACGACGAATGGCACGAAATGCTCGATTTACCGATAAAGCCTCTGTCATGCTACCTGATGAAGCAACGACTGCTCTTCTTCTGATTCCTGCAGTATCAATTAGCTGGAACTTCTGCAAAACCAAAAAAAAAAATAGTAGAATGATATAAAGGATTACTGATCTAACAGTTGTCCACTAATATCATAAGCTAGCAAAAGCTATAGGATCCCATCTAAGACATACGGCATATGAGTAGACCTGAACCAAACTATTGCTTGTTCGAGCTCGGCTTATACTTGAACTTGCCTAAACAGCCTCAGGATTTGCCTCAAGGAAACTTCCCAGGCTTGATGATGCAGAACCAATAGGAGAAGGAGAAAGAGATAGAAGAAGAGAAAGATAAGGGAAAGGAAGTTAAGAGGAGAAGAGCAATAGCCAGGCAAATAGGATTTGAATATTTCATAAGTCAATTATATTAACAAAGAGTCAGACCCTAGCCCACCTTTCTACCTAAACTAATAGAAAATCTCCATGTGTCTATAACAAACAGAATAAAAGCCAGGATAGAAGCACACACAAACAGAGAGAAGAAAATAAACGATCAAACTTAAGCAATTTGATCTTGAACAATTTCCAAGTGGCACAGTTCTTTTCTAAGCCCAATTCCAAGATTCAGTCGATAAAATCGGCACTTGAATTTCAATTTTGGTAAAAGATGAATAGTGGAAAGTAAGAATTGCTAGAGGTAAATGAACTTCTTAGGCTAGACATGATGGTTTTGTCTCAAGATACAAGTTTACCATCAAACTTTTAATAATCATTAATTTCACTAGAAATTCTCTTCGTATTCCTAGGCAGAATTCTACATAGAGGAAATTTTTATAAAAGCTCCATTTAAAGAGCGGATGAATACTATTGTGAAAAGCACCTGATCTGAAGTGCTTTTTATGATTCTTCAGTTTCATACTAATAACACAGTAGATTCGCGTAGAACATTTTGTGTAATAACTGCCAGCAATATGTGGTATAATAGAATAGAATGTATAACTGTAATCCAATCAAACCTGTCCATCTGGTCCAATAAATTCAATATCAATTGCATCACGGGTAGTTCCACTGACTGGGCTAACAATTGTCCTGTCCTCCCCAACCAATGCATTCAAAATGCTACTTTTACCAACATTTGGTCGGCCAACAATCGCAATTGCAGGAACATAATCTTCTTGTTCAGCAAAATCTTCTGGGTCCTATATATATAAGCATAGAAAAATGTCATAAAGAAATGACAAAATTCATAGAACAGGGCAACAACATGCTATGTTGGGCTTAAGAAATTACTAGAAGCACCAGATTTTTATACTAAGGACTAAGAAGCATGGAGAGATTCTAATATTGAACTGAAAGTTCACTAACAAGCTCAAAATGAACAGCTTTCTTCCCAAAAGTGCTACTTCAAAAGTGAGTAACAGATGGCAAAGTTAAGCCAATTGCCAATTAAACTCCAGTATTCAACAAAAGGGAGTTAAATTTGAAGACTGATATAACCTAAATAAAATTCTGTGAATACAAACCTCAATATTTTTCAGCCCTGAACACACAAGATCAAGAAGCTCTCCAGTTCCAGTTCCAGATATAGCAGATATAGGAAGTGGTGAAAACCTGGTCAACCAACCAAAAAGCATTATGTACATTAACACAAGGATACTACATTTTTATGTATCCACTAGATCCAAAACTTAAAATGTGCCTATGTGTACCATCATTGTGGATTGTAAGTATTAACACTAATGAAAAGAACCAACCCTAATGAGAAACTCAGACATTATATCCTCCCCAAGTATCAGATTTCGGAAATCAATTTTAAGCTAAGCTAAGTATTGTTAATGCCAAGCTAAAAACAGACAAAAATTTATCTCACCCTAACGACCAAAACTCTGATGCTTGCATGATCCCCTTACGTGGAGATTCACACTTGTTAACTGCAAGAATGATGTACTTATCTGAGTAGTTCTTACGTAGCCAATCTGAAATTTCCTCATCTGCTGCAGTTAGACCTGCCTGTTTATCACTGTCAATACTATATACAGTTATCTTTACAATTCTAAACCCAGGCACCTTTTTCATCAAAGTATTTGCTAATATAAAACCTCCAAATATGCACTTTTATGAACTCATATCATTTATCCACATGGTTGTCATAATTGAAAATTCGTGTCACAATAAGATGGCTATTATTGTAAATCAATTGGAAACAAATCTTTTCGGAAATTATGGAATCATACTACTCCACCTCATGACCAGTTTTTGACAACTTCTATTATTCTTGGTAGTATTCCATTTTATCTTAGAAGAAACACAAACTTTATTTTTCTTAAAGACCTGGAAGAAAAGTATTAGTAGCATGGACAAGAATCTGTCAAACCAGATTGATACCACTCAGCAAAAACACATCACATTCAATTCAAAAGTCCCGCCAATCAAATGAACTGCCCTAAAAGAAATATTTCTAAAATGCTTTTACAAAGATGCGCAACACAAAGCTAAAAATTTAATGCTATCTGAAATTAGATGCAGTTCATCCACCTTACCATCATAAACTTATATGTGTTTCAATATTGTGTACACTTATACTATTGTACAATTTCAGTGATACAATTTTGTTTAATATTTCTAATATTTAACATATGTTTTTCGACTTTGAAAGTTTTGAAAAGATCAGTATCACTACCTAATATTTGAATATGATTACGGTTATCACTTCGAAGGTATTTATGTAATTATTTTTCATTCATTAATATGGCCCGTTGCAAGTATATAAATATGCGTGTATATATAGTATATGTTCTTATTATTTAATAGTACCCTCTCCAAAAGTGTATAGATAACTTTGGGGCTAACACTAAATTTTTAATAACTTTCCAAATCAATTTGGGCCTAAGAAATTTTGCTTTAATATGTTTTATTGGGCCACCAAAACAATACATAGACGCAGCATGACTAATGTTATGCAACATTTGCATCTTCAGAAAACCAATAATGTATAAGCATATTGCAGGCTAGAAGCTCATATTTTCCTTACACATACCAGCCTGAAGCAGGCAAAAGAGGCACATTGCAGTGGTCCCACAAGTATTTACCAAAAACTATACCTTGCCATCAACAAGGAATATAATGACAGATGATTCTTCAACAGCTGCAGTAGCTTGCTTCTCTATCATCGAAGGCATCCTGGCAACAGCTGCCTCCCTGGAGGCAAGTGGAATTCCGTCCATACCAATGGTTGTTGAAATAGCTAACTCTTCCATGACACTAGCCTGGCACTTCGAAACTGTAAGAACACCACCAGTATCCACCACCATAAATTCATGATCTCCCCAAAAGGACCTACCATAAAGGCGATCCCTAGTAACCCCAGGTTCATCAACTACAATTGCATTGTTCCCCTGCAATACATAAAATGAATAAAAATATAAAGAAACAAAGAAGAAGTCAACTTACGAATTAAAAGCATTGATATAGTTACATTTGGAAGCTTGAAATTGTATATTCAGTATCAAAACATATTGAAACTAAACAGAAAACATAAGACCAGATTACCGAGACAAGGCGATTAAATAATGCTGATTTACCAACATTCGGTCTTCCAACAATTGCTACCCTTGGAAGAAGATGGTCAGGGATCTGCAAATGAAATTTGAATGGTTTAGTGACTATGAATCTTCTCTATTTTTCCTTCACTCAAAACAAAAAAAAAGAGCCCCAAACTTACATTATTTGAAAAGAACAGTCTGTTTGCATTATAGAAATCAACAAAACACTTGGCAAAAACCACAAAAAAGGAAAGAAAAACAGTAAAAATGCTCCACAATTATAAGATAAACAGAATTGAGGAAATATGCAAAGACCGCACACTTCAAAGAACAACAAGTGCAGTATTTTTTAGGAATTGCCACCAATTTATGATTCTAGTTATGATTTGCAATCTACAACATAGCATTTTTATCAATTCCTAAGATCAAGGGCCTGAGGTCCTAAGTGGTAAAGAAAACGATAACCACTATAATATGAAGATCTTGAATTCATTACATTAGTCTTGGTCATGCATGGAGATCATGGGCGCGCCCCAAGCATCTGTTATAAGTTTCAACCAACAGTAATCTCTTTCTTACCATCCCTTATAATGATTTTAATTTTTCTAAAGAACTCAAAAAGCACAATTACGCTTTAACTGAATGTAAATGAATTCAAGATCTTCATTATCCTCAGACATAACTCTCACTACTTTCTCATAAAAACTATGAAAATGACCATGATAAGAAGCTTACTTACACTTTTAACTGTACTTTTCTGCCTCCTCTGCTTTCGACTAACTTTCTCTTGGTCATCCTTCTCATCTTCTGAAAGCATCAGATGACGGATATGTAGTCATCATACACAAGCAAATGACAAAGGACACATTGATAACTTGGTCGTCAATAATGCCCAAACAAAATGGGCAACAAAACTAAAGTTAAATTATTTTATCAAATGTGGAAAAACCTGAAGGAAAATCCTTTCAAATGAAAAATAAACGTTGAAAAAGTTAATGCAACCTTATTTCTTTTTGAATTTTTTGGAAAAGGTCAGCAGCTTTCAGAATAGTTGGGTGAAATTATGAACAGGTTCGTCAGATACAAACAAAATCGGCTATTTCCCCCAACTTTAATTACAATTCACTTTCCAAGAATACCATACCAAGCATCAAAACGATAGTCTAAGGGGCAAATTACAGGCAGAGACAAACGTACCGATTCTGAGCTGGCTGGACAAGGTGGAAGAGAACTCTTGAACCACGTATCGAGCGTCTTCTTCGAGGTCATCGGCGTCGACCGTTAATAAATCGTCTCCGCCGTCCGACTCATCCACGAGCTCTCCCACTTCTTCTTCCTCTTCTTCTTCTCCGTCTTCTTCTTGGTCATCTGTTATGGAGATATTGAAATCTTTGGTGGAGAGGCGGGAAAGGAAGCGAGGAAGAGAGGGAAGGCAAGTGTGGAGGGAAAGCGGCGGAGCGCGAGGGATGGGAGAAGATAGAGATTTGGGGATTTGAAATGGGAAAGAGAGAAGAGAAAGTGTTTTGGAGAGAGTGGGAGAAGCCGTGATTCCTCTGTAGCACAAGAGCTCTGTCATCGGAGCTGCCATTGTCTGTGTAAAAGGCTTTTTGAGTTTTCTGGGTGGTAGTTTATCCACTTCCGCGCCTGGCTTGGTGGGGTTTATGCTTTTATTATAATTTTCAAATTTTCTGCTAAAATTATTCGACCAAAGTTAATCATTTTTTGTCCTCCAGTTTACCAATGTTTCCACTTTCGTCCCTGTAATTTCGATTTTGTCAGTTTTACTATTTAATTTTTAATATACCCCTTGTGGTTTATCATAAATCTCACTTTACCTCTTAAAATTTAAAAAGGATCGCTATTTCCCGTGCTCACTTTTTATGTGTCCTACATTACATTAATTCGTCAATTTCATAACGAGAGGCATTAAGTTTGCTTAGGTGGAATGGTTAGTTTAATAATTTCATCCACATGGATAGGTGTAGGTTAAGATATGAGGTGGCATTTTGTGGGACCCCTCATCAGATTGAGGGTTATAACTCGAAATTGAGTATATGGGGTTGTGCAGTCAAGTTAGAAAACTTGCAATGGAAGGGCTTGCCCAGGCAAAAGGCCCTCTAGCCTCCCAAAACCCATCATAACGGTGCAAAACTGCCCGGCAACAATGGGCCATACCTAAGCCTAGGCAAGCCCAAAGGCAACACTTGCATGGGCAAGCTGACGTCAACAGTCAATTTAAATACCAAAAAATTTAAATAAATTAAAAAAGAAAAATACAAAAAAGTTTAAAATGATTTTTATAAATACCTAGCAATGTTCTTCACTTCCCACATCAAAACTTCATACAAATTCATCTCTTCATATCTCATGTAAATAGTAATTGCCCTTGGGTTGCCATGGCAATGGATGGGAATGCATAAAAAAAATTGTTATGGCAGACACTATTCACGTGGCCATGGCAAATGGGTGGAAGTGCTCTTAGGATTAAAAAAAAATTGGGGATCGAGTGCAAAATATTAAAGCATGCGAATTTGGGAATCTCATCTACAGTTTTAAAATACTCGAAATTAGAGCGGGGAAGCTTTGAATGGGGTAGTTAGCGTAGGGTTTTTGTGTTTGAGATTAGGGGCAAGAATCATTGAATATTGATTAGTGTTGGACTTTAAGGCTGCAGATTGAGTTGGTGTGACCATGACTGTGCTTAGAGAAGTTGGAGTTGTTCAACCCGTGTGTAAATGGACCATATCTTCACTACTTTGTCAGATTTTTGTATTGTGCTTTTGGATGCTTGTTATTGTATTACTATAGTTTTTGCTTTTAACTATTTTGTGGTCCTTTTGTTGTTACTGGTCCTTTTTTTTCTTTTTTCTTTGGTCCTTCTATTGTTTGCCATGTTTGTGTAAATAGGCATGGTTTTATGTCTTTATTTAGTGTGTAGTTTTGTCGTTATTCTATTGACTAAAGTAGTTAAGGCACTATATTAATTTAGGCTTGGTATGCACTGGCAGACCCAGGAATTTTTCAACGGAGGTGCAATTTTTAAAAGCTAAGAGCTCAACCAAAAAAACAAACAAACAAACAAAAAAAAAAAAAGGAAAAAGGGAAGACAACTAAACATCCTTATCATTTAAAAAATACTAATGTTATTCATAATTAATTAAAAAAATAACATTACAATTAACCTACAATTGTTGCCGACGAGGTTTCATATCATGAAAACGTCGCATTATATTTTTATTACTAATACAAGAAAAAACATATTTCTCAATGTAAACAACTAAGCTATCACTCAACCATTGATTCCCCATTTTGTTACGCAATGGTGTTTTCACAATATTCGTAGCTGAAAAAGCTCTCTCAACCGAAGCAGTTGCAACGGGTAAAACTAAAGCCAATGTAAGAAGTAAATACACATAGTTGTATATTCTACTCCTTCCTGTATTCACAAATTTTTCTACCAGATTAGTAATTCTGTTCAATGATGAAAACTTTGTGCTGCTCTGCATATCAACAATATAAAGCCCAAGTTAATCTTCAAGCTTCATGAGGTCTCGGTCATTAAATTCTTGAGGGTAAAATTTAGCAAAATGAAGTATTTTTTGTTTGTCAAAAGCTGCAAAATTATAAGCCGGACTCAAACATGCCATACAAAGAAGCAATTCAGTATTTACCTCAGTGAAGCGATTATTCAATTCCACTAGTTGCTTATCAATGATAGTAAGAAATAGGTCCACGCGATAATAATGGCGGTTTGTGATTTTCTGAGCTTTACGTCTTGATCTCCCTTGTGGTACAAATAAATCATCCATGTTAGGAACATCAATATCATTGTTGCCACAAAATATTGATACTTCGCGAAGCAAATCATCAAAATCATCATCCCTCAAGGATTGTAGCTTTTGCTTACATCTTTGGACCAACATCATCGCATTCACAATATCTTGATCTTTCTTTTGTAATGCATTTGACAAATCATTTGTGATTCCCAATATAAATCTCATCAAATATAGGTGAAACACAAAGTCAAAAGTTTGTATTTCTTTCAACAACCTATTTGCTTCACCTAAATTATCTTGGTTGACATCATAAACAATCCATTCAAGCACCTTCACCACGGGATGAAACATAGTATTAATACTAAGTAAAGTATCATAATGTGAGTTCCAACGTGTATCACAAGGACGTTTGAGAGTATTTTCTTGATTTAACCCTCGCCCCGTTTCAAGATCATCAATTTCAAGAGCTTTCATAATATCTTTTTGTTGTTGCTCTCTAAGTGCATCACGATGCTTCAATAATATTAACGACACTACTAGCCGTTGTGAAGAAAGTAGCAATGTTTTCATTTCCCTTTGCCACGACTACAAGAGCTAGTTGTAGTTGATGTGCAAAACAATGGACATAATATGCTTGAGGATATTCTCTCAAAATTTGTGTTTTAAGACCATTGAGCTCACCTCTCATATTACTAGCGTCATCATACCCCTATCCTCGTAGCCTGGACATGCTCAAATTTGTTGAAGAAATCAACTGCTCAATTGCCTCTTTCAATTTGCTACTAGTAGTATTAGAGACATATTGGACACCCACAAACCTTTCAATTACTTGCCCTTTTTTGTTCACATAACGTAACACCACCGCCATTTGTTTTCTTATTGAAATATCACGTGATTCATCTACCAATATAGAAAAGAATGCATCACCCATATCACTAATAATTGCATCAATGGTTTCAGCGGCACAAGAACTGACAAGTTCTTTTTGAATTTTAGGAGCAATATACTTGAGATTCCTTGGAGTGTTCTCAAACACAACCGCATGAACTTTCTCATCATGATCGGCAAGAAATTGCAAAAGCTCCACATAATTACTCTTATTACTAGATGTTTCGCTTTCATCATGACCACGAAAAGGAAGACCTTGTTGCAATAAATATCTAGTGCAATCAAGTATGGCAGTTAATAGAATGCGATAATTACTACAGGCTTGGTATGTCTGCTTGATCACAATGGTTTCAACGTGTTGCTTCTGATTCATTAAATATGTACAATGTTGTGTAGCTTTATTGTGAAGACTTCCAACTTGTCCAACATGGTCCCTAAAATTCTCAGGTCCCTTCCTCCAATTTTTAAACCCTTTCTCAGTGAAGACATCGCTTCCAGCCTTTCCTTGTCGCATTTAAAAAGATAACAATGAAGACAAAATGCAGCATCTTTTTCTTTACTATACTCCAACCAAACAAATGAATCAAACCATTTCACAAGAAAACGTCGATTACTCTCCCCCATAAGTGTTTGAGGGCCTCTTTGCAGATAGGCTCTTCGGATTTGTTCTCGAAAATTGGGATTATAATAAGTCATTGGAGGTCTAAGTCCAGGGTCTGTAGGAAGATTAGCCAATATTTCATCCAACTCAATGACCTCCGATCATTTTGGACAACTCGAATTATTCAAGGGAAGATGTGAAGTATGTGGATTATTTGAAGGATGATTTGAACTAGCCGGATTATTTGAAGGAGGATTGGAACTAGCCGGATTATTTGAAGGAGGGTTGGAACTAGACGGATTATTTGAAGGAGGATTTAAACTTTTTCTCTGAAAGTACCGTTCTATAACTGTACAATTAAAACAAAATAAGGGTTTTATATCTCTTACTATGACTTGACTATAATTTATCAAATAAATAAATAAATAATTATCAAATTATCAATTAAATAAACAAATAAAAATTAATTATACCTCGAATAACGTGTCACGTAGCCTCTTCCTCCTCGAGTTTGCTGCTAATTTTACTAATATAGAGAGAGCTAAATAAGAAAAAAAAATTATTAAAAAAAGAATAAACAAAATTGGCATTTGCTCAAGAAAAAAAAATACAAATTTATAAATAAACCCAATTCTAGACATGTATTTATAGAAAAACCCAAGCACTATTTAAACATAGAAATACACCCAAAATCAACTCCAAAGTCAACTTTTTGGGTGTGTTTATAAATGGGTTTTGAGTGTATGTAATGATGGGTTTTGGGTGTGTTTATATGTTTAAATAGTACTTGGGTTTTTTATAATTCCAGACCCCATTTTGGGTGTTTTAGTGAAACTCCCAAAAAAAAAGCATTCGACTTACTTTGGATTGGTGTACTCAAGAACGAAAAAAAAACGCACGATTCTTGTGAGGCACACACACACTTTGATTAAATTGGGTGATGTTATTGGTCTTTTATGAGAATTCCCAATTCTATTTAATTAAGGAATTCCCAATTCTACTTAATTAAGGAATTCCCAAAACCCAATTGAATAAAGAAAACTCCTAATTAAAACCCAATTAAGTAAGGAAATAGAAGCCCTTTTGAAAAGCCCACAAAAGCCCACGTGATACAATCATACAGAGCAGTAGTTTCCCTGTTTTTTCTTTCTTTTTTTTAATTTAAAAACCCTGGTCCAAAACGACATCGTTTTGGCCAGGTTTTACACACACAAAAAAAAAAAGCTGCGCATTTTAAAAGCATGGTCCAAAACGACGTCGTTTTGGCCAGGCTTCGTTGAAAAAAAGGAAGCGCGCATCAGCAGCTGCCCAACCCCCAGATGGGTTTGCACATTTCATCGAACACATTGTGTGCATCGCTGGTCTGAAGCAGAGGTGCAACTCCAGCATCTGTAATGGATATTTTCGGCGACCGGAGGTGCAGGCGCACCTTCTTGCGCCTGCACAAGTCCGCCACTGTTGGTATGTGGTAGATGAAAAAACAAATGACCTTGTGATATTTAATTTCTGTCATGGAGGTAAGCTAGTTAAAAAAGGCTCGGGTGAGAGAGCATGGTCTTACTTGGGTGATTCAATGAGTTGGTTTGACTACACAGAGTCTGAGTATATGTCCATGTTAGAGTTGTGGGCTATGGCTAAAGATATTGGTTATGAGGATGGTGTGACTTTTTATGGTGAAGAGGTTGGGATTGGGAAACTAATTGAAATCAAAACATATGGAAATATATTATACAATATGAATGGATTTCCTAATAAGAAGAGGATGAAAAAAAAACCTGCAAAATAGAAGCACTTTATCATAGTTCTTCCACCCTTGAAGATGATGTTTCAATTGAAATGGTTTTAGGAATATTTGAATGGATATTGTTGTGTCCGAATTCAACTGCACCAAAATTGATTCAACTGCATCCTCAACTTGTGATACTCGCAAGTGCACGAATTGTGAGTAGTATAGCATGTGTAAGTACGAGGTTGATCGCAATGATTGATAATAGATTGATTTAATTTGATTCCCTGCACAAAATAGAAATTGAATCAAAGTTTAAAGATTATTGCAAAGCATGTATACTAGGGAACAATCCAATTCTAAGTTTCAAGCAATCAAGTTAACAAGTTTAATTCAAGTAAAAAGATTGATTCTCTCTAATGTATAATCTAGCCATGGTGTCTAGTCTAAACCTTGTATTCCTAATTCCCTAATTAGATCATTGTTGTCAAACCTAAAGTAAGCATTAGAAATCCATTAAGTATAGGAGAACGTTTTAAACAACCAAGCATGTATCTAATCCCTATTGTCGAATGTCCATACATACTCTTTTTATTCATAGTTCAATTGAAATTAAAGCATATGATGTCTACTCTTAATTCCAACCAAGATAGCTAACATACAAGTTTAAATGGTGATTAAACATTCAAACAAGCATATTAACTATTAAGCATAATGAATAATGTTAACGCATGATTTGACCTCACTTGGGTGGGCCTCTAATGGGCTGCCACGTTGGCAGGCCCAAGGATAGAAGTCGGTTGTTGTTCTCCCACAAAAGGGACTCTCTCCTTTTGCTGAGGGGGGACCAAAAAGAAAGACATTAAACCAAGAGAAGAGTGCACTTGGCAACTCTCTCTCCTTTCCTCTAGATTTCTCCCCTTTCCCATCTGTAAAGGCTCTCAAGCCTATCCCAATATATACACATATATACAAATACAACAACCAGTGGATGTAGCCCGAATTCATGGGTGAACCACTTAATCTCTTTATTCTACTTGTATGATTGTGATACTACGGTTATCCCAAAATTACGAGTATAACTTTTGGCGCCGTCTGTGGGAAACGTGGCAAAGATCCATGTCGTTCTCACCATTTTGTTATTGACCGTGAAACACCTTAAGCAACCAAGAGGCCCCTCATCTCTTGGTCTGAACAAGGCCTGTGACACATGAAGAATGCCTTTCTCTATCACGACACACCTAACATGTTGCTCCAACCAAGCAACTATGAAGACACCCAGGTGTCTCCTCTGCCAAAACTTTTCAAGACACCCATTATGTCTTCATCTACCTTCTATCTTCTATTTCACAACCTCAGAGCATGGGGCAGCCAAGCTAGGTGCTCGCCTGCAAATTTCCAACGACCACCTCATCCATTTGTCTAAGCATGATCGGTACCATGTGCCTTCCACCTCCTCAATTTCATGCTCCTTTGTGCTAGGTCTGAGACCATTCGAAGAAGATAAGAAATATCTTCTCTCATTTGGTGATGTTACAATAAAATAATATGCAAACATAAATATCTAGGTATAATATCTCAACTTTATATCTATGATGGGTTGTCATAACATAATATCTTATTATATTATATTGTTATTATGTGTCGACACATGAACCAAATTATGACCACCTTACATGGTTGCTTGCCACTTTACATGGCAGACCCGACCATCGTGATTAACAAGCAACAGAACCAAATTATGACCAAATTATGACCAAATTATGACCACTTTACATGATTAACAAGCAACAGAAAGTAAGAAGTTTTCGAACTGTCAAAGTCGCCAACTAGGTCCCATGGATGCCGACCAGACCTCATCATTGTTGTCGACCTGATCTTGTCGCTACCGACCAAACCTTACTACTATTGTCGACCTCACCCACTTAACCTCAGGAAAATGTGGTAGCTAGGTTGGGTCATCTCTTAACCAAATATTTGCTCAAGGCACCCGTGCCCTCTTTTCTCTCAAAGAGACCAAGAATCTTTCCCCTTGCTCCGATAGAAAGCAAGAGCAGCAAGTGAAATGAGAAAAAGGTGGAAATGGCTCGGCTCAGCCCCTAGCCACCCAATGTAGCGACCATGTGGGCTCGGCTCCACCGACCACCCAGATTCACCTGTGGCTCATCTGTTCATTCCGGCGAGGTCCCACCACTGCGTCGACTAGCACCATATCAACGAACACCATGTTAAGAGACAACACGTTGCCCAACACAAAATGGCAGAGCATCACCCCATTATTCCTAGATGAGCAGACCACTGTAGTCTACAACGACCACTTAATTTGAAATGCTGCTGGACTCGGGGGCTCATATCTACAAATACAAACACCCAGTCAGCAACGACATCTCCATTGTCTAAACATGCACAGTTCTATGTGCTTTGTTTAAGGCCACCCAAAGCGATAAGAAAAACTTTATCTCATATCTACAGGTTTGAAATATTATACATTTAATATCATATTATCAATATTATTATGCACCATGTGATAAAATCTTAAATGGAATAATTATTATTAATTATAATCCCAATGAGTAATACTCATATGGGATCACATAAGGCTGAGACCATTTCGGGTAGCCTACCTATTATACTACTTGCCAGCATTTGTGAGATAGCATGGACTCTTGTGCTCAGCTCTGCGAGAGAGTTCTCCCATGCATGCTAGAATTATTCTTGCACCACCAATACATGTACTGCTCGGCACCTAAGTTGCAATGGTATGTACTTGATATAATTATACTTGCCACTGCTTAATGGTAATACGTGCCTATGTGATTATGTTTTCACGAACTCCATAGTACTCTACTCATTTTTTATGACATTATGCCATATGCACTGTCCCAACACTTGGCTAAGCACAAACATTCTCTATAGTGCTACCACATCGCCAAAAAACTAAGTCCACAAAGGGGTACCTCACCAACAAAAGATATTCGCCCATAAAATGGGTTCTCCACTATCAATATCACAGGTTCAAAATGACATCGAGACCAAGACGGCTCGAACAACATCGAGAACGAGACAGCTCGAACGACATCGAGACCGGGACTGCTCGAACTACATCGAGACCGAGATGGCTTGGCTTGGCCTTATTATATCTTCATAGCCTTATTATGTGTTCGGCTCGGTCTTATTTTCTCCGTACATGTGCTCAGCTCGGCCTTATTATATCTTCATAGCCTTATTATGTGTTTGGCTCAGCTTTATTATCTCCATATGTGTGCTCGGCTCAGCACCCTCTCGACCTTGTACCACCATAGTCAAAGCAGGATAAGGAAAATTATATCTTCATATATGTGCTCGGCTTGGCCTCACTAACTCCGACAAACTGTTCAGCTTGGCCAAACCCTTCTATGGACTTGTGAAGTCCCCAGCCAAAGAAGCTACTATTATACTGAGGACTGGGGGGCTTATTAACGCATGGTTTGACCTCACTTGGGTGGGCCTCTAATGGGGCTGCCACGTCGGCAAGCCCAAGGATAGAAGTCGATTGTTGTTCTCCTACAAAAGGGACTCTTTCCTTTTGCTGAGGGGGGACCAAAAAGAAAGACACTGAACCAAGAGAAGAGTGCACTCGACAACTCTCTCTCCTTTCCTCCAGATTTCTCCCCTCTCCCATCTGTAAAGGCTCTCAAGCCTATCCCAATGTAATCTCTACACATATATACAAATACAACAACCAGTAGATGTAGCCCGAATTCATGGGTGAACCACTTAATCTCTTCATTCTACTTGTATGATTGTGATACTACGGCTATCCCAAAATTACGGGTACAACAAATAAGAACAAGAACTAAAATTGAAACTTGGAAACCAATCAAACTTCAAAAGCTTAAAATCATCATGGTGTTTATTAAAACAAAGTAAAACTATGGAAACACAAGAAGAAAATAAAAGGCAAAAGGAGAAGAAGACGATAGGGACAGTATGTTAGAGATGGAAAAACTTCATCCTCATGGCTGCCAGGAGACCAAAGCCTCCCAGCTGCTGCCTTATCTCTTCTCTCCCTTTGTGACTCTCAACTTTCCCTCTTTTTGTGTATGATGTGATGGAATATGAATGAATGATGAATTGTTTTGCTTCTTGAATACTTTCTATTTATAGGCACAAGGGATAGGTGAATCATATTTTACAATTGAGTTCATCAACCACACCTACTTCACCTAACACACCAATGCAATTGAAAATTAGTCATTAACAACACCAACAATATCCACTTCATCTTCTTTATTTCTTGTGGTTGATGGAAATCTTCACTTGAATCAGCTCACCTAACTTCCCTACCATCATAAATCACCTCATGCTTAGGTCATAATGACTAAGCACACTTAGCTCATCCTTAGGTTAGCATGACCAAGCACACTTAGCTCACCCTTAAGCAAATAACGACTTTGAAACCTCTATCTTGAAGTTCAGAATGTTTCCTTTCGAACCATATGTCATTTGGCCCAGTCTAAGGTCGAAGGAAAAAGTTAAGGCCGAAACAAATTACTAACTCATTTGGCAGCACACACAAAATTCATCTTGAGCATGGTTCTGTGTTTGATGTGTGACGAATTCCAGATTTATCCAATGGGGTTGCATTTTGGATATGTTATAATAGACACCATTGGAACAACTTCCATGAAGGATTTTGCCTCATCTAAGCCGCGTAGGTTACTGAAATAAGGCTTGGAATGTGACCTATGAAAGTAGACTGAAAAATAAGTACATCCCAAATTCAGTTTGTCTTTAAGCTCTTCTTCAATTCATCCAAATCAGGCCTTACCATGCTTGAATTGCATGAATTATGCTATCTTGCTTTATTGACCTACAAAATAGACAAAGAGAGGTAAATGACTCAAAATGCTAAGGAACTAGGCGAATAAGGCATATATATATATATGTATGAAATTATGAGCTTAACAGATATGTTGTTTAGGAATGTATGAAAGGATATGTTGTTTTGGGATGTTCAAATAGATATGTTGTTTTGAGATGTTTGAGTGGATATGTTGGGAGGATAGTGCAAAACTTCCTTTGTAAGGTGCTGCATTTTGGGTTTTGGGATGATTTGTGATGGTTGTTTATGATGGATATTGGTAATGAATTTTGGTTTTTGGGATGATTCCAGGTTTAATTGGATATGGATTTAAGGTCAAATTAATTTTGCTATTATACCTTCATAATTATAGAAATTCAAGGACATATCCTAATTTATGTCAACCTTCTGTAACTATGTGCCCATCACATGCGGTTTTTTTTTGGTCCTTTAGTGCCCTCTAACTCGAAAGAAAAAATATCATTTTTTGTCAGTGTAATTTATTTGTATTTGAACTTTTGTCCCTATAGTTTTCAATTTTGTTTTTCCATTGTAGCAATTCAAGGACACGTCAAAATTTCCATCAATTTCTTTCACGATGTGCCCCTGAACTGCTAAAACTACAAAACTACAATGACAAAATTGACAAAATTGAAACTACAGGGATGAAAGTGAAAAAAACCAGTAAACTACCGGGATCTAAAGTGATTTTTTTGTAAAAATTTTAATGTTTAATTTAGTTGATGTACATCTGTCATCATTTTAAATTGGGAACATATGGGGTAGAGAGAAAGTGGGCATAGTAGAGAGTTTTTATCACAAATAGCCAAAATTTACCCTTCACTTTAGAAAATGTCAGTTTTTATAAAATCTTTCAAATATAGCCAAAAACTCACCTAAATAGACACAAATGCCCTTAAAATTAAAACCCACATAAACTTTTAAAGTTGGAATATATTTTGAGTCTTTGAAGAAAATTAATGCGTGAAATCGTAGGTGTCCAACAAAACCATTGTCTCACAGGTGCTCATCATCTCTCACTGAGATTTTGCTGAGTGATGATAATCTTGTCCAATCACACGTTGGCCAAGTAAGAAGAACATATAAACTCACTTGCTAAGCAAAGTAATGCTAAAAAAAACAATCTAGCTGAGTATGTAGCACTCGGATGGAATAACCTAATAGGTAGTCAACTCCTACCCTCAATCAACATCAATTAAGAAAAAAAATTCCAGCAGGCTTTATTCATCACCCTCAAAAGTTTACATTAGAAAGTTTAAGAAAATTATAAAATTAAATATTCATCCATTATTCACTATAATTCATAAATTTAAAGAGTAAAATATTACACTATATCTACAAGGTAGGGTGAAGTGCAATCGGATTCTTGCAAGTTTGTCAATAATGCCCAGTTGAACCACATCTTGAACTCGTAGCGCGATGAGATTCTCTTTTCCTTGCCTATGCCATACTTGTTTCGTGTAATTGGTGGTAGGACAATTCTATCTCGTACGCCATTAGAACAAAAACCTCATGACTGAACAGAGTTCTATATTTGATTTGATCTATAGTATAGTGTATGTAAAAGCTTTTACACTATTGTTCATGAGATTAGTCCCAAGTTTGTATAGTGTTCAAATTTGTGGGACTTTCTTCTACTATAATAGGCTTACTTCTTCTTGGATTTCTTAGTTTTTGTTTTAATTCTAACATTCGTGGAACTTACAAGTCTTGGGACTGAGACCAAAGAGTCGAAAGTATAACCATACCACCCAAACCATCACACCATCAAAACACACCTAAACTGATGAATATTTCAATTCCTAGTTCCTACCATGCCAAAGAAAGGAATAAACAATTAAAAGAAAGAAGCAACTGCACAAAGAGGTACAAAATATGCAGAAAGAGAAAGAAGAACATTACTCACTAGTAGTTCGACCAAGGGCACAGACGTGCATGCTCATCTGACCAAGGCTACAGACGTACGAACGTGTGATTCCAAACTTCGTGTAGTAGGGTTTTATTTTTTAGGTTTATGTGGGGTTTAATTTTTAAGGGCATTTATGTCTATTTAGGTGAGTTTTTAGTTATATTTGAAGGATTTTATAAAAATTGACATTTTTGAAAGTGGGTAAATTTTGGATATTTTTTTATAAGGCTTTTTATCACAAAATGTCTCAGAGGTTTATGAAACTATCAAATTACGTTTTTTTTTTGGTTATTCATGGTCCTCAAGGTTTATATGCGTGCTCACAGATAGTCATTCCGTCAAAAATTCTATTAGTTTGCAGATGTGATGTAATAACCCGATCCTTAATTAATTTTTAATCATTAATTTATTCAAAAGTTGACTTATTGTTCGTAAAGGAATTTTGGGATTTCAGATGAACCGTTGCGTAGAGCACGCTGAGATAAGTTCATAGATACGTAGTGAGCTCAAATTGGAGTTGTAGCGAAGAAGTTACGATAAAAAATGTCCTAGTGGCAAAATCATAAATTTTTTCGAAAATGGATTTTAAAAACCTGATTTCTCTCTCTCTCTCTCTCTCTCTCTCTCTCTCTCTCTCTCTCTCCTCTCTCTCTCTCTCTCCCCCAAGCCTTCCCACTGCGCGAATCCCCCCCTCCCCATCACTATTCACCAGAAACAGTTCAACCCATGTCGTCGCCACCTCCGGCCACCCCGATCGACGAGACCGATCCCATTTGAACCGTCTCTTCTCCCCCGTCCTTTCCCAACCAATCTCAGCGGTCGTCGCCCACTGTGCTCGCCGAAATCTACCAAAATTCGTTCAGATTTTCACTTGTTTTTCCAACGCTGGATTGAGTGATTCAGATGACCAATCCTTGCGTAATTGGCATGCTTCTTTACCCTTTCGATGTACTCTAGCCGCTGGTTGTGTTGGTTAGGAGAAATTTTGAGTTTTGAGACATAATTAAGCGATGGAAGTTTGGCTGGTTTTCGGCCTCTGATTCCAACCATTTCTGTACACTTTTTGGGGTAGGTCCAAGAACAAAAGTTGCTCCACTCTAGGTGCTGATCATGTAGGTATACGTCTTGACTAGCGATTTGGAGATTTTCCAATCGCAGGAATTGCTTTGGAACACACGCTGCCGACGCGTGTGGTGGTGCGTGGGCCACTTTTTTGCCAGTCCTCGAGTCCAAAAATAATCCTCATGTCACGATGGTATGCTCGGATTTCAATTTGGTAACCTTTTGATCGTCGATCGGATATCGCATAATAAGCGTTATCCTGGTTCGATATGTTTGGACAACTGGATCGACTTCATTTTCGAATATGTTGATCTAGGCACTTCTAGGATCGTGGAGAAATTCACAGATCAAGAATCGGAGTCCTGGATACTCCGATTCAATATTTCAAAGATTAAGTTAAACGATAACCGTCCGATCGTGCGATCCGATCGTTCGATTCGGACCAAACATGCAGGGCATGGTTATTAAAGTATGTTGAACCTAAAGGAACTCTCAAATGGGTAATCGGAGGTCATGGACCCCACGGGGTACCAGATTGACGAATATGGAAATTTAAATGCTTATTTAATCTCGGATCTTTTCAGACCATTCCATGTGTCAAAAAAATGTTGAGAATGGGCCTAGGAACTTTTGTGAGTCACTTTCATGCACTTTTGAGGCCGGGGGTTAGGGTTCTGATTTAATATATGTGGTTGAGCTATTTATTAATTAAATGTTCTTTATTTCTTAAATAAGTATTCGAGCTTCTTCGAATCTGCAGGAAGGACCCTTAAAGGGTCAAACTAGCTTGGACACTCAGTGAGTGGACTTTTGTTTTATAAATGGATTTTATGCAATTAAAGTTTTATTGATTGATTTTGAATGAATTATTTATGGCTATTACTTTCCAAGCATAAATATTTGAATTCAAATACTTTTATTAAATTATGTTATGTTTAAAGTGTAAATGGCTTGGAAAGTAGGAAAGGAAGTGATAACGAGATTAAAGGATTTATTGAGAAATAGAATTATAATTTTTCAAGAAAGGTTTTTAAACCTCAATAGGTACCCAAGATGTTGCCTTCGGATAAAATATTGCCTTCAAATAATATGTTGCCTTTGGATAAATTGTTGTCTTCGGTTATAATGATGTCCACGGACATTCTAGTTGCCTTCGATTGAGTCAACATGCGTTTGACAATGTCCCTTGAGTTTCGGGGACGCTCGGACCGTGTGGTGTGAGGAATGCGGCTCAGGTGGACCAAGTGTCCCTTGAGTCTTGCGAGGAATGCGGCTCAGGGACTAAATGTCCCCTGAGTCTTGTGAGGAATGCGGCTCGGGTGACTTTGTGTTTTCGAGACCTGCGAGGATGTGTCGAATTATGTGATACAAGGAATTGACGGTATAATGTGGGAAATGAATATAAAGATCATGGAATTGACGGATATATGATGGGTACACTTAGGTGGGAAAGAGATTATTTCTTTACAATACTTTCAAATGATTTTTATGATTCGAGTTGAATGCGTGATTAGTTATATGTATATAAATATGCATGTCTTTATTCTTGTACAAATATAGAACATGAACATAATTGGAATTTTCTAAATGGTTTTAACAGTGGGGTTAGTATGTTAATATTCTATTTTACAAAACTTTATTTTTGTCCACTCATAGTTTTAAATGTTTTGCGTCCCCAAGTAGTAGTCGTGTACCAAAGCTCCACCACAGGACAGTGACCACTCTTCACTCATACTTTCTACTATTTAGGATTTCTTTTATAATCGAACTACTCCTGTAAATTAAATTGATTAGTATTGCTCTGAAATTGCCCTAGGATTTCTATAAGGCCTGAGGCCACATAGTTATGTTGTTGGATTACTTGAATGTAAACTTGATGCATGTTGAAAGGTTGGGATTACAATTGCATTTTGTACAGGTGGAAGAATTTTGGGAAATGATTATTTATAGGGGAGACTCTGCCTAATTTTCGGCATAAGTCAAACTTGAGATTAACTTTGATTTCGTTAGAAGGGCAATTTAGTCAAGTGTGCCCGGCACCTGCCAGGTGTCGGACACGCACAGGGTTCGGCTCAGATTCCAAAGTGGAATTTAGATCGGGTCCTGCCATGTGACATATATATGGAGCTCATATATCCAATCATATAGTGTCACGTGTATTTAAAATGCAATATATATATTTAAAATAATTTAAATTTTAAAATACAACTTTTCTTTTGTTTTTTTAATTTTTCTGAATTTTAAAATTTAAATTATTTTTAGAATATATATATTGTATTTTAAATACATGTGGCACTGTATTATTGGATATGTGGACTCCTCATATAGACTTGGCATTCGTGTTGTGTTTGCAGTGTTCGTGTCAGGTTCGTGTCAACCCGCTTTTCTTAACGGGTTGACACGACACGACCTGTTAAGAAAACGGGTGGAAAATATCAAACACGAACACAACTGTTACAATTCACGAATCACACAACACGACCTGTTTCACTCGTTAAAAATTAAAAAAACTAAATATAAAATAAAAAATATAAAAAATAAAAAATAAAACCAGAAATATTAAACAATTAAAAAAATCAATTAGTCATAGTGCGTCGTCGCCTAGCCCTCATCACCACCGCCATCTATCCCCCAAAATCAACCAACAAGTAGTTATAATCATAAGGAGTAGCGGATTAATATTAATGGATGTAGTACACCACGAAGAATGGCATCATCAGCCTCCATACTAGTCCGTAAAAGATCCAACCGGAGTCTTAGATCAAGGGTTCGGATCCAAATGCATTCAAGTTTGCTCAATGATTTGCAAGAGGCCGTTGTTGGTAACAAGCCTTTTGTGCTCATCTTCCTTGTCATTCCCCTTGCAATTGTGGCTGATTTTTATCACTTTAATCTCATAATCAAGGAATCTAGGTGGCAGAGAGAGAGAGAGAGAGAGAGAGAGAGAGAGAGTAGGGGGAATGGGGGAGAAAGAGACAAAAGAGAAGAAAGAGAAGGAGAGAAAAGAAAATTACATATATGATATATATATTTTTAAATCAAATTATATATATGATATGATGTATAGAAACCAAAAAAATTTACAGCAACTAAAATAAAAATTAATAATAATAATAACAGCAACCAAATAAAAAAAGAAAAAGTTAAAAAAGCGTAGAAAATTAAACAACAACAACAAATATTTACAGTAACAAATATGTTGATGCTCATCTATATATGATGATGGCAACAATAACAAGTATTCAACCAACAACTATTCATATTATAATGTACATCGATATATATGCTACTGTTCATCGATATATGGTGATGTACAACAACAACAAATATTCAAATACACGATGAAAGATCATACATATATGAAAATGTAAAAAAAAGAGAAGAGATTTTTTTACCTCCAATTGACAAGCACACACGTCCAAGGACGGGAAAGCGTAGAACACGTTTAAAGTTTCTAGAGTTGACATAAAATTTGTCAGGGCCTTTTGTATTTATGCTTACCATTTTAATTTCTAACGAAATCAAGCAACTTATTAATTCCTTCAAAATGAATTACTTTTTGAATACACCTAAATTTTGTTTGACTTTTAAAAAGTCATAATTGAATACACCTAGATTTTGATATTTTTTTTAATGTCAATTGAAATTTGAATTGAATACACCCAAACTCTAAAAAACTCTTTTAAAATCTAAATTGAATACACCCAAACTTTTAAACTCTTTGAAAATCTTAATTGAATACACCCAAACTTTTAAACTCTTTTAAAATCTTACTTCCTTAAAAAAAGAAAGAGATATAAATTTACAAAAATGCCCTTGAATTTAACGAGTTAACGGATATTCGCGAATTGACACGACACGACTCGTTAGCTTAACGTGCGACTAACAGGTCAACACGATATCAACACGACACGATAACTAAGACCTGAATACTAATTTTTTTTTTGTGAATTCGTGTCGTGTACGATATTGCCAGGTCTATCCTCATATATGTAATGTTAGCAAACTAATAGAACTTGACGATAGGTATTATTTGGTAGCAAACATATTAACTTTGATGACCATAGATGAAAAAAAATAAAAAAGAAGGACGCAATTTCGCGAGCCTCAGACACGTGTTCAATAAAGCCCTTTCAATAACAGTAGATCTGAATCGTACCTAAAACCATAAACCCTAACCCTTTTAGGTCGAAGCTGACAGTTTGGCCTCCGCTCCTCTCAAACACTCAACTCTTCAACCCGTCTCTCTGTTGTAAGGTAAGACCTCTTCAAACACCCTCTTTCTCTCTCTATCCAATCTCTATCACCGTATTGTTAGTATTTTTTCATCATCTTTGGTTATGGTTCCAGCGAACTGAAGACATAGGGTTTTGTGTTTGGTTTCAGTTTGTTCGAATTTCATTTTGTTTTTGTGAAAATTATACCATTTCTTATCAAGTTATAAATTGTAACTAACCCAAGTTTCAATTTTCGTTGGAAATTCTCTTTTTATAAGCAGCTAAACATGACTGTTTTTTGCCTTCTGTTTCATTAGTATAGTTAATCCAGTTTGCATCTTATGTACGCATGTATCGCGAATTATGATGCTTTGGGGACCATATTTTCTTTTGTTGTTAAATTGTCATAGTAAAAAGAAAGTCAATTGTTTTACTGCTTGGTTGGTTGTTTTCTGAGTTCTGTCAAATGCGAATTAAACCACATGATCCACCGCTTGTGCAGGCCCCCGTCAATTCCTTTGAATCTTTTATTTTTGAACTTTCAACTTTGTTATCTGGTGTTTTGACATCTATTACTTTTTCATGATGAATGTTATAAATTTGGTGATGAAATTAGTGTTTAATTGTTTCAGTAGAATAGGAGGTCCACTACATGTATTTAGTTGTTTCTGCCTATAGAATCCATGTTAATGGTGATTCTGTATGCCACATGTTGGTCGGTATTGATACATGTTATATGCATTTGTCTGGTGGCTGATGTGGTGTTGGTGTGGTTGTTGTCATTTTTGGGTTGAGAAATTGACTCTTGTGCCTTAAAAAATATTGTGAATATAAATCAGATGTTTTAAATCAAGTGATTTTCTGTGAAGATCAGTTTTTGAAATGGTTTCTACTTTTAGTGTGTGGTAATCAACCTTGGTGTTAACTTGATATTTATATATATATATTTTTTTTGTAAACAGTCCACTAAGTAAACATGGTGCAATATAACTTCAAGAAGATGACTGTTGTACCGAGTGGGAAGGACTTCATTGACATTATCCTATCTCGCACCCAGAGGCAGACTCCAACTGTAGTTCACAAGGGTTATGCTATTTCCCGCCTCCGTCAGTTCTATATGCGTAAAGTAAAATATACCCAACAGAATTTTCATGAGAAGCTCTCCACAATCATTGATGAGTTTCCTAGGCTGGATGACATCCACCCTTTCTATGGCGACCTTCTTCATGTTCTCTACAACAAAGACCATTACAAGCTTGCACTTGGCCAGATCAATACTGCAAGGAACCTTATTGGTAAGATTTCCAAAGATTATGTGAAATTGTTAAAGTATGGTGATTCACTTTACCGATGCAAATGTCTCAAGGTTGCTGCTCTTGGCCGCATGTGCACGGTTATAAAGAGGATTGGTCCTAGTTTAGCTTACCTAGAACAAATTAGGCAACACATGGCAAGGCTACCTTCAATTGACCCTAATACCAGGACAGTATTGATTTGTGGCTATCCGAATGTTGGAAAGAGCTCATTCATTAACAAGATCACTAGGGCTGATGTGGATGTCCAGCCTTATGCTTTTACCACCAAGTCACTCTTTGTGGGACATACAGATTATAAATACTTGAGGTACCAGGTAATTGATACACCAGGGATTTTGGACCGCCCATTTGAAGACCGTAACATTATTGAGATGTGCAGCATAACAGCTTTGGCTCACTTGAGAGCTGCGGTCTTGTTTTTCTTGGACATCTCGGGGTCTTGTGGGTACAGCATTGCCCAACAGGCAGCTCTTTTTCACAGTATTAAGTCTCTGTTTATGAACAAACCATTGATTATAGTCTGCAACAAGACTGATTTGCAGCCACTGGAGGCTATATCCGAGGAAGACAAGAAGTTGGTCACGGAGATGAAAGCTGAAGCTATGAAGACAGTGATTGGTCAAGGAGGTGAGGCTACCAATGATGAGGGGGTACTCTTAACCATGAGCACTCTGACCGAGGAGGGGGTAATTGCTGTAAAGAATGCAGCTTGTGAGAGGTTGTTGAATCAGAGAGTGGAATTGAAGATGAAATCCAAAAAGATAAATGACTGCTTAAATCGTTTTCATGTTGCAATGCCAAAGCCACGTGACAATAAGGAAAGACCCCCATGTATACCTCAGGCAGTTTTAGAAGCTAAAGCTAAGCAAGCAGCGGAGAAGGAAAAGAGAAACACAGAAAGGGATTTGGAGAATGAGAATGGCGGTGCAGGTGTATACTCTGCCAGTTTGAAGAAGAATTATATCTTAGCTAATGATGAATGGAAAGAGGATGTCATGCCAGAAATTCTTGATGGGCACAATATTTACGACTTTGTTGATCCTGATATTTTGCATAGGCTTGAGGAATTGGAACGAGAAGAAGGACACCGTCAGGCAGAGGAGGGTGATGATGATTTTGAGATGGATGGATTGGAATTGTCTCCAGAAGAGCAAAAGACATTGGCTGAGATAAGGAAAAAGAAAAGCTTGCTCATTCAACAACACAGAATCAAGAAAAGTACAGCAGAGAGTCGACCAACTGTACCAAGGAAATTTGACAAGGACAGAAAGTTCACAACAAAGCGAATGGGGAGGCAGCTATCAAAGTTGGGACTTGATCCAACTGAGGCAATTAACCGAGCTCGAAGCAGATCTGTCTCAACCAGGGGCCGGAAGAGGGAGAGATCACTTGACAGGGATGATACTGATGGTGGTCATGCTATGGATGTAGATACACCCAACAAGAAGCAACGCATGTTATCTAGATCCCGTTCGAGGTCAAGATCAAGGCCTCCAACTGAAGTTGTCCCTGGAGAGGGATTCAAGGACTCTGCTCAAAAGGCTAAGGCACTACAAAAGGCCAATAAATCTAATAAGATGAGAAACAAGAATGCTCGTCGTGGAGAGGCAGATAGGGTCATTCCCACTTTAAAACCAAAGCACTTGTTCTCTGGAAAACGATCAATTGGAAAAACTCAAAGGCGTTAAAATATTTGAGGTACTCAGACACATTGCATCACTTTCAGTTCAGCTTGTCTTTGTTTGGAGTACTCATTGGAAACAGTTATATATGTTGATTTTCCTTGTTCTCAGACCAGATTTAGGGATGCGTATGCTTTGTGCATATCACATTGTTTTTGGGACCAATTGCATTCTATTTTTTGTGTCTGTTACATGCATACCTCATCAACTTGCGCACCCATGTATCGGATGCAGATATGTGAGAATAACATTCTCGTAGCTACCATTAGGAAATTTTTGGTCCATTAGGAAATGCTAGAGTCATATTTATCATTAAAATTAATCTCCTGTTCTGGGGTGTTGATTTCACTTAACTATTGAAGGTATTAAGACTGAAAATGTATATTTGTCATGTGCTCAATGTTTCTTATGTTTCTGCCAGTAATCAACTGAAAATGTATATTTGTCATGTGCTCAATGTTTCTTATGTTTCTGCCAGTAATCAATATACTTTTTCTTCTTGCAGGGAGTTAGGTCTGTGATTTGCTGTATTATGCACCATGGAGTGTACTTGCTGCTGAAAAAGAACTTGGTTCTTTCATCTCTGGTTCGGTAGGAGATTGCAGCACTCGAGATCATGCAACCAGAGTCTCACAGTTTCCTTATTTTTCAGTTCTGTTTTTGTTTAGGAAATTTTGGATCCGAGGCATGCCTCAGTTACAGTATTTTGAGTGGATTTGGATTTACAGACAAATAGTTGTCTTTACCCTTTGCTTTTGTAATTTTCTCGTTTGACGATATGTGAAACTTGGCCCAAGTTAAATTGCCATTTGTTTGTTTTATTCATCTTCGAGCGTAGTTTAAGATATTGTAACTTCTTGTTATCAAGTGCGGGATGGGATTCTGCAACTTCCTGCAACATAAGAGTGATGAAGCATTTTTATTAAACGTGGGCGATTTAACAAATTCTGAGCTATTTTTAAGATCCAGTTATGTTGGCCTTTCTAATACTCGGGTTTTTTCTTTAATATCTATTTTTTATTCTCTTATTGTTCACTTTCCTCATGTTGCAAGTGCAGTTTTGTGATCAATGAAATCAGAACAGAGGTTGCCTACATTTCCTCAAAGGTCATGCTTTTCTGCAGAGAAATGTTTCATTCTTTCTTTCTGCGGTGGAAATAAAATGAGAGTCGAGAAGTTATTTCGTAGAAGAGTTGCTTTGTTGGCCCATTTCGATGCTCAATATTCCTTCTCTTGCCTAACGCATCTTATTTTTCAGATTATGAATCAGTACTGTTACAAACGTATAGGGGATCTCCATATCTATCTAGCATAGGAACTCGTCACATGATAGATGATCTAAAAACAAACGAATGCTCCAAGTGGAAGAAGAAAAATAAAAGAATGCCAATGTGTTTCAATATTTTCTATGTCCTATTAGGGCTAACAACAGAAAGAAAACAGCTACTTTACAGGAAATGCAGTAATGTATTGTGATCATCCTATGGAGAGATGGATGGATCAACCTCTATCCGACTACATCCGGGCAGTTTCTTCAACCCCATCCGTCTCATTTCATCACGAACCTTATTAGCATCGTCCCATCTATCGTGATTAGCGTACGTATTCGACAATAGAGCATAAGTTCCAGTGCTTACTCCTCTACTCTTGAGGAGATCATCCCTGACCCTCTCAAACATCTTCTCATTCCCATGAATCTTGCAAGCATTTAGCAGTGCTCCCCAAACAGAGCCGTCTGCTTTCATTGGCATTTCTTTAATGAAACCCTCTGCTTCCTCCAAGAACCCTGCTCGGCCATACATATCAACCAGACATGCGTAATGCTGTGTTTTAGGGACAATCCTGTAAACATCTTTCATAGCATTAAAGAATATCAACCCTTGATCAACTAGGCCTGTATGACTGCATGCTGATAACAAGCCAAGGAAGGTCACATCATCAGGAGGAATCCCGTGGACTAGCATAAGCGAAAAGAGCTGCAATGCGTGCACACCATGGCCATTCATGGCCATGCCGCTTATGATGGTACTCCAGGAAATGATATCCTTGCAATCCAGGCTTTTAAAAACTGAAATCGCCATACCCACATCGCCACACTTGACATACATGTTGATTAAGGCATTTCCTACATTGCCGTTCACCATGAGATCTGGCTGCATACTTACATAGTTATGCACCCACTGCCCTAAACTCAATGCCCCAATCGAAGAACATGCTGACGATGCGTTGACAATGGTAGCCTCATTAGGCACAGCTTCTCCTCTTTGCACCATTTGTTGGAAAAGCCTCACTGCCTCTTCACAAAAGCCTCTTTGTGCATAACCACCCACCACGCTAGTCCAGGAATACACATCTCTCTTAGGCATATTTACAAACAGGTACCTAGCACTCTCCAGAGACCCACATCTCAAATAGAAATCTAACACTGCATTGTCCAAAATAATATTCCTTGCACGTAAATTCCTCAGACAATAGCCATGAACAGCTTTACCAAACTTGAAAGCTCCTAAACTTGAACAAGCAGACATAACAATGACAAGAGTAGCATAATTAGGCTCCACGTCCATGGACATAAACTTAAGAATTGCTTCCTCTACAAAGCCACACTTAGCAAGACCCGAAATCATCGAAGTCCAGGAAACAACATCTGGGAGTGGTATCGAATCAAAAACCCGGGTAGCGGAAACAATGTCAGATTGAATTAGGTAGAAATGGAGCATTGAGTTTTGGATGAAAGTATCGGAAAAGTGACCGGATTTGAGGACGTGGGCATGGATTTCTTGGGCTTTATTGCGTGCATGTAGCAAGCAACAAGCCTTGAGAGCATAAGTGAAGGTGTAGTGGTTATGGGAAGTTGGGTGGTGGAGCATTTGGTTGTAGAGGAAGAAGGCATTTTGTGGGGTGGGGGAGTTTGTTAGGTGTCCCAGTAAAGGGTTTAAGAGTTGGGGTTTTGGGTTTTTGATGAGTAGGGCATGGATTTGGTTTAGTTGTTGTCTCATTGTAAGATGAATACATGGTCATGAATCGCCTGAGCTAATTCACCGGAAAAAAAAAACATGCGCCTGGCAAGCCAACAAAACGCGAGGAAGAAGATGGCCCAAATTATTTATTTATTTTTATAACCTAGCAGAGGACGACGTCGTCTGGCCAAAAGCCTTCATTAAAGTTTTAAGGCTAAATTATTGAAATGCCCCCTGTAACTCAATTTCAGTCTCAGTTTCCTCCTTGAAACTCTAAGTGTCTCACTTTCCCCCCTGAAACTCCATATATTGTCTCACTTTGCCTAGATTCCATCCAGCCCTAACAGAAGTCGTCAAATCTTAACCCGCCAAAAATAACATTCCTTTACAAATTCAGATATTCTCTGAATCTGCAACTACACCCAGACTCATTTGCAAAACCAAACCCTTCTCCAAACTCCAAGAAACGAAGAACAACCTCCGACAATGGTGGCAGCCCAACTCCTTCTCTCTCTCATCGTCCTCTTAGTTCTCTCTCTCTTTCTCCTCCGCCCTCCCCACCCAAACCCTCGTCAACGCCGCTGAAATCCTTTCAGATTTCGGCTACACCTCCATGGCTCTGACCCTCGACCTTGCCTCTCAAGCCAACCTCCTCTCCCAATCTTCTTCTCTCACCATCTTCGCCCTCACCGACACCACCTTCTCTCACTTCGGTCAGCCATCGCTGAACCTCCTGCAATTCCACATCATCCTCATTTATTTCTCTATCTGATCCCTCAAGTCACTACCTTTCAGCGCCAAGATCTCAACTTTACTCTCTGACCGCTCTCTCTCTGTCACCACTTTGGCCTACGACCCCAAAGTCTCACTCAACAACATCCCCATCACTGTTTCCCTTATTTTCGATGATGGGTTGTTGATAATTTTCTGAATTGACAGGTTCTTGGAATGAGTTTGAAAGGGTGCCCCGTTATGGCTTCGCTTCTTGAAATGCAATTTCATGGATTTTTCTTCAAGTACCAAACCATGATGATTGTGTTTGCTCCATTTGACAAGTCTTGATGAACCGAGTTGGGAACTTGAGTGAGCAATCCTCCATCTTTCATCGCCATGTGGTGCCCTTGGGGCTTTTGTGGAGCGACTTGGTGAGTTTCAATGATGGGACGGTGTTGAGGACTAATCTGATGGGGTTTACAAACAATATCACTCGATCCTAAGACATGTTGATGCTCAATGGTGTATCGGTCATTTTTTCATAAGTGTATCACAATGGCTGGTTTTCGATTCACGGAATCAGTGAGGTTCTTGAGGTTCCACATAGAACAGAGAGACTGTGGCTCCGTTTTGCTAGGGACAGAAGAACCTAGAAAAACCGCACATGGGCCTCACGTGTGCAAATTTAACGACTACTGTTAGGGCTAGATGGAATCTCGGCAAAGTGAAACAATATATGGAGTTTCAGGGGGGAAACTGAGACTGAAATTGAGTTACAGGGGGCATTTCAATAATTTAGCCAAGTTTTAATTGAGAAAAGTCTTTATTAAGTTTTAATTGTTGTTTGTTTTTTTTTTTTTTTTTTTTTTTTTTTGATGAGAAAAGCGCATGTTTTGATTATAAAGGAGGGGTAGCTCGTTTACCTTGGATTATGGACTAAAATATCAATAAGATCGCTAGTAAATTTGGCTTATTTCCTTCAAATTCAATTTGCCTTAACTGTAACCCTTCACTATTTGTTTCTATAAATAATACCCAATTTTTATCAACCAAAACCCATGACTGGGATCCAACTTATCAAGTTACCTTATTAAGCTCAATATCTGATTTATTATAATTTTAAGGTTCTCAAAATACGCTTATCTACAATTCAAGATGTAATGGGATGGTGTTTTAATTATCGGTTTTGATTATGGGGTTGATTGGCATATTCATACATTTTGATTATGGTTTTAGTTTGGAGATTGACTCAATACCAAATATTTATGAGGATAAAGAGAGTGGATTAGGATTTATACATGATTCTGTTTATATATATATATATATATATATGTTTAACTGTATACTCTTATACAATGATCATAGTTGAGTCCATGTTTGTTAGTTCGATAGGTAAATTATTTGACGTTTTTCATTTCCTAATATAGCAATGTGTTTTCAATATGAGGTTCATGTCTGTGAACTGTATACTCTGTGGAGTATTGGAGTCCGGACTAAGCAAACTTATCTCAATTTAGTTTAGTTTTTTTTTAAAAATCTTTTGTCTCAGGTTGTCCACACTTACATTCTCTTTTTCTGTTGTGCGGTTCATCCATTCGATAATATTACGAGTTCTTTTGTTTTAGAGCATTTCTAGCAAGGGGCCTTGGGGGGAACCCAAAATGGTGTTTCCAGCAACAAAAATCTGCCAGGGCAAGGTGTGGGCCCCAGCAACCTGGGCTAGCCCTTGGGGAGGTTCGGCCCGAGCAGCAAAACGAGTTTTGGGCTAACGTCAGCGCTGAGGTTTAAATTTTTTGTTGCACGTGCCACGTTAAAAAAAAATTTACGTGCCCGTTACAATGACCCCCCAACGGGTTTATTCCACGTGGCGAGGGCTAGGGCTGTCCAATCCACTTTTCCCAGAAATCCAACGGTAGCCATTTTTGCGCCAATAAAAAAATGAAAAAAAAATCGAAACCCCCCCCCCAACGGCTCTCTTCAACGTGGCTCCTTCTGGGCGCTCCGATTCCCTTTTTCCAGCAATCCAACGGCAGCCAATATTTTCCCAAATAAAAAAATGAAAAAAAATCGAAAAAAATTTAAAAAAATACCCAAAAAATATTATATAATTTTTTTTTCTATAAATACCAACCAATACTCTTCACTTTTAACACCAACTCCTCATACATTTTCTTCTCCTTATACTATTATTCACTTTCTACTCAATATTTTTTTCACTTTCAAGTTGTATTTTTCTAGAAAAATTTATGGGTTCTTCTAGTGAAACCGGAGGGGCATGGAGCGTGATGGAAGATGTTAGCTTGTGTGAGTCTTGGCTCCACATTAGTCATTGTCCCGTAACGGGCAATGAGATGAAATTCTGTCATATGTGGAAAAAAATTCATCAGGATTTTTGTGAAAGGGTAATTGGTTCAACCCGTACAGATCAGGCACTATCTAGTAGGTGGAAAATTCTTAACAAAGAGTTGGCAAAATGGAGGGATGCCTTGGCAAAGGCGATAGACAACCATAGAAGCAGGGAAAACCTTACCAGTGGGGTAAATTATTTGTAATTTTTGTTTTATTAATTTCTATGTCATATTAAATTTTATTTAAATGTTTCTTGCAATTTATATATTTTGTTAATATTTCTTGTATTTCAATATTAATATGAATGTTTGTTGCAATATTTATATTTTGTTTTGCATTTCTAATAAATTGTTAAAGTTTATTGTATTTCCATTATTTTATTTTTTATACTTGTTGCATTGCCAATAATTTTTAAAGTTTCTTGCATTTCCATTTTTTTATTTATAGATTATACAAGCACAAATGTTTTTTGGTGCTACTAGTTAAGGAAAAAAAAGTTTCAACCGTACCCTATGTTGGGAGGTGGTGAAGAATTGTAAGAGATTCCAAATTATTCCAACGGATCCGACGGTAGTCTTGAACGAGACGCCACTCTATGAGACACCGGCATCGGATTCACCTATGGATTCCCCGATGAGTCAAGACTCACCTATCGATAAGGAGCCGAGGCCTATTGGGAGGAAGGCGGCGAAGGCGAAGAGAGGGAGTAATTCTACCAAGAATGCATCTAAATTTTTGGAGGAACTTTCAAAGTTGCAAGCCATGAGAATTGAAATGGACATGAAACAACAAGAGCACGATAGGGCAATTGATGTAGAAAATGCAAAAGAAAGGGAGTATGTACGCCAACAAAGGGAGTATGCACGCCAAGAAAAGATTGAAAAAAAGGATCGGGAAACTATGGCCATGGATACAACCCATATGTCCCCTGAAACAAAACAATATTGGAAGCTAGAATGAAGGGATGTTATGAGACGAAGACTTTTTCGTGAGGATGGACCTAGCAACATGGATTGGTTAAATGATCAAAACCATTAAGTTAGTTTGCTTGCCTTTCATTTCATTGTATTTGGTTTTTTGTTTAAAAAATTAGTGGTAACTCATGTATTTTATTTTATGAGTTGTATTGATTTTCTTGTAGTGAATGAAGAAATATTCAACAAAATTCCTTTTTTAAAAAGCAAACCACAACAAAAGCATAAAAAATAAACAAACCACATAAAAAAAACAAACCACAACTAAAGCATAAAAAAAACAAAGCATAACTAAAAATACAACATAAACATAATACATTAAAAAAACATCTTCACTTCACTTCATTGACCTTCATTGCCTTTCACCGCCCACAAATGCTCCATCAAGTCAACTTGACGATGTTCATGAATATACGACAATTGCATCTTCGTATAGCGCTCAATCATACGATGCATGAAACTACCGTCTCTAACCAACGAATCATGCTGCACTGGTTCTCCATTTGGCCCCATAGGTTTTTCATAAATTCGTGTTAAGGCCGTGTTCATGGGATCTGGTTCATACACTTCAACACATCGTAATCATACTCATCTTCCACAATTATGTTGTGGAGGATGATACAAGTCATCATTATACTTCTAAGCACCTCCTCATCAAATAGACGCGCTGCGCCCCTGATAATAGCCCACCAGGCTTGAAGGATATCAAAGCACCTCTCCACATCTTTTTTGTACCCCTCTTGATAGGCAGCAAAAAAAATTCCTTCTGGGATCGGGGATGTGGAATGATTTCACAAATGTTGTCCACCTCGAGTAGATACCATCAGCCAGATAATGCATGTTCTGATAGACGGTATTATTGATTTGATATGTGATATTTGGGCCTTCACCTATCAGAATATCATTGAACACCGGGGATTGACCCATGACGTTCACATCCTTTTGAGAGCCGGCAACTCCAAGAAGGCGTGCCAAACCCATGTATCAAAACCAGTAACTGCTTGAGGATGATGTTTTTCTGCCCTTTCCGATTCCCATAATCCCCTTGCCAAGCAGCTGGACAATTTTTCCATTGCCAGTGCATGCAGTCAATGCTACCAATCATTCCAGGAAATCCACGAGACTCAGTTTTTGTAGAGGCCGTTGCAGGTCCCTTAGCGTAGGTTTGCGCAGGTAGTCTCTGGTGTACAGATTTTCCACTGCATCACAAAATCGCACCAAGCTCTCCAAAATAGTGGACTTCCCCATCCGGGAAATCTCATCCACCTGATCAGCAAATGACCCATACGCCAACATTCGTATCACAGCTGTGAACTTTTGCTCAGGAAGCAGCCCCAAATCTCCAGCAAAATTTTTCTTTTGAACAAAGTAGTCATCATAATTGCAAATATCATACATGACTTTATTTAACAAATGGGGTTGCATTCTATATCTTGATCGAAAATGAACATTAGAGTACACAGATTGTGGGATAAAATAATCCTCCATAAGATTCTTACCTCGAGAATGTCTATGTTTGTCCACATTCGATGTCCGGCCTTCTCGTGAACCACGGTGGCTTTGGTTTTCTTCCTCCAGCAAAGCAACGGCCACACCAAGTTGCTCATCTAGTTCTCTCTGCACCCTTTTGCTTGCAGCTTTTCTACGCATTCTTGCTCGCCTTTCTCGCTCTTGCCTCTCCAAAACCTCTTCCATGTCTGACATTGAGAATGGAGAATGAAATCTAAAATATGAGAAATGAAATCTAAAATATGAGAAATGAAGATGTAGAGAAGATATGGTGTGGGAGGTATGAGCTGAACTTATGGTTTTATAGAAAAATTTAGGTAGATAGAGATGACACGTGGCGCAATTTTAGTGGGTGAAAATCTTATCTGAAATTTGGAATTTGAAAGTTATATGGAATTTGAATTTCTGAAATTTGACATTTTGAATTTATCTGAAATTTGAATTTTGAAATGTATCTGAAATTTATCTGAAATTTGAAACCGAAAATCTTATCTGATATGAATAGTATTGACACGTAGGAACCGAAAAATCTTATCCGAAAATATTATCTAAATTAATTGTTTAAGTAAACAAAGTTGTGAAAAAAAACCAAAAACATGAATAGTATTTGCCATGGCAAGCCTAAACTGCTGGAAACACACTTTGCTGGGGGGGCTAGGGCAGCCACTATTCACATGAATAGTAGCTACCCTAGGGCTCCCCTTGCCATGGCAAAGGGGCTAATTGGTGGAAATGCTCTTAGGTTGTCCACACTTGCCTTACTACAAACGCTTTTTTGATATATATTTTTTATTGTTACATGATGCTGCATTTTAAAAAAAAAAAAAATGTTTAGATTGATATTCTTGTACTTTCTTTGCTGCATCAAAATGGAACCTGTTGTATTTGGAAGATGTGTGTTTAAGGATAAGACTGTTTCGATTCCACTTCAAAGTGACTGTACTCTAATGGTTTTCGATTATGATATATATTCAAGATTTAATGAGCTCAAGGTTGGGGCTTTTGAGATGACTTACCTTGTGTCGGATCATCCTCCATTTGTACTAGAGACCAACTTAGATGTGTGTGTTATATATCTGTCATTGATGACCGAGTAGAAATATACAATTACAATTGCTATGAAGGAGTGCTTGTTGCCTGACAGGCAAAACGGTGTTGATGATGTGTTTATTGGTGAAGGTGATACACATACTGCTGAGAACGATTTCATTGGAAAATATGCAGTACCATATGGTCATACATACTTCTCTCATTCATGGAAGAACTACATCAATCATGTGGGCAAGAAGTTTACAGGTGGGGTTATTGAGTTTATAGAAAAATTGTGCAAGTATGCCATTGAGAAAGGTTAAGGTTGGGTATCTTAAAAATGAAAAAGTGAGAGTGACTACCCAGTATTCTAAACAAGTGTCTGATGGTTGTAGTTGGCGTGTGCATGTGTCATTATGTCCTGCGAATTGGCTTTTTTTTTTAATACATTTGGAGCCTGAACAACGAACACACTTGCAACGGACTCATCTGTGAACGTAAGAGAAGCATGATGTCTTCAAAAATTGTGTCCTCCATTTTGGTCAACCAAATTCAATCTAAACCGTTGATTAAACTGATTGAAATTTGCAAGGATTTCAAGAAGAACTATGTGTTGGACTTTTCTTATCACAATGCATGGTATGGTAAATAATTAGCAAAGAAAAGGGTCCATGGTAATGAGTCATTGTCATATAAACACTTAGCTTGGTACATGGGAGTTGTGTTTAGCTCAAATCCTAATTCACGTTGTATGTTGGAGTATGACCCAAAGACATCCCGATTCAAAAGGTTTTATTTTTATTTTTATTATTTATTCTCCTTCCATGCTTGCATAGAAGGATTTAGATTTTGCCTGCCATTGTTATTCCTTAATGGGACATTTCTTCAGAACAAGTAAGGGTCACTTGTTTGCTACTACTAGGAAAACTGGAAACCAAGGTAATGAAATAAGCTTCTTTTAACAAAAAACATTCAAATTCAATTGATGCCACTGTATGTAGGTAAACTATACGTTATTGTTTAGGTAATACTGTTTTATATTTAGGGGTTTGTTCCTGACTATTTTATTTACAACATTAAACACCCACCTAGTTAGGTTTTTGTTTGTTTGTTTTTGATTTTGTTGTTGCTATGTTCGTCTCATGAAAGCCTAATTTCAGTTTGTGACATATCTGCCATTACAATAAATGCAATGCATATTTTCTTTTTCCTCAGTTGTTGGATGGGGAAAAGAAAAACTTGCAGCAGGGCTTTGGAAACCATTATAGCAAAGGATTCAGTCTTTGCATCTTCTTGAGCATCGTCTCCCAGTGTTGGGCCTTTTTATGAACAAAAAAGAAAAGACTCCTCTAATTTTGACAATGGACTCAACCTCAACAAATCTCCTCTAATTTTATCTAACTCATCATATAGACCTGCATGAAATTCATAAATACTGTCTTTTTGTATCTCAGTCTGTCGAATCTTCACATCATCAGGGCATTTCATGTTGATTGGACGACGACGGTCTTGTTCCAACCAAAAACTCTTGAGCTCAACAAAGTAGGATGCAATATCGCGACCTCCTTAAGTAATAGGGGTTGCTTTACACCGTAATTCATAAATCTTCGACTCATCAGACGTGTTATAATACATATGGGCTGTACTCTCCCATGCATCTTCAGTTGTTGGTAGATCTAAGAACAATTCTACCAATTCAGGTTCCATAGTTTTTATCAACCATCATTTAACAATGGAGTCCTCAATACACCAGAAATCAAAGCCCGAAGCGTCTTCCTCCACTTGCGCCACTTCCATGTCAAAAACCTTTTTTTCCTAGCCTGACAAATGAAGCACATCATCCTCTTCAACCAAGTGCTATAGTTCTTTCCATTCAACAAGATGTGAATGGGGCAATGGAAGTATCATTGCGAACCGTAAAATGGGTTGCACCAAGTCAAGATTTTTACAGATTTCTGAAGCACTGGAAGCGAGGTGGGTTGTCTGGGGTATCTTCGAAAGCCATGGAAGAGAGAGAACAAGTTTGGATGGGTTGGTGTTGTAGAGTCTTTTTGTCGCACTAGGTTTGTGATGACAAGGGTTCAACCACTGTTTTACGACAACTGGGATTTTTTTTCTTTCTTTTCTTGTATTCGGCGCTAGAGGATGTTGATGGGTAGGGTTTGTATTTTGGTTTGACCGGCTCTGATACCACTCAAAACTAAACACAGGATGGAATAATTGTGATTGATATTATATTTCTCCAAGAGGAGGATATTATATATATACAAGTACAAGTTCAGACACCTTCCGACCAACACGCGATAACCCAGCTACTCAGCCCGCAGCATTAACGGTTACAAGGCGATCATCTACGGCGTGAATGACAGCCGGAAATCAGGGATCACAAGATCCTTGAATTATGGCTCCGCCACACAGAATACCTCTTTAAAAGTGTTTATAAATCCTTATTCTTAGCCATACCAATTGAGAGGCATGCCCAAAGGATTTATGGAGACATTGGTGAGCTGTCCAATGACCAAAGGAAACCCACCATGGAGATCCCAAAGTAAGCGTATCAAATCGTTGGGGAACACTTAGGCCAATAAATAACCTACCACATAGGAAAAAGAACATCACAAACAACATTGTGCACTCATTAAGGATTTTGTTGAATACTAACGTATGCACAATTGAAACACACAGCCAAACCTTTCGGTAACGTTTTAAAAAAAAAAAAAAAAAAAAAAAAAAAAAAAAAAAAAAAAAAAAAAAAAAAAAAAAAAAAAAAAAAAAAAAAAAAAAAAAAAAAAAAAAAAAAAAAAAAAAAAAAAAAAAAAAAAAAAAAAAAAAAAAAAAAAAAAAAAAAAAAAAAAAAAAAAAAAAAAAAAAAAAAAAAAAAAAAAAAAAAAAAAAAAAAAAAAAAAAAAAAAAAAAAAAAAAAAAAAAAAAAAAAAAAAAAAAAAAAAAAAAAAAAAAAAAAAAAAAAAAAAAAAAAAAAAAAAAAAAAAAAAAAAAAAAAAAAAAAAAAAAAAAAAAAAAAAAAAAAAAAAAAAAAAAAAAAAAAAAAAAAAAAAAAAAAAAAAAAAAAAAAAAAAAAAAAAAAAAAAAAAAAAACTACTACAAAAAGTGAAAAAGACGACCACAAAAACACGACGGTCTACGTGAAAACCGTCGTTGTTTTTTAAAAGACGACGGTTTTATAAAACCGCCGTGTAATAACACATTAGACAACTAAAAAATGGAGTTTCAAATGGCTGTTCCAAAAACACGACGTACTTAATTAAAAAACCGACGTCTTATTGAAATAGGATTTTCAAGAGGTAAAATCATAGCCAACAAATAACGGCGGAAGTTATGAACCGACCGACGTAGAAAGTAAAGACGACGGTTTCACAAAAAGCCGTCGTTTTTACCCAGAAATTAACACGACCAAGTTTTCGTATAAGGCGACGTAAATTACAAATAAATCCACGGCGGTAAAATACAAAATACCGCCGTATTAAATTAATGTACAACTACGGCAAAGGTAAATATAACGACGTCTTTCTCGTATTTCTACGACGACATCTTTCAATCTTACCAAGTTGGGGTTTTCATATAACGACGTATTATAGAATTTAACGTCGTATTTGTCCACTTTATACGTCATAAATTATATTTAAACCGTCGTCTGAATAAGAATTTTTTTTAAACAATTTATTTCTTCGATTTTGTTATCCTACGTCGGTAGATCTACCTAACGACAAGAATTGAAATAACCACGACGGTTTATATAGAAAACCGCCGACATAATCAGATTATTCTGAGATCACAAGGGTTAGGAAATCTTACAAGATGGAACTCTGTTGCTCATTATAATCTTACCAGAAAGACAATATTTTAGAGGTTAATGATGTATGTGTATTTGTGTCTTTGAGATACACAAACGCACATACACATTAACATCCAAAAAATTGCCTCTGAAATTTGACGACGGCAGCCTCAGATTTGCAATCAGAGAGACAATTTTTTGGAAGTTGATGATATGTGTGCGTTTGTGTATCTACACAAACGCACGCACACATCAACATCCAAACAATTGCCTCCTAAAATTTCACGACGGCAGCCACAGATTTGCAATCAGAGAGACAATTTTTTGGAAGTGAATGATGTGTGTGCGTTTGTGTATCTACACAAACGCACACACACATTCACATCCAAACAATTGCCTCCTAAAATTTCATGACGGCAGCCACAGATTTGCAATCAGAGAGACAATTTTTTGGAAGTGAATGATGTATGTGCGTTTGTGTATCTACACAAACGCACACACACATTCACATCCAAACAATTGACTCCTAAAACTTCCCAAGAGATGAGGTGAGACAGAGAAAGGGGCAAGAAGAAGTTGAAACCCTAATCGAATACTAAAACTGAAAGAACCCGTGGAAAAAAACCCTATTTATAATTAAAAACCAAATCCACGTCGGTTATATTACACATAACGACGTTTAAAAAAAACAATTCTCGTCGGTAACAAATATATTACGTCGTTTTATTCTTACTTAAAACGACAAGAAACGACGACGGTATAACAAAAACAGTCGTTGTTTTATATTTTTATTTGATTTAAATCAGTCACCTAGAAAAGAAACTTTACAAATTCTAGAACATTAATTTCCTCGGGAAAAAAAACTATATCTATAAGGCACTGTTTTTGAAAAATACACTATAAGAAAAAGGGGAAAAGAATTATATTTATAATAAAAAAATAAAATCCACGTCGGTTATATTACACATAACGACGTTTAAAAACGAATCCACGTCGTCGGAAAAATAATACGTCGTTTTAGTTTAGTGTTATCCACGTCGGTATATTACAATAAAACGACGTATATTATAAAAATAAACGTCGTAACTTTAAAACAACCGTCGTGTTAAATATTTCTACCATGACGCGAGATATTGAGTTATCGACTTTTATTTAGGAGTTTACTACGGCGGTACCTACAACACTACGGTCGTATTTATGTACCACGTCATAAGTTCAAATTAGCGTCGTAGTTTGTCTATTAATACGTCGTCGTTCTATGTAAACCGCCGTCTTATTACTATGAAACGGTTTGTATACATATACAACTTTTCGTCTACCTGACTTACACATGCACTGTTTCCAAACCCGAGAAAACATTTCAATCTCCCAGAGAAAACTTTTCGTCTTTTTTCCTTGTCAGAGCACTGTCAGAGTATCTCATCGTCTTCCTCTTGTCTTCATCGTCGCCTCTGAACTTAAACACCAAAATCCGAGAGAAAGCTTTCATTGCACGCAAAAGGTAAGCTTTCATTTCTCACTATTTTTGTT